AAGGCTGGAATGACCTTAGTGTGTTTGAAAAATAGGAAGAAAGCCAAATTTGCAGTGGGTGAGGGGCAGAATGAATTGAGGCCAGTTTAACCACTTTTAGTAATTTATTGAAAGGGGAAGGGATGGATGTTTGTAGCTTGGACTAGGATGGTTAAGAAGAGGAGGAGAAAAGTAGGTATATATGTTAGGGTATATTTTGTAGGTAGAATCTTTAGAACTTGTTGGTGAGGGAAAGATAATGTCTGTATCTTTTGCTTGAGCAACTGATGGATGGTGGTGCTATTGAGGCCAGGGTGAGTGTGCCTAGGTAGACAGTTTCAATTTAGTCATTTTAACCATATAGGCAGTTATAAATAATATTCAAATATAAGAGTCTGGAGCTCAGGGGAGAAGGATTCTCCATTCTGCCTACTCTGTCTTGCCTATTTTTAAATTGTACAAGTCATCAATGATACACGTTTTCTTTTAAAAACCTCAAACAATATGTATAAAACTAAACTTCCCTACAACCACCTTCTTTAGTACACAGACACCCCCTCGTCCAGAAAGGTAACCAGTATTAGCAGTTTGGGATGTATACTTTTTCTGCATTTATTATAAGTACATGTACCTATAGGAGTATATGGTTTGTTTTTGTTTGCAAAAATGACATCATATTGTGTGTATTCTGTAAGTTTAAAAAAAATGTTCTTGGAATCATTCCATTTTAATCATTAGTAAGTTACTTTTTAATGGCTGTGTAGTATTCTATTATGGTATGAATATGTATTTTTTTTAACTGGCTGCCAATTGATATTTAGGTGGTTTCCTTAGGGTTTTTTTTTTTTTTCTATTATACAAATGGTAATTTTTATTCTTTTCAAGAATTTAAAATAATTAATTTTGATTATGTAAAACAAATGTTTAAGTACATAAATTATTAAAATTACCAGCATATTTTTGCAGAGCATCTCACAGTTCTGCCACAGTGATTCGCTGTAATTATCTGGAAAGAATCACTGTTCTATACTTTCATTAATCTTTCCTACATGAAGTTAATTTGAGTTTTTAAAATACATTGTATTTCTATAGAGATTTTAAATTTATTTTCTTTTTAACTTTGTAATTCATAGACAGTTTAGATTAATTTAGAATAAATAGTCTACACTACACTATTGAAAAGGGTATTTTTCCAGCAATAAATTGTTGATATAGATCAGCAACTGGAATAGTACTTTATCATGCATAAAATCAGCACGCAGATACTGGATTTTTTGTGCTACCTCTTTTTTTTTTATAGCAGTAACATTGGATTATAACATTATATACCTTTAAGATGTACATCATAATATATTTCAAATTCTGTATAGATTACATCATGTTCACCACCCAAACACTAGTTATAATCCATCACCACACATGTGTGCCTAATCACCCCTTTCCCCTCTGGTAACCATCAATCCAATCTCTATTGCTATGCATTTGTTTGTCGTTGTTTTTATCTTCTACTTATGAATGAGATCATATGGTATTTTACTTTCTCCCTCTGACTTATTTCACATAGCATAATTCCCTCAAGATTATCCATGTTGTCACAAATGGCTGGATTTCATCCTTTTTTATGGCTGTGTAGTATTCATCGTGTGTATATACCACATCTTCTTTATCCATTCGGCCCTTGATGGGCACCTAGGTTGCTTCCAAGACTTGGAATAATGTTGTGAATTGTGAATAATGCTGCCATGAACATAGCGGTGCATGTATCTTGATGCATTTGTGTTTTCAAGTTCTTTGGATAAATACCCAGCAGTGGAATAGCTGGATCATATGGTAGATCTATTCTTAATTTTCTGAGGAAACTCCATACTGTTTTCCATAGTGGCTGCATCAGTTTACACTCCTACCAGCAGTGTATGAGGGTTCCCTTCTCCCCACAGCTCCAACACTTGTTTCCTGTCTTGTTAATTATAACCATTCTGACCGGAGTGAGGTGATAGCTCATTGTAGTTTTGATTTGCATTTCCCTGATAGTTAAGGATGTTGAACATGTTTTCATGTACCTGTTGGCCATCCGTATATCTTCTTTGGAGAAATCTCTGTTCAGATCTTTTGCCCATTTTTTAATTGGGTTGTTGGTTTTTTTGTTGTTGAGACGTATGAGTTCTTTGTATATTTTAGATATTAACCCCTTATCCAATATACGCTTTGGAAATATCTTCTCCCAATTGTTAGGTTGTCTTTTCGTTTTATTGATGGTTTCCTTTGCTGTGCAGAGTTCATGCTGCCTCTTATTTACTTGTCTTGATGTCATAGTTCTGTGACAGACAGTCTTTTGGGTATTGAGGAGAAGATAACTATATAGAATGCGGTAGTGATGTCTTTGAGGGCCCTTTCTATAACAGGCACTATAAATTAAAGGAATATTTTATGCAATAGAGTGTTAAGGCTCTTATGTTACATCTCATTTCCTTTATATTCTGGATGACTCCTAAAGACTTTATGTCTTTATTTATGTATCCATACAACATAAGTAAAATAAAAGGACCGCTTTTTATTTTTTAATTTTATTTTTTAAGAAAGGGCCCTTTTAGTAAATCGTAGGTTATAAAACATCTGAAATGGTGCAATTTAAGTAAACAAAGAAAGTAAAGGGAAAAAAATATATATGTATATACTGTGCCAAGGGAATGAGCTAGTCACTATAGTTAAGGCCAAAATTTTAGTTTAGAGTATTTTCATGTATAAGTGAAGGGATGAAGCATATTGGATTTTATAGAGTTTGTCTCAGTAGGAATTATTGTTCCATTCCATCTTAGCAGTTTTGAGAAGACATCAAAATTGTTTTATATTTAAAATTTTTAATGGAAGCCTAATTTTCTATAAAAGCTCAAGGCAGCGTTTACAGTTTCAAGATATCTTGTTTGCTGTACTGTATTTGTATACTTTTTACATAGTACTTGGCAAATAGTAAGTGCTAAGTAAATTTTGTTGGGATTTAATCTTCACCTTAACCCACTTGAAATATTTCTAGTATTTTTATCCAGTCCTCAAAAGCCTAAGAACAAATCTTTATTTTAAAAACATATTAAGTTTAATTCAGACACTGTTAGTGATAAATAACAAACATTTAGAGAGCTTTTTTCATATACATAATCATTCAGTCTTTACAACAACCCTGTGAGAGAGAGGTGGTGTTATCCCTATTTTTCTGACAGGAAACTGGGAGCTAGAAGTTACATAAGTCACATAGTATCATGTAGTAAGTTTTGTAGCCAGGAATCAAGCCTAAGTGCCCTGACTTTGTTATAACTTCTTTGTTATATGAATCATGCTGTTTCCACGTAAGGGTTAACTCTTCCATGATTAGGGATTGAAGAAGATATGTTAAGAGTTGTTCATTTAGTATAATTCAATAGCTATTTCTTTATTCATTTCATTGAATAGATAGTTAAGTGTTTGCTGTATGTCAGGCACTGTTTTGGGCTTCTAGATTTCATCAGTGAACAAAATAAAGATTCCCTGCTGACATAGAATTTATATTCTAGCCTAGAGAGTCAAAACCAGTAAACATAGGGGCTGGCCCCGTGGCCGAGTGGTTAAGTTCATGCGCTCTGCTGCAAGCGACCCAGTGTTTCGTTGGTTCGAATCCTGGGTGCGGACATGGCACTGCTCATCAAACCACGCTGAGGCAGTGTCCCACATGCCACAACTAGAAGGACCCACAACGAAGAATATACAACTATGTACCGGGGGCCTTTGGGGAGAAAGAAAAAGGAAAAAAATAAAATCTTAAAAAAAAAAACAAACAGTAAACATAATTACTAAGTAAATTACTTAGTGTGTCAGAAGATGATATCTTCTATAGAAGAAAAAAATGATCAGGCTAGGTGGAGCAGACTGTAATATTGTCAAGAGAACAAGTAGATCAGAGGTCCTAAGGTTAGAACTTGCTGGCATATTTGAGGAATAGAATGTGCTGGCATATTTGAGGATTAACAAGGAGGTAGGTGCCTGAGTAGGGGTGGAGAGTAGAAGAAATAAGATCAAGAAGTTGGGAGCAGGGGAAGCACTCATAATGTAAGGTCTTTTAGGTCATTGTAAGAATTTAGGCTTTTACTCTGAGTAGAATGGAAAGACTTTGCGGGGTTTTGAACCTTTTAAGAGTCATCTTGGTTGTGTTGAGCATAGGTACTGAGGCTAGACAAGGGTAGAAACAGGGAGACCTGTTAGGTTATTGCAGTAATCTAGGAGAGAAGCATAGTATAGGAAAAAGATGGCTGTCAAAGGTGACTCTGAACAGATAGGTGGTTTAGGGTGGTGAGAAATGGTTGAATTCTGGATGTATTTTGCCAATAGAGACAACAGAATTTGCCAGGAGGTTGGAAGGGAAATATAAAGGAGAGAGTCAAGGATGACTCCAGGGTTTTTAGCCTGAGCACCTAAAAAGATGGAATTGCCATCAACTGAGAGAGTTTATAAGGAAGATCAGGAGTTCAGTTTTGGATGTGTTAAGTTCAGGATGTCTTTTAGATACTTAAGTGGAGTTGTTTAGAGTTTAGGATTGAAGTCTGAGATAGAAATATAAAGTTGAGACTTGTTGATATATAGATGATGTTTAAAGCCATAACACTGGGTGATACCCTTGAGGAAACCACTACTATAGAGAGGTAAGAGAAGAGGGAACCAAGAACTGAGCCCTAGGACACTCCAACCATAAAGAGTGGAAAGAAATCATCAAAGAAGACTGAGAGACTAAGGATCAATGAGGTAGGACATAAACCTAGAGAATGTGTCTTGGGAACTCAAGGGAAGAAAGTAAACCATGGAAGAAGGAATGGTCAACTATGTCAGATTTTGCTGATACGTTACGCAGGATGAATACTAGAATTGAAAATTTGTGTGAAGGCCACTGGTTATTTTGTGGTCTTCAGTGGTACATGGAAATGGCCTGGTTAGGACTGTTTATGTATTTTTTAAATGGGAATTTTTGATGTTTACAGTGTCTCCTTTGCTGTGTTCAGGTTTGCCGTCCTATTGGTGGTATGTCTGACAGTGGATCACAGCTTGGTTCAATGGGTAGCCTGACCATGAAATCACAACTTCAGATCACTGGTAAGTCTTAAAAAGATCCATTACTTTATCTTTTTTACCCCCTAGAATAAAAAATAATCTTAAAGGAAGAAAATCGTTAGTGGCTGTTACATATCAGGTGCTGAATTAATATTTGCTTAATGAATGAATGAACAAAATACTTAGCTATGTAAAAATTACTTTTTTTTTTCTTTTTAAAGATTGGCACCTGAGCTAACAAACTGTTGCCAATCTTTTTTTTTTTTCCTTCTCCCCAAAGCACCCCTAGTACACAGTTGTATATTCTAGTTGTGAGTGCCTCTGGTTGCTGCTATGTGGGACGCCGCCTCAGCATGCCCTAATGAGCGGTGCCGTGTCTGTGCCCAGGATCTGAACCAGCAAAAGCCTGGGCCGCCGAAGCAGAGCGCGCAAACTTAACCACTTGGCCACGGGACCAGTCCCCAAAAATTACGTATTTAGTTAGGATATTCTTGGGTATGTTTCAGGATTTGTGGTTTTGTTTTGTTTTTCATTTAAATTGGTGCCTGGGAATTGCTAGTGTTTTTTGTTTTGTTTTTGTTTTGTATTGTATTAATAGCTTTATTGAGAGAGAATTCACATACCATTACAGTTTACCCATTTAGAGGTCAATGATTGATTGTTAGTACATTCACGGAGTTGTGCAGCCATCACCACAGTCAATTTTAGAATATTTTCACCACTCCAGAAAGAAACCCCTACCCATTAGCAGTCACTCCCCATATCCCCCAACCACCCTCAGCCCTGGGCAACCAATAATGTATTTTCTGTCTCTATAGATTTGCCTATTCTAAATCTTTCATAAAAATGGTATAATAAAATATGTGGCCTTTTGTCTCTGACTTCTTTCACTTACTATAATGTTTTCGAGGTTCATCCATGTTGTATCATGTATTAGCTTTAATTTCTTTTTATTGCCAAATAATATTTCATGTATGGACATACCACATTTTATTTATCCATTTATCAGTTGATGGTGTTTGGATTTCTACTTTTTGGCTGTTATGAATAATATGATGAATATTTGCAGACAAGTTTTTGTGAAGATCTAAGTTTTCAGCTCTCTTGAGTATATACCTAGAAGTAGAATTGCTGGGTCAAATAATATTCATATGTCGCATTGTGAGGAATTCCAAATTATTTTTCAAAACATCTGCACTATTAACCTTCCCACCAGCCATGTATGAGGGTTCCAATTTCTCCACATCCTTGCCAATGCCAATCAAAACCTGTCTTTTTGATTATAGACATCCTAGTGGATGTGAAGTGGTATCTCATTATAAGTTTGATTTGCATTTCTCTGATGGTTAATGATGTTAAGCATCTTATTGGCCATTTGTGTGTCCTTTTTTTTTTTGAGAAAGGTCTGTTTAAATCCTTTGGTTGCTGTTGTTACTTAACTAATATCTCTTTTTGGTAGCTACTAACCAAGTATATCACTTTGAGATTCCTGTTCTTAATATGCCGCCTCATATGTTGCATTCCTGCTCAAAAACCTCAAGTGCTTCTCCTTGACTATAGTATAGAATTTATTTAGTCTAGTCTAAGATGTTTCACAGTCTGGCTCCATGTGATCTCTTTGTAGGTCTTTATGTATGAACTGTTTGCACTAGCCAAGGTGAGCCATTGCATTTTCTTCAAACATGCATGTGTCTCTGTCACACAGTGAAACCCCACTCTCTCTCCCTTTAATTTAATGGTGTTTATTGATTATAGAAAAATTATCATCCTCTGTGTGGTATTTTAGTTTCGTTTATACCTGACTTATATCCATCTCTGGATTATGAATATTAGGCCACACCATATCCTTATTATCCTCCTCAAAACCTAAAAGTGATTGAATTTCTATAAAAATGACACTTTCTTAAAGTGACAGCATCGTAGAATTTATTTTTGGGAATTCCTTCACTAACTCCAGTCTCTTTCCTTAGCAATGTCTGATTCTCAATGTAAGATATTAATATTTCCTTACCAAAGCCAGATTCTAGTTGTTTTCCCCCTCCCCATCCAAGCTTCTTACGACTTTTCTTATTTTTGGCAGCTTAATTTTGAAACCTTGGATTGGAAAAATCTTTTAAAAAACTCTTTAATTTTTCTGATTACATAAGTAATACACATGCTTTTTATTTTTAAAAACTCAGTAAAGTCATAAAGTGAGAGGTCCTTATTTATTATGTTAGTCCTCAGAGATAAATATTGTTATATTTTTTAGATTTAGATTTGTATTCCTTTAGACTTTTTTCTTTGCATGAACTGGCTGTCTTATTTGCTATCATCTTTATTATCATAGTAAGAAAAACGTTTAATAAATGCCTGAATGCATCTCAAGAAGACATAATTCTTAGCCATTTTAAAAGTTGGTTTTTTTTTTTTTTTGAGGAAGATTATTTCTGAGCTAACGTCTGCTGCCAATCCTCCTCTTTTTGCTGAGGAAGACTGGCCCTGAGCTAACATCCGTGCCCATCTTCCTCTGCTTTATATGTGGGACTCCTGCCACAGCACGGCTTGCCACGCGGTGCCGTGTCTGCACCCGGGATCCGAACCAGTGAACCCTGGGCCACCAAAGCGGAACGTGCAAACTTAACTGCTGTGCCACAGGGCTGGCCCCCATTTTAAAAGTTTTTAATCTTGGGTCTAAACATTCTGAGAAGGCAGAAGTATAGGTTAAAAACAATTTAATAAAAACAAACACCATGAAAAATGGATAAAAGTTATAAATTTAACAAATATATTATTAGATATGAAACAAATGGAGAGCATAAGATAATAAACAGTAAGTGCCAAGTTGAATAGAATCAAGTGCCTTTCATAATTCATTATTTACTTCTTTGCTTTGGATGAAAGCTTTTGAAACTGCAGAACTAGTTTTTTTGCACAAATCCCCTTAATGACATTATATTTTTTATTCTATGTTAATGAATCATTTATAGTATTTGTTTTTATTGTAAGCTGCCTTGACATCTTTCTAGAATCGAGGAAGGCATAAATACACAAGTATAAAAAATAAATACCTCTGTATATGGTAGTGGCAAGAAGAGATAATAACTGGTTCGGAAAGAGAGATCAATATTCAACTAGAGTTGCTGTGAAAAGGAGGTGGTGCTTGAAGTGTTGCTACTGTTTAAATGTAGAGGGGTAGAAAAGGATCTTTTCAGGAGAGAACATGTGCATTTCCTTCCTTACCTCTTGCTCAAGACTTCCCTTAATGACCCTAAAAGTCACTGAGGCAGAGAGGGGAGCCATGAGAATTAATGAAAGTGGGTCATCTCCTTCAGGTGTGTCAGGGCTACAAAAAAATCATTGCTAAGGGAGATGGAAAGTAATCAGGGTTTTTAACAAAGAACAATTAATCAGATTTGTGTTTTAGAAAGTTGATGTGAAGACTGATAGGAGAATTTGGGGTCAAAAGTTAAAATCCTCCTCTGTGGTTCTGCTCAAATTTATTTTCTTAACTTCCTATCATTCATACGTATATACATTACTAATAATTGTTTACAATATATATTTGCTAATTGGTCTCTCTTACCAGATTAAGTGAGGACAAGTAGAGAAATGGCAGGTGCTCTTTCAGGGAAATGGTACCTATTATAAGTTGTAGCAAAATAGAGGTTTAAAAAAATAATTCATAGTGCTGTTGATAAATGGATTGTTTAGAGAACTTGGATGTTTTAATTTCACTGAATTCTTTATAATAGTATCAAAGGAAAGGCAGCCTCACCTTTTGTTTTCACCATTTATATAAAATAAAAAAGTATAGTACCAGTGCATTGGTAACACTTTCCATAACTTGAATCTAACTAATTTATGGAAATAACTTGCATATATATTTAGCTATTACAAATTTGAGTTGAATAAGAAAGATTGTCTTTTGTGCTACTCTTTCACATAGATCAAGGTAATTTATTGCAGTAGCCCCTTTGGGAACTTCTGTTGGCATTTAAATGATCTGTCAACATTTTTGTTGGATATTGAATGTACCTGTATTGATCCTTGTGTTGGGCAATAGCTTTCCTGTGTAATTTATCGGATAGATGCAAAAATTATAGCAGGAAATCATAAGTACTTAAAGTATTTTGAATAGTGTGCCGTTAAAGCTTCTACATTTGAATTCTTGGCGAGGTCATCTAGCCCCTTGTCCCCAGTTTTAATCAACAAATTTATACAGACTAATGACTCCCGTTGTCATCGCACAAAATTGAGGTTCTCCTGCCCGATGCACATAAAAAAAAGCCAATCATTATGGCATCAACTTTTGGAAAAAGGAAACAGCTTTCTTGCTAAATTGATCTGCAAGGAGACAGGAGGCATATGCTCTCAGATCTGTCTCCCCAATCCAGGGCTTGGGGTAAAATTTATGAGATGAAGGGCAGAGTGGTCTGAAGTGTGGAGATAGGTGATTGGAGGTAAGGAGAAGTGAGGTGATTGATGATCTGTGTAAGTGTAGTCAAGCTTCATGACTCTTCACAGGACGCATGTTCACACAGTGATAGTGTTGGCATGATCTGAGGGTGGAGTTTTCGGCCTTTGATGTCAAAAAGGTCACTTATGGGGCATTTGCACAGACCCAGTTGATGGGTTGGTAGTCTCAACTGGCCTGAACTGGCCAAGGGGTCTCAGTTCCTGAAAAACCACTCTTAATTATATTCTGTAGATAAGGTGGGGTCACTTGAACTGGTCCTAGAGGGCCCATGGTTACACCATCTTCAGGGAAGTTAATGTCCTTAGATTTTAGTTCTGGTTCTGATATTTAATAGTTGTATAACCTTGTGCATGTCACTAATATCCTTGAGCCTCACATTCCTTATCTGTGAACTGAGGATATTAACATCTTTGTCACGTGGTTGTTGAGAGACAGTGTACATAAGTGGGAAAACTCCAAAACGCTATATAAGTACAGAGTGATATATTCTCTTTCGCCAAATTCCTTATTTCTTTCTCCCTCTAGGATTACTTATATCTAATTTAATATCTTAATAGCAGTCTAAGCCTACATCTTTTGTAAGGTTGGTTGCTTATTTTACATTGTCTTCTTTCTTAACAAAATCATTCAAATTTTCTTAAAATTTAAAAAGGTCGAGAATGAATGGCAAGAATGGTACTGATTTTGTGAAAGATCATTGATGTTTATTGTAAAAACTTAATTTATGGCCAGAATGGAAGTGGTAACTTTGTTATCAAGAGGTTAACTGGTGGATCACATATTTAAAATTTTCTTAACCTCTTTTTTCTTTACCCTTCATATTCCTGTCCATCATCAGATTCTGCTGATTTTTACTCTTATATTTCCTGGATCATCTACCTCTTTTTCTCTAATCCTGTGGCCTGAGTCCCTTACCTTGGATAAGTCTGTTTTCTTAGTTCTTCCCTATCTTTAGCCATTTCCTGTTTAATTATGTTCTATACATAACCTCAGCTATTATATACTGAATTTATGTGTGTTTTTTATTTGATACTTGCTGTATGTTAGCATAATACTATGTGGGCAAAATAAGTACTTTGATGTTTCCTAAAAATTTCTTAGTCTCAGTCTTACTCAAAGCTCGTCATTTGAGGAGAATCTGTCTTGATTTTAGTTACTACTAATTGGAATTAAATGCTATTCCCAAATTTACTAGAATACCATATATTTAGCTCCCAGTGCTTGGAGACCAGGAATGTCCTTCATACTTAAGATTTTAAGTCAAGAGTTTATATGCAATCTGCCCAGCCAAGACAGAGTTTGCCACAGAGGCCTCCTGTGGCCTGTCATGACTTCTGACTACAGAGATAGCCCTTTCCTAACTGGTTTTATCTCTTATCAGCTAGCTCATCTTACTGCTAATTTACCTGGTCTCAGCACCTTTACTTAATTTACCTTGTTTACTGTAGCCACCTGGTTCCCAAAATAGGATCAACTAAGGATTCACTTTTACTTTCTTTATATTTAAATTGTCAGAGTTTTTATTTTGTACCAGAGAGGTAGGATGAAGAACCAAAATCAGGTCAAAGTGTTGACCTTCAGAATAGAAGGATCAGAAGAACATTAACATATACCATGAAATTATATGCAGTAGATAATGTATATGTGTATAAAGCAGGGAAACTTGTTTTCTATCATCACTGATCATTTGGTTCAACAAATGTATTAAATGTCTCTCGAGTTTAAATCACTAAGTATTCTAGGAGTTATAAAGACTGGCTACATTTTTGCCATGAAGGGGATTACAGGGTGGGTTAAATAAGTAAAATAAGTAAAAACTAATAAATTTACTAAAAACTAAGACACAATGAAAAGCTGTAGGAGCCTTAAATATGAAAATGCTGTGGAAGCATAGAGGCAGGAACAGTTTAACTTCTTAGGTTTAAAGAAGCATTCAGTCAAAGAGAAGGGGGCATTTGTCTCTCAGGAAGTAGGATTTTATTGAGTGGAAAAGGAAGAAGGATCATTATGAGTGGAGGGAGTAGCACCTATAGAGGTGTGAAAGACAGGAAACAGCTAAGGGTTGGTTAGAATACCAGGAGTCTGGGTGGGATTTGGGTATAGGAAGAGGCTGAAAAGGTACAGCAATATAAACTGCCCCAGAAGAATTTAAACTTTATCTTGCAGGCATTAGAGAATCATTGAAAAGTGTTGACATGATCACATCTGTTTTAGGAAGATAATTCTAGTAGCTGTGAGGGATTGGATTCGAGAAGTGAGAGTAAAAACGGCCAGTTGTTAGAGGTCTTGCAGTAACCCAGGTGACAGATGATACTGGCATTTTTCTTGTTCCTTTTCTTCCAATTTATAATTTCCAATTCTTTTATTCTTTTAATTTACTATGGGAATTTAAATTTCAGGAGTAGTACATTGATCTGTTTTATAATATTAAGACTGTAATAAAAGTTTTATGCAATCTAAACTTTGAGATTTAAACACTTAAATAATTTCTCCTGTCCAGACTTTGCAGTGAACCTTTGGCAAACTTTTGTGTGTGTGTGTGTGTGTGGGTGTGTGGGTGTGTGTGTGAGGCAGATTGTCCCTGAGCTAACATCTGTGCCAGTCTTCCTCTATTTTTTGTATGTGGGATGCCACCACTGCATGACTTGACAAATGGTGTGTAGGTCTGCACCCGGGATCTGAAGCCACGAACCCTGGGTTACAGAAGTGGAGCGCATGAACTCAATCACCATGCCATTGGGCTGGCCCCTCGCAAAACTTTTAAAATCTGTTGAGCTTGTTTTTTTATGTGTAAAAATTAAAATGATAATACTTTTCACCCAGAATAGACAGTCTGGGTGACTTTTCACCCAGAATTGAAATGACAATATTTAAGTGCCAAACACATAGTAAACACAAACAGTTGGTGTTCCTTCCCCTAATATTTCCACATTTAAAGTTTCCTAAAATGGGTCTATTGGGGTTGGGTGGGATTATGTGCCAGAATAATCCTAAAGTTTGAATCCTAAAAAGTCACTGAGAGCAGAACATTTCCTTCCTTTCAGACTTGCATTGTTCTTTGTTATAGATTTAATCAGTTTCGGAGGACCACAAGAGCCCCTAAAATGTAATGGGCTTATCTGTAATTGTTTAGGCTCTTTCACCTTTTCTCAGACCAGAAGTGTATTAAAAATAGGAATGTTATATTTTTCTTTGGCAATCCTGTGATTAAAATTGGCTCTGTATTAAGTACTAAAGCTTTATAATACATATTAATCAGAGATAGGTCTGGTCCTCACTTGAATATTTTTTGTTATGAAAAAGACTTCTTACTTAGTGTTTCCACTTACACATCTCACAGGCATCTCAAATTTTATACATTCATTATAAAACTCTTCATTTCCTGCCCATGTCATCCTCCTCAAACTTGTTCTTTCTCAGATCTTTTCCATCTTATTAAATGACACCATCTTCCATCCAGTTATTCATGCCAGAAACTTGGGAGTTACCCTTGCTTCTTCTTTCCCCCAACTTCCTCATCAATCTAATCCTCTTACTTCTTAGAAAATAGTTATTCCTCTCCATATCCATGTTCACCACTCTAGTCCAATCCACTGTCATCTCTTGATTGGATCACTCTGGTAGCCTTTTAACCCCTGTTTTTGTCTCCCTTTCAGTTTATTTTTTTCCACAGCAATGGAATGATCTTTGAGTGTTAATCTGATCATCACTGTATCCTCAGTCCCCATATCAATAACTGATATATGTTGTAGGCACCCGGTAAATTTGTTAAACAGCACTCCTACTGAAAATTTCTCGCTGGCTCCTTATTACCTACTTTTCTAGCATTATCTCTTGCTGCTCTTTTTTTTCTTTCTTTGACAGATTTTTTTTTATAAAGCATATTGATCGTGAATCCAATTGAACTTTATTATACCAAGTATTTCACAATAATGTTGAAACTTTGATTTATAGAATGTGCAAACATTGTTAGAATAGCAGTCCTGCAGCTGACTTGGATGCCACCAAAAAGGCACACAGGCACAAAAGGACAGAAGCATTTGATGTATGTGAAATCAAGAGATTCAGGGCTGCTACCTGGGACTGTTCCTGCTAGAATGACTGTCTATGCTTTGGACTGTATATTGAGCTTTTGGGCAGCTGCTATACGAATTCCTCTAGCAACTCCAAGGGTCCCTTAACACATATAATAATGTGTTATAATAATGACAAAACCAATTCATTATATGTATGCTGTATTACTAACAATCTATGATTTACTGGTGTTTGTTAAAGCACTTTGTATGTAATTATTGCCCTTAACCCTGATGGGCAGCGGCAGTCTTTGATCTTTGCTGCTGGAGTAGATATCCAGGTGGTAGAGTATTTCCTTGGCTGTGATCACCTCATTTATAGGGGAACAATGAGTTGTCACTTGTGGGAACCATGGGTGGTCTGCTAGATTCAAATCTACTTTGTATACCTGCCAAGGGGATTGAAAAGGCTATTTCATGGCAAAAGTGACTAACTCAAGGTTGAACGCTAAGGAGTCAGTATCTCAAGATGCATGATGAAGGAAGCTCTTGTTAAGATAAGATGAGGTATATGAGGTACTAAAAATAATCTTAGTTTGTAACTCTCTTCCTCCAGTGACTTTCCAGCATGCTTAGAATAAAATGCAAATTCCTTATCTTGGTTTACAAAACTAAACATGATCTCCTCTCATTTACCATTCTTTTCTGTTTGCTATTTTTTTCCTCAGATAATGCCAAGCTTTCTTGCCTCTGTCTGGAATGCTCCCCTCTTTCCAGCTCCATTCTTCACATGGCTAGCTCCTTTTCATTTAGATGGTTGCTTAAAAGTACTTCCTTAGAGACTTTGCTTGTTACCAAGTCATATTCTGCCTCCTTAGCCTGTTTCTCCTCGCAAAGGTTTTTCTTTAACTAGGATGTTATCTTTTAGAGAGCCAGGACCTTTTCTGTACTGTAAACTGCTCTATCTACAGTTTAGAGCAATATCTGATACATGGTAGGCATTCGAATATTTGTTGATCAAGTTTGTTGATTTACTTTTTAATTGACCTCAGTTCTGGGACTACTGATACTGACAGTGGGGGTCTACTGATAGGAATTTGGGTGGATGGTGTGGTGAAGTCCTATATAATACAAAGGTCATGGGTGAATGAAATTAGTAAATATTTTAGAGTAAAACTGCTTCTCTGAGTTAAAAGTGATAGTATTCTGTTTAACCTTGATGAAATTAAATTAATTCGAAGGATGAACTAACATCTCAAACATTGAATATTTTCCCTTTTCTTAGTCATTTCAGCAAAACTTAAAGAAAATAAAAAGAATTGGTTTGGACCGAGTCCTTATGTGGAAGTCACAGTAGATGGACAGTCAAAGAAGACAGAAAAATGCAACAATACAAGTAGTCCCAAATGGAAGCAACCCCTTACAGTGTAGGTTTGAAAGTATTTTCTACCATATATTTTGTTTAGTAGGTGAGCAGAAATGCAGCTTTGAAAAAGTTTCTAACTTGTTTTCTTTGCTCCTCCTTTGTCTCATCTTTTTTTTTTTTTTCCTTTTCGTTGGTTCCTAGGACTCCTTCCTCTACCATTTTGTTTTTCTTTAGATAGTTCTGTTTTTCCAGTCTTCTTCTTTTTTTCCACTTTCTCCAGTTTAGTTGGTGATGGTAACACTGTTACCCCTGAACAACAGCTGAGAGAGCCCATGGTCGTGGGTCTAGAAAGATTCTTAGCAGCTTTTTCCTTAACCTAGGATTGAAATAGAGGGCTATGAGTAGCTTACTTTTTTAAATTTAATTTTTAAAAATAGGTTTTTTTATTTTTGTTTTTTTAATTACAATGTCCACATAGATCCTACACAGGCTTTTTTTCCTTTTTAACAAAAATTATGCTATACATTTTATTCTACATCTCTGTTTTTATATTTAACATCCATAATAGGTTATCTTTCTAGCTGAGTACATACAGGTCCAACATCACTTATATAGCTACATAATATTCCTTAATATGGATGGACTATCATTTATTTTACTAGTTCTTTTGTTTACTATTTACTGTTGATCAGTTGGTTTCTCATGTTGCACTATTAGACAGTGTTGCAACATGCATCCATGTGCATGTGTCTCTATGTTGGTGTTTTTATCTGTAGCATGAATTCATAGAAGTAGGATATAGCTCAATTTTGACACTTATTGACAAAGCCCCAAATGTTGCTATTGAACTCTCATTGAAGGGAATTATAGATTAATTTTAATTTTTTTATTAAAATGGAAGAAAAAGTATGATTTACCAATAAATGAGTTTTAAAATAATTTAGCATATTTGTTTTGGGGACTAAATGTATATTAAAACGTTAGTTCAAAACATAACTAGTTGTTACCACATCAAATATAGACAAATTGCTTTCGTGACCTTACATTGGAATTCTTGCATTTTTTTCCTTAGAGAAATAAACCGGTGGCTCAAAAAAGTTTTATTTCTAAGTGGTGAGGTGCGACATTTGAAACTATAAGCTCTTCTCTTCACATGATACATGCATATGAGGATAGTATTTATTTCTAATAAATGGCAAAACAAATCGGATATACCTATATTATTCTTTAACATGGATTTTTGAAGTTGTAGGGCATCTTGATATGCTTTATGATGATTTTGAGCAAATGAGTGAAATTTAAGAATTTACTGAGGATCATGTTGAGGCCTATTTGCAGAAATATCATTCTAATGCTCCTCATCTATATTTATTTTAACATTAATGTTTCTTAGATTTTGTTTTTAGTTAGTGGCCCATTGGAGATTGAATCTAAATTAAACAATATATGAGTAAAAATTTTTAAAAAGCCAGTGAAATCTATAAAAGGTCACAGCCTCTATAATGACTAGAGATGTTCACCATCTACTTTCTGCCAACTGCTGTTTCTGCTCACTAGATGTGCACTTTGAGATTCTTAAGCTAATAATGACATGGACTCCGTACTGGTTTAAAAGTTAAGAAAAAAGAAACTCTTCTTGTAGCCTCATATAGTAGTGCTGTTGTTGAGCCCAGATGTTTGGGGGAAACACACAGCTCAAGTTCTTCTCCTGAATTTTTAAGTTGCAGCAGATTGGCCTGCAGTTTTAACACGGCTTCCATAGTTACATATCAGGCTTTCCAGATTTCTCTCTAGAACTGAACTGAAATAATTCAGATAAGAACATCTTTGACAGTATACTTTATCCTCTCTCAAATTAAAATTAAATTTATCAACTCTTATTCCATCCGCATTATGATTTCCCAGAGGACTAATAGAGAAATATTTTCTTAATATAATATATACTATATGTTCTCCTGAAAGTAACATCTTAGAATTTTGAAAAGAAGAAAGTGAACAGATTCTATCACCCCCCCCTCCCCCCAAAAGAAGCAGTGTTAAGGTGAAAATTTTTTAGTTTGTTTAAACTACCTGTCAACGTTAAAATGGTGGTGGAGTTATGATGGTGGTAATAGGCATAGGTAGATTTCTAGGGAGGAAAGCACTTATTTGTCCCCGAAAATTTGATCACATTTTAGAGAAAATGAGGTATAGAGAAATTCAAATATTTCTAGAATTTGTCTTGATAACATTGAACCATTGGACTTTGGTAGATTATATAGTGTTCCTGTTTTTTTAATTGATGACTCTAAAATAGTTTTTATACAGTTTATTGCAAATGACTGTTCAAACATGTGACATTCAAATATGTTTTTCATAAGATTATAGAATATAGGCAATATTGGTTGTACAGTAAACTGTAAGGGATGCAGTGAGAAGATTTTAGACATTAAAACCTATTATAATTTATTTAGGATCCCATTGTAATATTTAATGAAAATAATATTTTTTTTTACTTTTCTTCACCTTTAGTATCGTCACCCCTGTGAGTAAATTACATTTTCGTGTGTGGAGTCACCAGACGCTGAAATCTGACGTTTTGTTGGGAACTGCTGCATTAGATATCTATGAAACATTAAAGTCAAACAATATGAAACGTATGTATGTAAAAATAATAGAAATTATGCTCAGCTGTTTGTTTTTCTGGAAGAAATTCATATGCCAAACATGCAGAATGACTGTGTTCACTATTTAAGTTTACTTGGTTATAATATTACCAGAGAGAAGAATCTTGAACTATTTAAAGCATTCCAAGTAACCTTGGTTTAGCCATTTGTTTTGGATCCAATATTTTAAATAAATATTTATTTAGTAAATAGATATTTATTAAAATACTATGTACTCAATTATAGAGAACTAAAAAACAGAGCAGAAATGAAGGAAAAACGTAATTCCACTTCAGAGAGGCAAATATGGTTAATATTTTGACAGATTTCCTTTTTAGATGCTTATTTTTTTAATTTTCTCATTTTAGATAATTGTGGTTTTATTTATATGTATATAGTTATATAAAAACTTGAAACGTGCTTGTTTTTATTGATATATCATGATTTTAAAACATAGAGTTTTTCTATCCCTTAACTATCTAAAACATACTTCTAAGAATTTTCTCATCTAGGATTTAGGAGATATAATCCATTCTTAAGTTATATGCTGTCACTCAATATACTTCAGACGTACATTGCTGAATAATCTTGGTTGCCCTGCTGGCTCATTTTATACAAGGATAGAATTAATATAATAAATGAGATAATTGAGCTATTTAGTATTTTATATTATGGATATTAAGCATTAGCAAATTTTGTTCTATTTTCTGAATGTTTTGGTTTTCAAAGGCCTGAAACCTTGGATACAACAATTTATGTACATATAAATGGAAATTTTTTCTGACATTGTTTTTAAGAGTTGAGATAACTTAAAGAAAAAAAGTGACTATTTTGTTCTGTAATTTTATTCTCTTTCAGTTGAGGAAGTAGTTGTGACTTTACAGCTTGTAGGTGACAAAGAGCCGACAGAGACAATAGGAGACTTGTCAGTTTGTCTTGATGGGCTGCAGTTAGAGTCTGAAGTTGTTACCAATGGTGAAACTACGTGTTCAGAAAGTAAGTAATCACTTTTTGTATAAGGTCTTTAATGATCCTTCTTATATTAGCCACTGTAGTATGCTGTGTGTAATTATTGCTATTCTTATTCACATTAAATTATTTTATTTCCTTTTTAAAAAGAGTCATTAATCATTTTAAACATTTTCCTTTTAGTGCATTGTTTATATGAATAAAACATTTTTCTATAAGTTGAAAAGCTAGCCAAATAAAAGTTGAATCACAGTGGGCCCTATGAGTAATGAATTGATATATAAAGTATTTATTCTGTAGGCCAATGATAGCAGTTAATATGACATATATGATGTCACTCCCTGACTAGTGCCAAAGGCAGACATAGTTTGTCTACAGCAGTGTCCAGTTGAGTTTAAATTTGACTCAAAATCCTTAGTACTGTACCAGACAGCCAATACAAGCTGAAATCCATTTGTCATTCCTCTTGTTTCTGTAGACTACATTTATAGAGATGTCTTTGTGTTATAATAGTGACAAAACCAATTCATTATATGTATGCTGTATATCTTCCAATTTATGATTTATTAGTGTTTGTTAAAGGGAATAAAAATGAGCTGTGATTAAGAGAAGTTTGGTGGCACCTGAGTTAGTGCTTGCACAGCTAGCATGCTTAATAAAACTACTTCTCAATGGATTCCATTTAGATATTTCCATTACTTACCAATGTGCTAAGTGTATTTTCACTTGAAACATAGATTTTAGAGGCCCCAAGAGAAAGAGCAGATTAATGGTTTCCTTGATTAGTCTCACAAAGATCTTTTGTTTACTTAGAAACTGTGTTATGAAACATTTCACAGTTGTCAGGTGCTATTATTCTTCTGTTTCTACTTTCGAAGACTTCCTACTTCCTGCTTAACTTATGACCTTTTCTAATAGCAGAACCTTCAAAATAGTCCTGCTGTATCTTCCAGATGGGTTCTTTGGGGTTAAGGAGAGTAGAGAGAAATTTCTGAAATAGTTGTACTGCTTCAGAGTTAACACGTTCCTTTTAATTGACTACAAACTCTATAATAGTTACATTTTTCTACAAATTGGAATTCTGGAAGATAAGATGCAACTTAAATTACATTGTTAAACTGCTCTACACCTCAGTATTTATAGCTTCCTAAGTTTTTTACGCTATAAATTGAAACTCTTACTAATGCAGAATATTTAATAACTAACAAAAGTAAAGCATGTCAGTCTTCATATTTCAGCGTAGGATCTGAACTGCATTTTTATACTTCTGACTTTACTGTTTATTTCCTATAGAAGTGGATATTTCTGTGTCACCAGTTTTCTGCTCAAGTAGGACAATAATTGACAAAATTAAACTTGATTCTTTGAAGAAAAGAGGGGTTTTAACCGGGAAGTCACAGTAGATTTTAGCGTTGGAGTTGCCAGATACAATAGCTGCCACTTTTTGAATGCCTGCCATGTGCCAGGCACTATGTTAGTGTATTTACATAGATACTCATTCAACCATCACAACTCTGTAAGGTTACTTGCATTTTGCCCATAAGTGAGGCTCTGAGAGTTTAAATAGTGTGTCCAATATCACACCAACTTAGTATGATGTAGAGTCAAGATTGAAACACAAATGTTTGTTGATATTTCTTTTCCTTTCCAATACACTATTGGTTTCACACTTCAAAACCTAGGAATTTTAGATCAAATCATGAATTGTGTAAGCAAACAAAGAAAACCCAGTTCAGCCCACAGGCACATGCAGTGGGAACTACACTTGTATTGTTCTTTGACTGGTTCCGTTTCTCTAACTTTAACTACAAGCCAGAAATGAAAATTAGAGTTTAACACTAAAATTGAATTTCTAGTACATGGGCATTGTTTGGTTGAATAAGAAGAAGGGTGGGGGCAGGGGGAGGAGGACGAGGGGCTGTGGCGGTTGGGGGATTGGTTGGTAGGTATTGCTGTTGCTTTGTAGTCTGATATTTTTCTTTCTTTCTTTTTTATTTTTAAGATTTTATTTTTCCTTTTTCTCCCCAAAGTCCCCTGGTACCTAGTTGTGTATTTTTAGTTGTGGGTCTGTCTAGTTGTGGCATGTGGGATGCCGCCTCAGCATGGCCTGACAAGCGGTGCCATGTCCGCGCCCAAGATTCAAACCGGCGAAACCCTGGGCTACCAAAGCGGAGTGCGTGAACTTAACCACTTGGCCACGGGGCCAGCCCCTAATATTTTTCTAATCTTACAGGGTTTTTTTCCCTGAGCGTGTTCAGTTACAAGTTTTTGTGGAAGAACACATAGGATGGTTCTTTATAAGAAACCTGTTCTTATACACTGTATTATTTTTGGTTAATTTTTAAATAATGTTTATAAAAAGAAATCACTGTCTGAATTTTGATATTAAAGGTTACCAAATAAAGCTTGCTATTTATTTAGATATACTGTGAAGACTGGATTTTCCTGATGAGAGAACATTATCCCTTTTAGTACTTATACATTTTTGGTTCATTCTTTTTGGTGGATGAATTTTCTAAAAATGGCAGTTATATAAGTAAACCTTTTTCCAGTGAAACAGAATTTACTCGGCATGTTTGTTTGTTCTTCCCACTTTTCGTCAAGCTTTATTTAAAAACGAGAGCTTTATATCTCCACCCCACCTCCCCACCCTTGCCTCACTCAGGGAACAAGTTTAATATCCCACTGAGAGTCTCAGTTTTAACTTTTTTTGATACTCCTTCTTATTTCTCGGATGCTCTCTTTCTTTCTTTCTTTCTTTTTTGAGGAAGATTAGCCCTGAGCTAACATCTGCCGCCAATCCTCCTCTTTTTGCTGAGGAAGACTGGCCCTGAGTTAACATCTATGCCCATCTTCCTCTACTTTATACGTGGGATGCCTACCACAGCATGGCTTGCCAAGCAGTGCCATGTCTGCACCCAGGATCTGAACCAGTGAACCCCGGGCCACCAAAGTAGAATGTGTGCACTTAACCACTGCGTCACCGGGCCAGCCCCTCGGATACTCGTTCTTATTTCTCTGGTTTAGAAAGTAACTACTTAATTTGCCCTGGTGTTTTCCTCTACTTAAGTACATAGTTAATCTGCTTTTATAAGTCTCTGAGAAGAGGCCTTTATTTTAATTTGCTAGTTGGTAGACGTTGTTGTAGCCCTCAGATTAACTCAACAAATTGAGTGTGGGCAGTTGTTCCTATCTGCAAGAACTTCCCCTTCATCTATTTTTACTTGTTGGGCAGGTGGTAGTGGTGGATTGTTAGTTTTTACAGCTGTCTTCCCAAATATGACATCCAACAAGAAACAACAAAAAGTATTATTGTCGAAGACATTAGTTTTCCTTAAGAGAAATAAAAATCTATTTTACTTTTAAATTCATGATTATAAAATAGGAACGTATTCTTGTAAAGATCTTTGTTCTTTACCGTGTATACTCTGGAGATGTGTTTAAAATTAATTTAAGGATAGTTTTTTGCATATGTGACCTCTGGTTTTTATTTGTATGTTCCATTTCATTTTGATTTTATCTCATTCTTTCTTGCATTAGACTCTAGTTTTTGTAATTCTTTTTAATTTTAGGGTAAATAACCGTTTTCATATGTGAACATATCTATAATGTTTCTTGTCAGTATAATAAATTCTAAGCAATTAGCATAGTTGTTTTGCTTTACCAAATATTATGTGAAATTACTAGATTTAACTGGGTCTGGGTACCAACTAATTATTTTATAGAGAGAAACTGCTGTAATGGTATTCTTTAAAATTTGAATTATATTTGAACATTTTTTATGTAATGTAATGTACTTTCCAAAAAAAGCCACCAAAACTCCCTTTCCACACTTTTTTTGTCTTAGTTTACCAGTACTACTTTAAAAATTGAAGTATTAAGGCTATAGCACGGTTATTGCTGATTTCAACTAAAACTTTACTGTATTCTTCATTTATTTTTAGCATTTACAAAGCATTTTGATTCATATTTTCATATATATAATATATGTAACATATATTCTCATTTAATATGTGTAAGATATAAACCAGCATAATAGAATTAGTACCCTTGAACCACCACACAGCTTTAAGAATTAGAAATTAACGATATCATTGTGTCTCCCTGTATATTCTTCCCTCTGTCATTCCTTATCTTTCCCCTAGAGATAATCAGTGTTCTGAATTTTGAATTTATCATTTCCTTGCTTTAAAAAAAATTTTATCACATATGCATGTGTCCCTAAACGGTGTATTACTTGTGCTTTTTCTTGAGCTCTATGGAAATGTCGATATTGCCTTTTAAGATTTATCCATATTATTGTATCTGTAACTCATTTATTTTCACTGCTGTATAATAATCTGTTGGGTGAATGTACCACAGTTTATCCATTTTTATGTCAAAGGATATTTGGATTGTTTCCAGTTTTTTGCCTTTATGAACATACAGTGATACATTGAACATTTTTGCATTTATGTATTTATATGTCTCATCATACACAGGTTGAAGGGTCTATGTAGGATCTATACTTGGGAGTGGAATTGCTGGAATATAATGATATGTACATTTTCTTCTTTACAACATTCATTGTTTCTTCAAACATGCCCCATTTTTGTGCTTCTTTCGATTGGGGTGGAATTTACATCACATACAATTAACTTCATAAAGTGTACAATTCAGTGGCATTTAGTATATTCCCAATGCTGTGTATCCACTACCTCTCTAGTTTCCAGAGTTTTTCATCACCCCAGAAAAACACAGCATTGCCCATTAAGTAATCATTTTGCATTCCCTCCTCCCTGTAACCACTAATCTGCTTTCTGTCTCTATGGATTTACCTATTCAGATATATCCATAAAAAAGGAATTGTACTGTGTGTGACCTTTTCTGTATGGATTCTCTTACTTAGCATATTGTTTTTGAGGTTTATCCAAGTTGAAACATGTATGAGTACTTCCATTCCACAATTTGTTCATCCTTTCATCCACTGATGGGCATTGGCTCATTTCTACCTTTTGGCTATTAATGAATTATAAATAATGCTGTTATAGACTTTTGTGTACAAGTTTCTTTGTATACATTCTTCATTTCTCTTTGGTATATACCTAGGAGTGGAATTGCTGATGCTTATTTTTGATAGTTTCTCCTTTCTTGCTTGTTAATTTTCTTTTGATACATAGTTTTTTACGTTCTCCATTTGAAAATTCTAGTATCAGAAATCTTTGGGAATATAAATGTTTTATGTCTGTCCTTCATTGAGGATTGTTTTCTTAATGTGTTTGCTGCTCGTTGATTGCCTGTTTATATTGATCCTAGTCTGTGGGAATTGTAGGGGCCTGAAATGGGGATTCTTTGCTCCAGAGAAAATTTCTTTTGCTAAGGTGTGCCACATACCTGGGAACACTTTAGCTCCTTTCCAGGATACCCAGCCTAATGTGACTGTCTGATTCAGCCCCCTCACCATGCTGCTAACCCAAGCCTTTGTTTCTGATCCATCTCATAGCTGATAATAGCCCTCTGTGCATCCCTTTCACATTTGCTTACTGCACTCAGTTCCTGTTCTAGTATCAGTTCAGTTGTTTGTTTTGCTTTTGAGATTGCTAGGCACCCATAGGAACAATGTGTTAAATTGCTTCCTCTAAGAGCTAGTTATTTTCTGGGCAGGAGGGCCCTTTTGAGTAGCCCCTGTTGTCTGTTGAAGAAATTTTTTGTGGATCTTCTTCCAAAGCATCCTGTGAGTAAATAAAACGAGTTCATTTAGAAATCTGATCAGTTTTTCTTAAGGACGTTGGATTGGGAATACTTTTAAAGAGCAATACATTTGTAAAATGTAAACTTCAAGTACAACCATTGTTCTCCTTTTGGATATTCATTGTGTAAGTGTTTTAAGTACTGGATCTTTTTTTTTTAAACTTTTCTCTGGTTGAAAGCACAGAATTAGATGTAAATAATTTATAAATTTCATAGTTATCGCTTCACTGTGTATTGAAGTGAAATAAAAGATTGAATGAAAGTGGCCCTGGTTCGAACTTTGCTGATGAGATGTAAACTTTTAGAAATAATGATAGCTATTATTTTATGGAGTGCTTATATGTGCTGGGCACTATTCTAAGTGTTTATATGTTTAATTCTCACATCTGTTCTATTAAGTAGGTATCATTGTTGTCCTCATTTTATACATGCGGTAAAAGGCATGGGAAAGTGTACTTTTCTAAGGTCACAAAGTTGGTACGTGATGAGGCTAGGATACAGACCCAGGAAGTCTGGCCTCAGAGTCGATGTGATTAAATATTAACTATGCTTCACTGTAGTAAATGAGAAAGTTTAGAAGTAGCAATATTGGTAGATTTAAATAGATTATTCCAAACAGTTCTCTTAATTTTTGAGAAGAGTGGGATAATAATTGACTGATTTTAGTAACTTATGCTGGATATTTTGGTTTGGTTTTCTAATTTAATTTGTCTCATCAGCTATTTGGGGGAATATATTCCATATAAAAATAATTCTTATAAAACTGAAATGTGCCTTTTTCAACCAAAAATGTGTTTCATTGTACCATGTTTCTTAAAACCATTTTTAACAGCTTTATTGAGGTGTATTTTATATTTCATAAAGTTCACCCATTTCAAGTATGTGATTTAATGATTTTTAATAATTTAACTGAATGATCCAACCATCACTGTAAATTGGGTTTAGAAGATTTTTATCCCCCCAATAAGATTCCTCTTGCCCATTTATAGGAAATCCTGTTCCTACCTCCAGCTCCAAGCAAGTACTAACCTATTTTCTGTCTCTAAAAATTGTCTCTTCTGGACATTATATATAAATTGAATCATACGATATGTGGTCTTTCGTGTTAGGCTTCTTTCACTTAGGATAATTTTTTTCAAGTTCATCCATGACATAGCATGTTTCAATAGTTCCTTTTATTACTGAATAATTTTCTATTGCATAGATATACCACATTTTATCTATCTTTTCCCCCAAACTATATTTTTTAATGTAGTATTTCTAGACTAGATGAAATATTTGCCAACCTTGCAAAGTATGATATAGTGGTGACTCAGCATCTTTTTAATGAACTAATCCATTAATTATGCTTTGGAGTAACATAGTGGTGATTTCACTGTTTGAAACTATGACTGTACTCATGGACTATTGTTCCTTAACTAAATGACCTAGAATATTAAATTTGAGTTCTTATTTCTGCATTTTATAGTTTTTCCTTCTCTGTCTACTGTTTTTGCTCCAATCACTGCCTACCTTTAGCAGCCTCTCTCTAATGCTTTTATAGTACATAAGCCTATACTGAATCCTAGGGATATCTCCCATGAATAAAAGTTGAAGAAATTGTGAATGTTGTGGTGTTCGTTTTGTCCACTTTGAGACCCATTTGTGCCTTTCCTATTCTTGAAGCTGTTTTCCAGACCCTTGCGTAAGAGAGATGTTACAGGATTTTCTGTTTTCAGAATCTGTTTTATTCATCATCCTGCTGGTGATCAGCACTTTTTTTGTGAGGTATTTAGAATACAAAAGATAGCTAAAATAATAGATTAGAGTTAGAATCAAGCAAACATATTTCAAAAAAGGCAGAAGTAGCACGAGTAATATACCTTGACTAATTAACATCTCACACAATTTTGGTAAAACTTTTCTTACTTCAATCATATGAACATTTATCACATTTTCTTTTTAAATGACATGTTGAAATTTATGTTTTAGTGTCTTCTCTACTGGAAGATTTAATAAAAGGCTTTGCTTACATAATATATTTATGAAAAAAGTGAAAAGCAGTTTTTAAAACTCATTTTCTGACTAAACTTTATTGACGTTAAAGGTGCTTCACAGAATGATGATAGCTCCAGACCCAAGGACGAAACAAGGTAAGAGTTCACTTATTGCTTACTGTAGAATGCAGAAAGAGACGAAGGAGAATGAATAAAGATTCATTTTAGTCAAAACTTCAAGTTCAGATTGATATAAAAATACATGAGTGTCGAAAAAAAATTCAGGCTCAAGGTAAGAAAGGAAATATTTATGAAAGATTCAAGACTCAGCTTATCTGACTGCAGTTCTCTGGAGTAGGCCAGGGATACCCACATCACTAATACTTCCTTCATCTTGGAGTAAGTGAATATATTGGCACTTTTACAAAGGCAGAAAGTTCAGAATCCTAGGGCCATCACTGGGCTGTTAAATTTCTTTTCTAGGAAAGCTGGAATATAAGCTTTGGGTATATGTGAAGGCCCTCACTAGCTATGATATCTTCTGGGCCTTCAGAGAAGGGGCAGAGATTTGTGCCAGCTGTTGGCTCTTAGCTTAGATTTAGCACTTTAATTCAGCACTATCAGCCTTTAGGTTTAGGGCCTGAAAAGTGTTGAACACCTTGGGTTGTGTTAAGTGACTTAACAAACTTTAAGTGTATATTGGTTATCCTAGAAACTGATAATGGGAGATAAAATTAGGAAAGGAGATGACCCTTGTCTTAAAGCAGTAAGGGACAAGTCTTAAATAGAGAATTAAAAAATCACACTAGATTCTTTTTTTTCCCAAATTGGGTAAGCAGTGGGTAGGAAGAAGATGAACCATGGAAGGAGTAGTCAGAGGAGGAAAACAAGAACCAAAAAGCAGTGGCACAGAACATAAGGGAAAATATTCAGAAAGATGGGGTATTTTAGTGTCAGATGCTGTAGGGGAGGATAGTGGAGCAAGTAGAAGAAAACGTCGATCATTGGTGAAGCTGAGTTGATAGGTCCATGGGAGTTTGTTGTACTATTCTATCTACTTTTGTGATGCATGGAAAATTTAATAATAAAAACTTAAAAACAAAGGACAACTCAAGACATTTAAGAAAATCAAAGTTTATAAAACTGTTCTATTTTACCTAATAGAGATCTACCTTCACAGAATCACTCCTGTGACAAAAAAATCTTTTATACTAATCTCATAAGAGGTAGACTATTAAAGAGTAGTAACTTCTTGCCCAGAGAACAATACCTACTTTTATTTCTCACTGTGATTAAAAAGCAATAGAAAAATTTTGGTCTTTTTGATTTTTTTTTGCGTGTGTGTGCTTTGGTGAGGAACATTCACCCTAAGCTAACATCTGTTGCCAATCCTCCTCTTTTTGCTTGAGGAAGATTGTCCCTGAGCTAACGTCTGTGCCAGTCTTCCTCTGTTTTGTATGTGGGATGCCCCTCACAGCATGGCTTGATGAGCGGTGTGTAGTTCCACACCCAGGACCCAAACCTGCAATCCTGGCTGCTGAAGCGGAGCACATGTACTTAACCCCTACACCACCCTGGCTGGCCCCAGAAAAATTTTTTAAGATTTCATAAATATCTCCGTAGACAACTTATGCCTCTTGTGCCTCTTTTTAGTTCTACATATAATAGAAGATTCTTTGAATTCCTGAAATTTCCTCCATTAAAATGTCTTAATATTTCAGTTTGCTTTGGTCAGTTAACTCCTCTTTTGAGTAATTAACCCAAGTGTTTTCATTGACAAGTGAGAATGTAATCGAATTTTGTATGTCCATTGAAAGCTTCTGTTATGCCACTCTCTTGTTTCTCTTTTGCAAATCTCTTTCTTACAATACTTTTATGAAACCACTCTAGACAACTATAAATTTCTTGCAAAGGCATTTCCAGAGCCTTAGCTTCGTGCCAATTATTAAATCAATGCTTTACATGTTCCCAAATGAATCTTTGTCCTTAATAATCTGAGGAACAGTGTCTTCCAGGTTTCTGAGACTGCCAGACTAATCTTTGACCATGTCTTTTGTGTTCAGCATGAATTCCTTTGCATTAGCTTTTATTCCAGAGAGCATACCTGTGTGATGATGGGTTTGAAATGCATTTTGTAGACTGTCAAATGCTGTTTAAATGTTACTACACGAAATCATGGCCATGACTGGCTTTTCCCCTTTGCTTTTATTTGCAGACTTCATAACTATAAGACTAAAAAGCAGGGCAACATATATGTAGTGAACAAAGTCTTCGGCTCCTTACCAGTTACCGTTTAAAAAGTTTACTAAATAGCTTTAGATTATTTTGCCTTGTCCTAATTCAAGCACTATGTGTATTATAAATGTAGCTTGCTTGTCTCCTTTCCACCATAGCATGTCTGGATGTTTAATGTTTCTCAGTGTTGTCTTTGTCATTTTTATGAAGTACCAAGATGATTGGTGCCTGGTGTTCAAGATTTTGTTGTTACATGTGCCTTTTTGACTGCTACTCTTTGATTTGTATATTTCTTATGGCCTTATTGTATTAGCATCTCAGTTCTCAAGGTTCTTTATCCTGTCCATAAGCATCTGAGTTTATGTATACGTCAGATATATATGTGTGGTGAGATAAGCAGAGGTTTGCAAGATTGTGGGAAAAAACCATAATAGCACATAATTAGCTAATTGCTTCTCAAAGATAATGGTGGTGGTGGGTTCACACTGACAATTCTGTATAGTGTATAGGTTTCCATATTGGTTTTTAAAAACCATTTTGGGTTTTAACTTCACACCCACTTATTAAAGTAACTAAAACAAACCACCAATGTTATTTTAGTACTATGGCCATGTTTCTCAAACTTCAGAGTATGTTAGAATCACCCGGAGAGCTTTTTAAACTACAGATTGCTGAGTCTCATCCCCAGTTCCCAATTCATTAGGTCTAGAGTAGGGCCCAAGATGTGCATTTCTCAGAAGTTTCCAGGTTATGCTGATGCTGCTAGACCAGGCCCTACACTTTGAGAACTACTATGGTTAGACATATAGCTATTTCTTAGATTACAATAAACTATGGGTTTTTCAGTTACATAACAAAGGCTATTTCTTGAAAATCCAGGCTTGCAGAATTTTCCAGAAATGTCACTCCATCTTAATATACTTTTTTACTTCAGAGCTAGTTTGAATCTTGTTTCTTTTTGGACTGTTTTTATTTTTGTTTACTATTAGAAGATAAAGTATTATTTTAAAAAATGTAAATCAGGGTATAAAATGTATAAAATCTTCATGGAAGAAATAGCATTTGACCTAAGAACACAAAGCATGGTTATAATTTGGATATGCATGTCTTGGTGAAATTGCAGAGAGGAAGGAGTTCTAGGGGAAAGGAAGAAAAACAGTCATGGAGGTGGGAGAGAACACAGTGTTTTATTAGAAATCTTCAATCATAGTGTTTGGCTGAAAATAGAGTAATTGAAAGGGAGAAATGATAGGAGGTGAATTTGAGAGTAGAATCAATTAATATTTATTGCCTGTTACAATATGTCAGGCAATATTGATAAGCATGATTCCTCTTATTTCAGTTAATCCATAAACATTTCTTTGAGGTAGGTAGGTATCATTTTTTACAGGTCATGAGAAAACTGAGGCTCAGAAAGAGAAAGTTTCCTGAGTTAAAAGTGTGCATGGCACAGTTGAACCTCGGACAGCCTTACCTTTAGAGCCTGAGTTCGTAATTATGCTTTACTGCTGCCGAAAGTGGAATTTTTTTTCATGTAAGTGCTTAGCCCTCAATAAAAGTTATTTTTAGTATTACAGAGGTTGGGGCCAGATGGAGATTTTGGTTTGCAAGTAAGTATAGGCTTGTAGAATCTTTTTCTGTGGAGAGGAATGTCCCTAAAAATATTTGCATAAGGCATCAGTATGATCAGAACTCCATAGGAAAAATTACGTTGTTTGACAGTTGTGTATAGTTTGGATTATGTGGTGGTGAGTGAAAGTGAGAAGACCTATTAGGAATTTGTTACGGTAATCCACTGAGAGATAATGAGGGTTAGAACTGGAGCAGTGGTGGTAGAAAAGTATAGAAAGAATGTGGAAGTGAAATCAGTGGGACTTGGGTATTGAGTGTCAAGCAGCACAGGAGAGAAAAAAAGTCAAATTGTCTGGGAGAATAGCAGTATCTCCTACAGAACCAGAACATAGGAGGAAGAGTAGCTTTAGTATTGGAGAGTTATTCTAGATCTCCTACATTTAGATAATAGTTTGGTACCAGAGAATGGGAATGAGGCAAAGATTAAAGAGTCTGATTTGGGAATCATTTTAGAGATGATCTTTGAAATCGTGGAATTTGAGACTCTAGGGGAAAATATATGGAAAAGGAAAAGGAGGACAAGAACAGAAACAAAGGGACCTACAATTTAGTGAATGAGAGGAAGAGGACAAACCAAAGAAAGGATGGTTAGAAGTGACAGTACAAGATTAGAATAGTGGTGTCACAGAAGTTGAGAGAAAAATGTTTTTAAAAGATGGAGTATTTACCACTGTCAAATACTGCAGAAAAGAGTGAGATCTCAGAGTAATCAAGCCAGGTAAAACCGGCTGTGTGGAAAATGAAAAACCAGGTTAGAGCTTCAGCTCAGCCCAAGATCAGAGTAGATTCCAGGTTGATTTTAAAGTTGATTTCAGGGGCTGGCTCCATGGCCGAGTGGTTAAGTTCTCGCACTCCGCTGCGGCGGCCCAGGGTTCGGATCCTGGGCACGGACATGGCACCACTCGTCAGGCCATGTTGAGGTGGTGTCCCACATCCCCCAACTAGAAGGACCTGCAACTAAGATATACAACTATGTACAGGGGGAGTTTGGGGAGATAAAGCAGGAAAAAAAGAAAAAGATTGAGAACAGTTGTTAGCCCAGGTGCCAATCTTTAAAAAAAAATAAAAAATAATAAAATTGATTTCAAAAAATGAAACTATAAAACCTTTAGAAGAAAATATGAATAATTCTTTCTTTTTTTTAAGATTTTATTTTTTCCTTTTTCTCCCCAAAGCCCCCCGGTACATAGTTGTGTATTCTTCGTTGTGGGTTCTTCTAGTTGTGGCATGTGGGACGCTGCCTCAGCGTGGTCTGATGAGCAGTGCCATGTCCGCACCCAGGATTCGAACCAACGAAACACTGGGCCCCCTGCAGTGGAGCGCGCAAACTTAACCACTCGGCCACGGGGCCAGCCCTGAATAATTATTTCTGAATAAATTATACAGAAATATAAAACTCTTGTATATTTAAAAATATAGAATTAAATGCAAATGACAAATATTTAACCAATATTAAAGATGATAATTAGTATCCTCAGATTGTAAAAAGCTTTTACAAATAATAAGGAAAATATTCTCCTATAATAGAACAATATACAAAAGACATAGAGTTCATGGAAGAAGAAACTCATATGGCCTATAAGTGAAATATTGTTGAAAATTAACATTTTTATTTACCAGATTGCCAAAGATTTTAAAATATTTAAACACTTTATGGTGAGATGGCGTTTTCATATCCAGCTGATGGGAGAACAGATCAATTATTACCTTTAAAATATTTCTTTAAAAATTTAGCAATCAATATTTCAGTCTTCAAAATATTTGCATACTTTGACCCAGCTATTCTGTTCTCTTTCTGAAGGAAATAGAAAATGCCAAAATAACCCTGCAAACAACCAACCAACAAAAAGAAAATGATTAAATTATGGTATGTCCATATGATAGGGTATTCTACAGTCGTTAGAAATGTTTTTAAATAATTTGGGGGAAATGCCCGGTATATAATGAATAACAAAACAAAGAAACAAAAACTCAGCAGGATATGAAACATCGTATGATCATATACATTGTATGGTCACAATCATAGCCAATGAAGAAAGACTGACAAGAGATACTCCTATATCTTGATGGTAATAATATCCAGAATATAGGATTGAAGGTAATTTTTATTTTGTAATTAGAAGTTACTTTTCACTTTGAAAACCTTTTAAAAATTAAAATGCGCTAACTACATTAATTGCATAAATAAAAAAATTATAATAAAGGAAAGGAGTATGAGAGAACAGTTTGAGGAACAGTTAGCGTTGAGGAAGTGTTTTAGGTTGAGGGGTTCAATTATATTTGTGAACTGAAAGGAAAGATCTAGAAGAAGGAAGGTGATGGAAGATACAAGAAAGGTATTAAAAGAAATTAGAAAGCTTTTCTCAAGCTCCTAAAACTTTAAGTTTTGGTCTCTCTGCTGGTTTTTTTGTGAAATGCAAAGAACATTCATTTTCCATTCCCTTTTCTTTCCTGCCTTCGTACCCAGAGCAAGCACAAATGGATCAGATGACCCTGAGGACGTAGGGTCTGTTGAAAATAGGAGGGTCAATGGGAATAATTCTCCATCACTCTCAAATGGCGGTTTTAAACCTTCTAGGCCTCCAAGACCATCACGACCACCTCCACCTACCCCACGTAGACCAGGTATGTATTCCAGCCATACACTAGAGATGTAGCTCTCAGTATTGTGATTGTAAATAATGTTCTGTTTGGGAACTGACCCTCAGGTAGGTGTCAAGGCATCCTTTTAGATCAGTTTCCTATATGTATTTTTACATTTAAGATTTTGGTCAAGAATGATCTTTCTATAGGTAATCAAGATGTGCCTTTTCCCTAAGTGTTTCCTTCAGAGGTGAAGTTATTGAGGCAAGTGCTCTACTGAGAATGAAAATCACATGTGCAGCATATAAAGTATAGGCAGTACAGATAAGACTGCAACTTTCTGGCAAACTTTGTAACTGTGTGAACATAAACATGTCCCAGAATCAAGGATCTGGTTGTTTATTCTCATTGTATCCTTTAAAAAGACAATTTGTAAATGGCAAATGACCCAACAATGCTAAATGATATTCAGATTTTAAAGCAAAAATTATACAACAAATGAACATATTTCACGTAGTAAAAATCTGGACATCTACAGGTTCATTTTTCCTGATTAGCCAGAATAAATCTTTAATATATTATTATTTTCTTGTGCTAGTATGTGGCAGGGAATGTAAAATAATTAAACCAAATATTATTAGAAAAGTAAATTAGTTGTCTACAAAGCATTTTGTTAAATGACTGTGTTTAATTATATACTTCTCCTTTTTTTCTGTAGATAATTGTGTTAACAATTTACTTCCAACCTTTGAGATTGTATACTACTTTGTCATAATATTGGAGACTTCCTTTGGGAATTGTTTTGTCAACAAGTATTTCTTCAAGATGTAATATGTACTTAACTATTTTTAAGAATATTATTGATTATCACTCAGATCTTCCGTATTTGTAATTAATATCAAAAATTGGTCTCTGATCTTCAGGGTTTCATAGGAAAGACAGTCTTAAGGATCTAGAAAGTTAGTAAATGAATCTATAATAAGGGATACCAAAACTTTCCTATTCTAAAAGTTTTTATTTCTTGTGACATTAGGAAATCAGAATCTATATGTGCTTCATAATTAATAATGAAACATGGGGTAGTTAGAACTTAAAAAGTTGTGAACAAGCCTGTTAAGTGGGACCATTGGCTAGTTCCCATTATGTAAGTCATTTTCATCTGCATATCCACATCTTAAATTTTGTTTGTCATCTACCTTTTTATTGTTTTAAGTTAATGTTCTATCCTGAATTTAGATTTCTGAAAAGATATTGCTATTTTCCCCAAATCTTTTATAGCATCTGTCAATGGTTCACCATCTGCCACTTCTGAAAGTGATGGATCTAGCACAGGCTCTCTGCCACTAACGAATACAAATTCAAATACATCTGAAGGAGCAACGTCTGGATTAATAATTCCTCTTACTATATCTGGAGGCTCAGGCCCTAGGCCATTAAATCCTGTACCTCAAGCTCCCCTACCACCTGGGTAAGTAATTGTTTTTGATTAACACTTCTTTTCTTTAGGCTTCTGCATATACTTATTAATAAGGAAAATAATGCTGAACTCCATTCTTTAAAAATCTGTCTCCAAGCAATTGTAACTGATTTTGGGGAGGAGTGTGTAGAGTCAAACTGAACAAAAAAAGCTCTCACCGCATTTGAAATTTCTCCCCTCATTGCTAGGGTAAAGTGGAAGAATATATATATATTTTTTGAAGGACTCTGAACCACAGAAAGTTAACCAAGTCCAAGTAATAAAATAGTCACCTAATTCAGATTGCTTTTTCTTTGAAGGGAAAAAGAATCACTTTTTAAAATAAAAATTTTTCCATCATGAAATCATTTAAAGCAAAGTTAGGAAACTCAGAAAATTAGTACTCATAATCCCATTTTAATCTCTACTAATTATATTTAAAATTAATAATACTCCAGTAGTTTATATATGTATATACATTGTGACATTCAAATTAATCCAGAGCTCAGAATGCTAATCAAGATTAATTGGCTAGCTGATAAAGTAATAAACTCTCATGTTGAGAATTTTAATTGCTAAACAGAATTATATTACTTGTGTGGGTAGTTAGGCCATTTTCCTTTTGGAAACCTACGTAAGAAGCCAGAATTGAGAATTGTTTGTGCAAGAGATTAGCAAAGAGAAACTGGGTACTCTTAGAAGTGATTGGTACACCTAAGCTGTGATATTTTTTTCCTATCTTCTTCACTTTGGGGATAAACCTGTCAAGGAGACTAGAACAATAAGATTGACTTTGTCTGTTGGACTGTGCAGAGACACACCTGATAAAGTCTTATTCTTTATTTTCAGCTTTTTTAGAACCCAAATAGTCCTTTGCCCTTCATTTAGCAGCTCAGTCTTTCTTCAGATTTTATAACATTAATTACAGCTTTCTTTTCCATTCAAGTCCTGCATATACCCTGATCTGATTGACTCAGACTTTGTCTCCTGAGTGCATTGACCTCAAGCCTCTTAAGAAACATAAGGCATCTCCTAGAGCAGATAGTTCTATAGAAGAAATCTCATCCACTGTGTGTCACCCTCAGGATAACATTTCTTGACTTTATTCCTAAATTCTTTTGGAATAATCTTCTTTATTTACTAATATTCTTATTCGCCTCAGTTCTGAAATATGGTAATGTAAGAGAAAAAGGCAAAGACAGGATTAAAAAGCCAGGCTATTCATACAAGTATGTTACCAGCCTTTTTAATTTTGTCTTTAAGTTGGGAGCAGAGAGTGGACCAGCATGGGCGAGTTTACTATGTAGATCATATTGAAAAAAGAACAACGTGGGATAGACCAGAACCTCTACCTCCTGGGTAAGTGTCCAAATTAAAGAAGAAAAGAAGTATTTATTCAGAACTATAGATTATATCTGTACAGAATCTTCCCTACATTGCTGCTTTTCCTCTCTCTGTCAGTCTTTTTTCTACCCACTCTATTTTGTAGTGAATACAAACTGGAAAGCATCAGAGAATTGATTGAGCATGATGAATGATTTTTATCGTCACTCATTTCTAACCTAAAGATTCCATAGGTCTTGCTACTTCCAAGTTTTCCTTTTTGAACTTTTACCTGGCTCAAACTGCAGGGTTTTAGGATTGGTTTCTTCAAGGGTAATTATTTAACTGAGTAAGAATTATAGCCCCATCATATATATGAGGATAAAGTCCCTATTATATTAAAAAGTTTAATATGTAATAGTGAGTTCATTGCAAAATAGTTGGGGAAATAAAGTGTATATTAATACATGATGTTATGCATTTGGCATTTACATTATATAAAATAATTGGAAGAAAAATATTTTTATTCAACAGAAGTCAGTAGCAAAAATGGGGAAATAAGTTAGTTACAACTCTTACAGGAAGTATATGTAACCATGATAATGTACATACTTGTAGTAATCCTCTCTAGGAAATTTATCCTAAAGCAATAGTGCAAAGGAAGGAAAAAAGTTGTGATATATTAAAGGTATTTATTATTTTAGTATTTATAATATCAGAATATTAGAAAGAACCCTAAACAATCAGGTAGAAATCACCAAATTATTGTGTCAACATTTACTTAATACTATGCATCCATTTGAAATAATAAATAAGATAGTTGTATTCTTGTGAAAAAGTGCTTTTTGATATCTATGGAAAGCTGTATATACAATTGTGTCTGTATTGGGATAACAACAGTCAAAAGAACATGGGAAAGAAAATGAGAACTTTTTTCTTAATGACTGTTCCCCGCCCCCCCCCCCGTGAATGGACATTGTGTTTTAAAAACCTGGCTGATACATCTTAAGAACTTTTAAGAAGGAAATTTTGGGGGCCAGCCCTGGTGGCCTAGTGGTTAAGTTCAGCACATTCTGCTTTGGCAGCCCGGGTTTGGTTCCCAGGTGTGGACTGACAGTGCTCTATTAATGGCCATGATGTGCTGGCGGCCCACATACTAAAAAATAGAGGAAAAGTGGCACAGATGTTAGCTTGGGGCGAATCTTCCTCAGCAAAAGAAAAGAAAAAAAGAAAGAAATTTGTAGAAACACTTATCTTAAGTTTACTTATATACCATTTAAAGATATATAAAATAAAAGACTTTAGGTAAATAAAAAATAGTTTCTCAAGGTAAAATCTTACCAAACCCGCACCAGGGCCAAGGTGAAGTCCTGCTTAATTCTTATCTGTTTCATAAGTATTTGTTGAATTAGGTTGTTTTTATCCTGATTTAGCTGGGAACGGCGGGTTGACAACATGGGACGTATTTATTATGTTGACCATTTCACAAGAACAACAACGTGGCAGAGGCCAACATTGGAATCCGTCCGGAACTATGAACAGTGGCAGCTCCAACGTAGTCAACTTCAAGGAGCAATGCAGCAGTTTAATCAGAGATTCATTTATGGGGTGAGCAGCCTGTTGCATTATACACTTAATAAGAGTATTTGGTTTTCAACCTTTTCCTGCATATGAGATGTAAAGCACTAAAAAGAAGGTACAAGTAGGATGGCAACCCAGTTGTTGCTGTTGATAGATATTATTGTTAGACCTTGACTTGAGTATTCTATGTGATATGTTCTTTCCTCTTTGAAATTTCCTGAAGTTCAACCTCATTTGCTTTGTTAATGTCAAAAAAGAAAGAAGTTAAGACAAACTTAAAATCCTTGGACAAAACAATAGTAAAAATAAGCCCAAATAGTTTGAAAAGAATTAAAACAGTTCTAAATTTAATACTGCCTAACTTAGCAGAACATCTGAAACCTTGGGTCTAAGAGCACCTGACTCTTTGGTGGTTATATAGAACTGATGATAGAATTGCATCATTTTGTAACATATAAAGGTAAAGTTTACCTAATACAGTATTTGGTACTCTAGGAGACTAAAGAAATTTGATTTCTTATAGGATTATGCTAAATATATTATTCTGCCTTCAAAACTATATTATCTATATATAAAAAATTTCCTTTCTGGAAATGGCTTAAGTTTTACATATTTTCCTTTAGAGTACTATTGCAGCAATAGTGGTAAGCACACCAAAATGTATTGATGTTTTGTTAATGCAATCTTTGGTGCTAGGAATTTTACAGTCTTTCAGATCATAAAGTATCACAGATCTTTTCTCTGGGGAAAGGGAAATAGTCCTTGGAGAAATTTGATTCTATGTACCAAACAAGAGGGATTTGTTTGAGTAATATATAGAACTTAAACAACTCTCCCAGAGTTCAAGAGAAGCTCACCCTCTTTATTGCCATCTCTTTCCCTCCACCACCATCAATATCATCCCTGTTAGAATCCATCAGAGTAAATTCCTGTCTTCACTAGGCATTGCATTTTTCCTTCTTCCCCATATTCCTGTCTATTTCTTGGACCTCATCACCATCATAGTTATTATTCACTAATGTGGACAAATTCACCTTTATCAGCAGCCTTCCCTTCACTACCTGCTTATGACTAAGATAACTTTCTTTCATATAACAATTTGTGCTGCCACCTTCTGTAGACAGCTGTCACTATATTCCCCTTCTCAGTGATTTTAGAAGTGAAATTATTTTTTGTCTCATCAACCTTACCCTTTTTTCTTTTCCTATTCTGTTTTACATCTTCCTTTCTTTCTAAATTATAATCACCTTTGATATGCCTGGCCAAATTTCTTCTAGGTTTGAATGCCTAGCTTGCCTGCCTTCTTTAAAACTAGTTTCCAGGGGCTGGCCCCAAGGCCAAGTGGTTAAGTTTGCGCACTCCACTGCAGCGGCCCAGGGTTTCACTGGTTCAGATCCTGGGTGTGTACATGGCACCACTCGTCAGACCATGCTGAGGCAGCGTCCCACATGCCACAACTAGAAGGACCCACAAGTAAAATATACAACTATGTACTGGGGGGATTTGGGGAGAAAAAGCAGAAAGAAAAAAAAATTGGCAACAGTTGTTAGCTCAGCTGCCAATCTTTAAAAAAAAATAAAATTAAAAAAATTTTTAAAAAAGTAGTTTCCACATGGGTAGCCAGCGGAAAGAGCATGGGCTTTGGAGTCAGACACATCTGGGTTCGAATCTTGGTCGCGCAGTTACTTTCTATGTATGACTTTGAGTAAGTTACTTAACCTCATCAAGACTCGTTTACTTTATCTATAAAGTATATAAATATATATATATATATTTATATATATTACCTCAGAAGGGTTTTTTTGAGGATTCTGTAAAATATAGTTCCTAATATGTTTGGCACATACTAGATGTATAGAAATGTTATTTTTCTTCTTTTCTCTCCCTCATATCCACAATTGTAAATGTACCCTTTATCTCACTTTGACAGTACAAAATCTCTTAAAACATTCTTTTTAAAGACAGATTTAGCAAATTTCTGGAGCACCTACAGTGTGTATTGCTTCATTGTAAACTTGACCAATTTGATACTCGGAGTCTTTGGAACTTTTCCTGAATTGCAGCTTTTGCCTCATCATCCATGTTCTTTTTTTTTCTCCTATCCAAAATAACCTGACAAATTTTCTGCGTTCTTAACTCTTTGCTTTGTTATAGAATGGTTCTAAATCAAAAAGAACTTAAACAGACTATTTCAGTTACTCTTAACATAGCAAACAGTATGAACTGAATTGAATATTCACAGTACCAGCTACTTAAAAAGTGGTGGGGTGGTGGGGTGGTGGGGTGGTGCTGAGAAAGTCTGTTTATTGGGTATCTGAAGTGGCCTTTGTTCTGATCCTGGTTACAGAGCAGTGGACTCTCATACACTCAGCATCTTTAACCTCACAATGGATATCGTTGATGATGGAAACTGTGTAATGGCTCTTCTTGTCCCATGGCTTCGTTGTACATGTCCCTATCTTATCTGTCCAGGAAGAGCCAGTGGGATAGGCTTGGGTCTTAGAAAATTATCAGAACAGTTTGTCAAATGCCAAACTTTTCAGGGTTCTGTAACCAGGGTTCAATCCTTTTATAGTGTTTTTCCCTGGCCTCCTACTCTTAGTACTTTTCACAAAGCGAAGAGAAGCAAGGCCAGTTCGTGAAAAGTCTGTCTTCCAAGAGCTGTTAAATCAGAAATGGAATATCTCTCACATGCTTGGAAACTTTTAATCAGTTAACCCAATTTCTGTAATAAGTCAGTGACATGGAAAAAAAAACAAAAAGAGATGGTGGGAGAAACTGCTATAGATTGAGACTCAAGAGACTCAACCTAATGTAATGTGAGGACTTTGTATTCTGATTTGAGCAAATAAGAAATCAGAGACATTTAATTAGGAGTTGGGTTTTAGATGATAAAATTAACATAGATTCTTTGCTAGGTATGATAACGATATGTGGTTATGTAAGAAAATGTCCACAAATTTTAGAAAGGCATACTAAAATACATAGTGGTGAAGTGATGACTGGTTTTTCTTCAGCACAGAATGGGCAAAAAAGATAAATGTGGCAAAGTCTTGATAATTGTTGAATTTTAGTGTTGGATATATGGGGTGTGCTGTCCTATTATACTTGTGGGGTTTTTTTTTCTTCGTAATAATTTTTTCTTAAAGCAATTAGAGTCTGTTATTTGTTTGCCTTATCTTATTAAAGAAGAAAGGGCTTAACCAAATCTTACTGAAAGACCACAAATTGTCCTCACTTTATTATACATTTAAACCAAAACCTACTCATTAACCCTACACAGAGTCAATATGACTTTTGCTTCTCTTTTTCCAATGGTTGACTCCTGCTTTTCTTTTATCTAGCCAAACCTCTCTCTCCGCCAGTGTGATAATAGCAAACAGAAATTTAAGAAGTCTTCTATATAGTTCTAGGCTCGTCAGCTCCTTCCAACTGGAATTCTTTCCTTTCACTCATCTGCCAATCTGTTCTTCCTGTGCCCCCAACTCTATTCCCATAATTCTTTGAATATACCATGTACTGTATATGATCCTCTCTTTTTGAGTTAGAAATAAAAGATTTTTCTCAACTATCTGATGACTCTGAGTACTGTTATTTATAAATGACTTTTTTGGTGGTATTATATATTTCTCTAATTTACTGATTTGTAGTTAAAGAAGAAGAAATGGTTATTTGGGGGTTATGTACTTGTAATGTTTGAATTTCAAATAGTTACAAATGTTAAATAATGTTTGCAAAGATTTTTTCTCCACCAGAGTGTATTGATGTTTATTCATGACTGTGTGATACTTATCTCTAAGATGTGAACTTTGTAAGAGTGTGTTATGTTGCACATGGCCGGGGAAGGCATATCAGAACTCAAAGCTTGATCTCAAGTTATCTGCTTTAAGTTGTTCACTGTTTCACCATTTTGTTGTTGTTGTTCTTTTTAGAATCAAGATTTGTTTGCTACATCACAAAATAAAGAATTTGATCCCCTTGGTCCCCTGCCACCTGGATGGGGTAAGTCACATGAATTTTTTCATTGAATTCAGTCATTTCAAAAATCAGGTATTTATAGATGATACTCTGCTCTAGCTTGAGTGAATTTCTGGGAAGCTTTTTGGGTATGTTGGTTTAATTCAGAGTGCCAAATAGGCATTAAATTTTCCCAGAGTTCTAAGTTGACTCTTTCATTATGGTGAATTTTTATTGGAATTCAGAATTATTTTACTTTTCTAAAGTTTAAAAATATTTTTGCTCACTCAGCAATAAAAATAAATAGATTATTGATGCACACAACAATCTGGATGGACCTCAAGTGACATTATGCTTAGTGAAAAAGTCAATCTCAAAAGATTATGTACTGTATGATTCAACTTATATAACATTCTCAAAATGACAAAACTATACAGATGGGAAACAGTAATAGTTGCCAGGAGACAGAGCCAGTGGTAGGTGGGTGCAAATACAGGAGGTAACAGAAGTGGTTCTTTTTTTTTTTTTAATGAATTTTTGGTGAGGAAGATTGGCCTTGAGCTAACCTCTGTTGCCAGTCCTCCCTTTTCTTTTTTTCTCTCCAAAGCCCCAGTGCATAGTTGTATATCCTAGTTGTAAGTCACTCTAGCTCTTCTACATGGGATGCCACCACAGCATGGCTTGATGAGCAGTGCATAGGTCTGTGCCGAAGATCCAAACTGGCGAACCCCGGGCCACTGAAGCAGAGCATGCGAACTTAACCACTTGGCCATGGGGCCAGCCCCACAGAAGTGGTTCTTATGTGGTGGTGGAACAGTTCTGTATCTTGACCGTGGTGGTGATTACACAATCTATACATGGGATAAAAGTGTGTAGAACTATACATTCACATAAATGAATTCAGCTTTAAGAATTCATGCATATTGAATAAAGTCTATAGTTAACAGTAATGTACTAGTGTCAGTTTTCTGATTTTGATACTATAGTATAGCTATGTGAGATGTTACCATTGGGGAAACTAGTTGAAGGGTATGTGAGATTATTTGAATGATTTTTGCAACATCCTGTGAGTAATAATTATTTTAAAATAAAAAACTTAAAAACAAATTTTGATCACTTTGGTGCTTCCAAAACACAGTTAGGAGTTTGGTTGAGTTGATGTTATATGAAAGAACAGTAGAAGGGGGAACGTGTTAGAGTAGTGACTTTGTGCCCTACACCATGAAGCACAAGATTATGCTCTGTTATCAAGTACTTTTGGTACCTTGGTTATTGGTGGGCCTACCCTCTCAGAATTTGGTTTTATAGCATTATATAAGTCATAGCACTGTAGCAAGTTTCCAGAATAAACATGGCAGTGTAGAAATAGTTTTGCATGAAAGCCAAAGAGAATATAGAAAGTGGAAAACAGCAAAGGAAAGCCAGTTATGGAACCAGTTGAAGTTTTATCTTCAAGAGCTGCAGATATTTCATAACATTGGGGTAAATTCAGAAAGTGATATTTCTAGATAGTCTTGTTGGGAGGCATCAATCCTCAAGATACATTGCTCTAGCATTACTTCTTTAAGGAATGGAGAAAAAAATTGATGGATCAAGATCGCATGAATCTAGGCAATAAATGATATTGGCTGTGTAAGCCTGCCTTTGAGAAACCCCGTTGTTCTTAAGGTTGTTTATACTTAACACTCCTGTGAGTCAAAGAGGGAAAAATGTAATAGGTTGTATTTATAACTGTTATTGTTACTAGCTTGTAACCAAGGGAGGGTATATGAAAGTTGTGAATTTCTGTCTTCACCAAAGCCTGGCTCTCTAGTAAGGAGTCTTGGCTCTACTAGAACCTCGGAGTGGACAATGTATAGTTGGTCTGAACTGCTTTAGAAGAGGGGATGTTGCTCTTAAGAGGCATTTTGAACCAGACCTGTCGTATTGCTTTCCCAGACATGGACGGTTTTCTCAGCTTTATTTCTAGAGTTTTCGTATGTCCATGTTAGAGTGGATAAATTGATGCACTGAAAGGATATATCTGAAAGGTCATGTATTTATCCTCTTAATTTTATTGCAGAAAAATCACGATGCAATTGGCTTTTGTCAGAAACACAGCCCATTTTACTCCTTCTCCAGAGCAGCTATAAGAAAAATGGCCTCTTGCTCATAGAAGCACGAATTGCAGCCTATGTTGACTTTACTCGAAAAGCTTTCCCTGCAAACTGGTTCTAACCTTCTATATTTATCATTATCCTCATCATCAAGAGCTTCCTTATTATTGCTTTAGCCATCAGCACCTCCCTAAAATACTGTCTCTGAAGTCCCAATCCCAGCTTATTCATAGGTTATCAGAATCTTGCCTTGCTTACTTTAAATTCTACTGATTTTTAGGTTTCACACTCCTGAAGTTGAAGTGTAACCCCCGTCCCAAATGAGTTCTTGGTCATCCTGTTACTCAGACTGAGCATTGCTTTATGATTCTCTGCCTTTGGGGCGTATGCCTTATTTGTGGAACCAGTGACAATACTGGTACTGTAAAAGATGACACTCAGCTGACATACCCTCAGGATTTAAAATCCCAGTTTATAGCCTGTGTTTACATTCTGAAATTGCAGCAGCATTTTTGTGACACCATATATATTTAAATCCAACTTCTTCAGTCTTTCAGACTTTCATATGCTAGGACTAAACATTACCACCTTACACACTGACAGTGGAGAATATTAATACATGCAAGGTACAGAAGCTGGAGAACAAAGAATGCTTTTGGTTCAACAATGTAGCCTAATAGGGCTTTGTATAGCTGGTTTTACTCATCAAGTATAAAGATATTTACTCATTTTCAGAGTTGTTATGAAAGAATACATAGAATAGCAAGAAGCTTCTGTTTTTTACTGTTTTATTCAAGTCAGGAAGTGCTCTGATGTGCATTCAGGTTTGGTGTTCTGTAATTTCAGTATTGTTTGTCATGTGATTTTTTCCAACAAAGTAAGAAATCAGCTCTACAGCCACAGTACTTCCTCTTACTAAGCAGATGAGTTTTCAGTTTGCAAGGGCATCCGCCTTTCAAATTTTGTTTTTCACAGCCTCTTCCAAGAAATGCTGATATCAGCAGTATATACTTAGAACATAGACAGGAAATAAGTTTTCTATTAACTTTATCTTGCCTCATGTTAGCTTTTGAAGAGAAACTCTCTGGCCCTGAAATCTGAACTTAAATGGCAGATAAAAGATGAGTATATGCTCAGCTATATACTTAGGGTATTATTTTTAGATTATAGAAGTTACTTTTAAAAAATTATTTGGATACAAGAAACTTACACATTCTGCAAATATATTTAAAAATTTACATTTAATGTGATGGCTAAGAACATTAACTTACTTTGTTATCATGTAGCCAGCTGTAGCACTGTGGTTCCTTCTTTTTGCCTCAGAGACAACCTTAAAGTTGGTTACATGTTTCCACACTCAAGATGCCATAAGCAGTGAAGCCAGTCTTAACATTCAGTGTGTCACAAGATGTAGAGTCCCATTTTTCTGTATATTATGCACACTTGGACTTCTATTTCCATTTTAGGCTCAGCTGATGTAGAAAGTAGCTGAGATGTCAGGAGCAGATTCATGATACTCACCAGTATATCACTTCTAACCCCTCATATCATCACTGCTACTTGAAATCGTGGAATCAGTGCTGGAGATAAAGTTAAATGTGACCAAATAACAACTTGACAAAGCTATTGCAAGACTCATCCTGCAATATCTTGCTTGAAAAAAGATCCAAAGGATCTAAATAAATGTTATTTGAAAAATAGATGCCAACTTTTCAAACCATATGAAATAAAAATTGACTTTATCAGTATGGAATTAATCTTAAAATTTTGTTTGAAAATTGCTAATTTTTAGAAACTGTGCTTTTAAAAAAGTTGAAATCCATTACTCTTTAATACTTCCAATTATTCATTTTGAGACATCTTGGCCAAATTAAATTTAGATACAGGAAGAGACCTATCTTTTGAAGAATTAATTGGTAATAGAGCAGAGAAGTCAATAGTTCAAAACAACAACTTAATATTAAAATTTCAAAACTTTTTGGTTATTAAAAGACAGTCACATCCACATGTCTTCTAAACCTTAATGACAAAGTTCAGGGAAGCAGGGGAAATTTTGTAGAGTGGGGACAAGAAAACTAGAATCCTAAGACGAGAGACAAGTGAGGAAATAAACAGCAGCCACAGATGAAGTAAATTAAAGAACTGAGCCCTGCTGCCCAGCTCTTGTGTAGAAAGTTACTATAGATATTTAGGATTTAGGAACTGAGCATGTTAAGGAACAGGATATATTTTGAAACAGTCTTCTCTAGTAGAATAATGCCTAACATGTAAGAAAGAAACAATTAAGTTATATCCCTCCATTATATTTTTAGAAATGAGATAGTGTAGTATGAAAAAATCCCTGATTGGAGACCTGAGTTTCCATCCTGTCACTGCTACTTAATTCTGAGATTTTGGGCAGATCACTTAACCTGTCTGAGTTTCCTTATCTTGAAGATAAATTAAAACCACCTACCCAAGGGACTGTTAAAGATAAAATAAGATCATGTATGTAAAGTTAAAACAGTTAATTATTCTTGCTGCTTTTGGCTGGATTGAGCAGAAAGATCCTGTGGGCAGAACATTGCCATTAAGTCTATTTAGCTTCTAGGATATACTGATTTTTTGTAACCTTAGTAAATATGTGAATTTAATAATGAAAGAAGAAATTAAAACTTTTTAGTTTAGTTTTAGTTTAAAGTTGTGATTTAAAATCGACAAAATCAACAATGCAGTAAGAAATTGGCAAATTCAGTTCATCTTATTTTATTTTAGTTTGAGGAACAAGACTACACCAATTCTAATGTTTTGAATTTCTTTTCTTTTTTTTAAGAGAAGAGAACGGACAGCAATGGTAGAGTATATTTTGTCAACCACAATACTCGTATTACACAATGGGAAGATCCCAGAAGTCAAGGGTAAGAACTTTCAGTTACTAGTGTATAGATAACCTCTTAAAGATTGTACCCTATTTCTGACTCAGTTATGAAAAAAAATAAAAGTTACATATTCTTTCCCAAAGGCCTTAAACATTAATCAACCATATACATTAAAAAGAGAAAAAATTGTTACTGTTACTTTCATATAATGGATTTGGGTTTCTTGAGAGTATAGGGGGGAAAAAAACCTCATTGGTATATGCAATTACACTTATATATTCAAAAATACCTATTTATTATTAGTAAGACCAGATTAGTAATTCTAAAGTGGATTTTGCAACCTGGGATCACTGGATAAAATTCAAGGAGTATATGACTTAGTGGGAAAACATACATATTCAATTTCACTAACCTTTACTTGAAATTGAGTGTTTCCTTCCATTATCATTGTAAGCTACAACCACATCATTCTGCAGTTGTAGATATCTGAAAATATTGTTTATACACTTCATTACAAGCACTTGCTAGTTAATATAGTAACAGAAACACATTATTATCAGTTGTCTTTTTAATGTTTTGATAACTGTATATATAATTGTTTTTCTTTGTAACATTATGTAATAGTGTATGTATTAGTTTGCTAGGGCTGCCTTACAAAGTACTACAAATTGGCTTAGAACAACAGACATTTGTCTCATAGTTCAGGAGACTAGAAGTCTGAGATGAAGATGTTTTCAGGGCTGTGCTCCCTCTGAAGGCACTAGGGAAGGATCTGTTCCAGGCCTCTCTCCTAACCTCTCTGGTAGTTCTTTGGCTTGTGACAGCAAAACTCCAGTCTTCACATGGCATTCTTGCTGTGTACATGTCTCAGTGTCCAAATTTCCCCTTTTTATAAGGACACCAGTCATATTGGATTAATGGCCCACTGTCATCATGATCTCATCTTAACTAATTATATCTGCAGTGACCCTAAAAGATCACATTCTGAGGTACTGAGGGTTAGGACTTCAACTTATGAATTTGCAGAAGTCACAATTTAGCCCATAACAATATGTAACAATATGTAATACGATGCAGGTGTCAGGCTGCCAGAGAGTTCCATTCTGTAAGGAATTGGGCAAGCCATAGAGCACAGAGAGCACAATCCACTAGATTGCCCTCACTTCAGACCAACTGGCTACAAATTCGAGGGTCCCCACAACCACTTTCAGATTTGATAACTCACCAGAGAGACTAGAATTCACTGAAACCCATTATCTTCACAGTCATGTGTATTATAGGGAAAGGGATACAAATTAGAAGCAAGAAATGTGTAGAGCAGTCTGAGAGGGTTCCAAATACACAGAATTGATGTGGAACAGTATGCATGGAGTATTGCCAGTCTCTGGTATGCAGAATTTTTATTGGGACTCCATCATGTACTGCCTGTGTGGCTAACCTTTAGTCTCCAGCCCTTCCCCAGAGTTGGGGCTAATGCCTTTAGTTTCCAGTTACTCCAGAAGTCAGAACTGATACAGCAGGTCCTAAGCCTCCATCATAAATCACATTGTTGACTGTTTGGTGTTCAAAGCCCCCAAGCAAACATGGATACTCCTGACAGGCAGGACATTCTAGAAGCCTAATGATCACCTCCCAGGAACCAAGGGCAAAGGCCAAACTTCTCTTCAGGTATGACTAATTCTTCACATATTTCATGGCTCAGAGTTTTAAGAACCTCTCTTCTAACGATATGCTTTAAATTTAAAATCTGTTTCTGGATACCAACACATCACAACATTTTTTATGGAGTTATGGTATCTAACTTAAATATATTCAATTTCCCAAAAAGGAAGAGTTAAGAATTTCAAAAGTAGTATTTCTAAGGCCTCTTTAAAGTTCTATCTCTAAGGATAGAATAGACCATGTTACCTTTCTGTAATTTACTCCCATTTTTTTTGTTCCCCTGTGAACTTTAAAGTTTCAGAGTTAAAATTAGAATCATATTTTAATAAATAATACAAATGACCCAGTTCTATCCAATTTGTTTTGTTTTCAAGAAAACAACTTGTTACTGAGCCTGTCTTGCAAATATAATTACAACAAATGAGAAGTGTTATCTTTTAAAAACTTTTGGTAGCATATTTTATCCAACATTTGTATTCAGTTCTGTGAATACAGTGAAATGTTCTTAACCTTTTGACATAGTTTATAAATACTGTTTTATGCAATGGTTCTCAGCCTTTTGTTTTTCTGAAGTACACTTGAGGAAAATGACATTCCTGTCAGCAATGGTGGCTCTCTAAAACAGTGAACTTAAATGCCTCCAACGATACTCTTTCTTCCTTTTGAACATTTCCATTGTTCTCTCTCTCTCACCAAACTCACCGAATGAAAAAATTAAGGCTGTAGAATAGGGAAAATGAACTGGCAAATATGGATAAAACTAAAAAGACTGGCTGTCATGGCAGAATACACAAACAAAAATTGCAAAGGAGTGTTCAATAGTTCTGTACTCATTGTAGTGTAACATTTTGAAATGTAAAAATAAATTTCTTAGGTTCATGGTAAGCAGTTTTGAAATTTATGCATGCCTCAATTAATATGTAACAGATTAAAATTAGTTCATTTATGTTAGTCACTACTGCCTTAAAATCTAGTTCTTGTTTTAAAATTCATGTAATATTTGTAGAGTGGGAAGTTATTGCCAGACACACATGGTGAAATTCTTGGTAAATGCTGTGCTAGCATTATGAAGGAAGTACTTTGAGGGACCTGAGGAGAATGATCAGTATATAGTAGGAAGAGTAATAATAGTTACAGTTTGAGGGCTTACTATGTGCTAAGCTTTTTACTTGTGTTCTCTCATTTATTCCTCATATAGTTTTATTACCTAGACATTGTTATCTCTATTTTATAGGCAAAGAAACACGTTTAGAGAGATTAAGCAAGGTCTAAAGATAGGTATTAAAGAAGTGAGTATGAATATTTCATAAAGAACATTTGAGTTGCCTTAACAGAGGAATAATAGAGATTCTGGACAATGGGAGAATCTTCACTTGAAGGTGTGGCAGATCATATCTTGTTTAGGGAAATGGTGAATAGCCATACACTATGAAGTCACAGGGTTCATGGAAGGGAGTTGGAGGTAGAGTGCAGAGATAAATCTGAAAGGGAACATTGAGGGTGGAGTATAGAGGCAGAGTGAGTGCCTGGTGGAGGAGTTTAGATCTTATCATTGGTAGTGGTGAGCAGTGTTATCACTTTAAGGAGAGAATTTGATCAGATCACTATTTTAGTACTCTATCAGCAATATGAAATATCAGAGTGTAGGACTAGAGTGATACTAGATGCAGGAAAACCAGTTAAGTGGCTGTTGTGAAAGTTTAGAAGAGAGCTGAATAAAGCCAGAATAAGGATGGTGCTGGTGACTGAGAACACTGAAGAACATGAAGACTTCTAAGGCAGAATGGGCAGAACTTGGTTAACATAAGATGTTTAGATGTGTTATTACGTAGATGAGGAATACAGGCCAAGTAGATGGGAGAAGACTTGAGTGGTGGTTGATGGACCTGTTGGGGTTTTTTAAAAGATTTTATTTTTCCTTTTTCTCCCCAAACGCCCCCGGTGCATAGTTGTATGTTTTTAGTTGTGGATCCTTCTAGTTGTGGCACGTGGGATGCCACCTCAGCATGACCTGACAAGTGGTGCCATGTCCGTGCCCAGGATCCAAACCGGCAAAACCCTGGGCCGCCGTAGCAGAGCATGTGAACTTAACCACTCGGCCACGGGGCTGGCCCCCTGTTGACATGTTTAACATGCTTGTAGGATATCTAGATAGAGAGGTCTAGTAAACAACTGGAAATACTAAATTTAAATGGTTTCCTAGAAAATTTCTGCTGCATTTATGGGTATTTTTAATTTCTGTACTTGGCAAATAAGCAACTCTTTAACATTTTTTTATTTGTTTATATTTTTCCTTATGTTTTATAGTCAACTAAATGAAAAGCCCTTACCTGAAGGCTGGGAAATGAGATTCACAGTGGATGGAATTCCATATTTTGTGGACCACAATAGAAGAACAACCACCTATATAGATCCCCGCACTGGAAAATCTGCCCTGTAAGTTTTCTAAACATTGTAGATTAAAAGTAAAACTGGGGGCCGGCCCGGTGGTATGGAGGTTAACTTTGCACGTTCCGCTTCGGTGGCTTGGGGTTCACTGGTTCAGATTCCGGGTGTGGGCTTACACACCACTTGTCAAGCCATGCTGTCGCAGGCATCCCACATAAAATAGAGGAAGATGGGCACAGATGTTAGCTCAGGGCTAATTTTCCTGAAAAAAAATTTAAAAAGTAAAACTGATTCCTAAAATCTTAACATAAAGATATGAATTAGCAAGGAGTGCAATTCTTACTATTTCTTGAGTTGGCTTGCCCATAGGTCTCTGTTCACTAAATATTTTACATTTCCATTACCTTTTTGAATATTTTCTCCTAGAGACTCTTCATATTTGTTACCATCTGTTCACATAGCACTAATTGAGACTATTTAGAAATTATCAGTGCAGTACTGCCCACTAATCCCTGATTTCTGATACCTGCTTTCTTTCATTTCCATTACTTAACTTAAAAGCTCCCATGACTTTTTCTTTTCCATTTTTGAAAGTAACTTTGTGTTTTGTGGATTAGCTTAATGTTTTGTTTAGGATTTTTTTTATAGTGGTAAAATATACATAACAAACTTTATCATTTTAACCATTTGTACAGTTCAGTGGCATTAAGTACATTCCCACTGTTGTGCAACGATCACCACCATCCATCTCCAGAACTTTAACATCCCATACTGAAACTCTGTACCCATCAAACAATAACTCTCCAATCCCCCTTCTCCTCCCAGCCACTGATAATTACTGTTCTATTTTCTGTCTCTATGAATTTGACTACGCATGTAAGTGGAATCGTATAATATTTGTCCTTTGTGACTGGCTTATTTCACTTAGCATCATGTCTCCTAGGTTCATCCATGTTGTAGCTTGTATCAGAATTTCATTCCTTTTCAAGGCTTAGTAATAGTCCATTGTGTATATATATTACATTTTGTTTATACGTCTGTTCATGGACATTTGGGTTGTTTCCGCCTTTTGGCTATTGTGAGTAATGCTGCTATGAACATGAGTGTACAAATATCTGTTCACATACTTGCTTTCAGTTCTTTTGTGTATACACTCAGAAGTGGAATTGCTGGATCAAATGGTAATTCTGTGTTTTCAGGCACTGCCATACTGTTTTCCACAGTGGGTACACTATTTTACGTTCCCACCAGCAGTGCACATGGTTTCCAGTTTTTCCACATCCACACCTACGGTTGTTGCTTTCTTTTTTGTTTTTGTTTTTATTGTGCCATCCTAATGGGTATGAAGTTACATCTCGTTGTGGTTTTTATTTGTATTCCTCTAATGATTCATGATGTTGAGCATCTTTTCATGTGCTTATTGACCATTTGTATATATTCTTTGAAGAAATGTCTATTCGAGTCCTTTGTCTATTTTTGAATTGGGTTTTTTTGTTGTTGTTGAGTTTCAGAAGTTCTCTATATATTCTGGATATTAACCTCGTATCAGATATGTGATTTGTACATACTTTTCTCCCATTCTGTGTGTAGCCTAAGAGTTTTATAGCTTTAGTTCTTAACTTTTAGGTCTTGGATCTATTTTTAGTTAATTTTTGCAAATGGTGTTAGGTAAAGGTCCAACTTCATTATTTTCCAAGTGGATATCTAGTTTTCACAGCACCATTGGTTGAAAAGACTGTCCTTTCTGCGTTGGATGGTCTTGGTACCCTTGTCGAAAAATCATTTGACCATATATTTGAGAGTTTATTTCTGGGCTTTCTATTTTGATTGTTCTATATGTCTCTCTTTCTTCCAGTACCACAGTGTTTTGATTACTGTAGCTTTTACTAAATTTTGAAATCAGGAAATATGAATCCTCCAACTTTGTTCTCTTTCAAGATTGCTTTGGCTTTTCAGGGTCCCTTGAGATTCCATATGAATTTTAGGATGGATTTTTCTATATCTGCAAAAAAAGTCATTGGGATTTTGATAGGGATTACATTGAATCTGTACTTTGCTTCGGTTAGTATTGGCGTTTTAACAATATTAAGTTTTCTAATCCATGAACATAGGCTGTCTTTACATTTATACATTTATTTGTCTTTAATTTCTTTCAGCACTGTTTTCTAGTTTTCAGTGTGCAAGTCTACTCCCTTGGTTAAAAGTAAATCCTAATTTGTTGTTGTTTTTGATGTTATTTGTAAATGGAATTATTTTCTTAATCCTTTTCAGATTGTTGATTATTTGTGTATAGAAATGCAACTGATTTTTGTGTGTTGTTTTGTATCCCACTTTGCTGAATTTACTTATTCTAACAGTTTTTTTGGTCTGGAATCTTTAGGGTTTTCTGTATATAAGATTATACCATCTTCAAACAGAGGTAACTTTTACTTTTTTCTTTCCAATTTGTATGCCTTTTATTTCTTTTTCTTGCCTGGTTGCTCTGGCTAGAACTTCCAATACTATGTTGAACAGATGTAGTGAAAGCAGGCATCCTTGCCTTGTTTCCTGATCTTAGAGGGAAAGTTTTCATTCTTTGACTGTTGAATGTGATGTGAGCTGTGGAATTTTCATATACGGCCTTTATTATGTTGAGGTAGTTTCCTTCTAGTCCTAGTTTGTTGCGTTTTTTTTTTTATCATAAAAGGATGTTGAATTTTGGCAAATTTTTTAAAAATTTTTTTTTTTTTTTGAGGAAGATTAGCCCTGAGCTAACTACTGCCAATCCTCCTCTTTTTGCTGAGGAAGACTGGCCCTGAGCTAACATCCATGCCCATCTTCCTGTACTTTATACGTGGGACGCCTCCCACAGCCTGGCTTTTGCCAAGCAGTGCCATGTCCTCACCTGGGATCTGAACTGATGAACCCCAGGCCGCCAAGAAGCAGAAGGTGCACACTTAACCGCTGCGTGACTGGGCCGGCCCTAATTTTGTCAAATTTTTTTGTGTCAATTGAGATGATCATGTGGTTTTTTTCCCCTTTGTTTTTAATGTGTAGTGTATTATATGACTTTTCATGTGTTGAACCATCCTTGCATTTCAAGAATAAATCCCACTTGGTCAAAAGAATTAAAATATTAATACTTTTAATATACTGCTGTATTCAATTTGCTAGTATTTTGTTGAGGATTCTTGCATCAGTGTTCATAAGAGATAGCGGTCTGTAATTTTCTTGTATTGTCTTTGTCTGGCTTTGATATCAGTGCAATGCTGGCCTCATTACTTTTTAATTTTATACTTTCTGCATATTAAAAGCGTTCATGTTTAAAGCAGAAACTAGGAATTCAGGGCAATTAGGTATCAATGTAATTAGAAATTATTTAGATATTGAAATAAATTATAAATAGGTACTGTCGTATCATTCATTTTAGTTACAGTTAAGGGTACATAATAACAGAAAACCCCAAAACAATAGTGGCTTATATAAGGCAGAAGGATATTTCTCTCCAACATTAAAAAATAGTCAAGTAGGGGCCAGCCCTGTGGCCTAGTGGTTAAATTTGGCATGCTGTGCTTTGGCAGACCAGGTTCAGTTCTCAGTCGCAGACCTACACCATTCATTGGTGACCATGCTGTTGTGGCGACCCACACACAAAATATAGGAAGATTGGCAACAGATGTTAGCTTAGGGCAATGTTTCCTCATTTCCTCAGCAAAAAGAAAAAAGTCCAATGGGATTTAAACAGCAGACTACTGTATAATCATGGCTCAAAGAAGTCATGAGAAATTAGGAAATATTTTGTACTTGATAATAAAAACACAACATATCACAATTTGTGGGGTTTAACAAAAGTAGTCTTTAGAGGAAAATGTGTTGCTTTAAAGAACTAGATTAGAAAATAAGAAACGTATAAAATCAATGATCCCTGCTTCCACCTTGAAAAACAAGAAAAAGAAAAGTTACTTAAACCCAAAATAAGCACAAGGAAGGAAATAAGCCTAAAAGGAGAAATCAGAGAAATGGAAATGAAACAACAGAGAAATCAAAGCTAGAAGTTGGATCTTTGAAAAAGATTAATAATATTGATAATCCCTAGTAAACCTGAGAGGGAAAAAAAGAAAACACAAATACTAATATGAAAGTAAAAGAAGGCTATCACTACATATCCTACACACATTAAAAGATAGTAAGGTGTATATTTTGAACAGCTTTATGCCAATGAATTTGACGTTTTAGATCAAATGGACAAATTTCTTGAAAAAGACAAGTCACGAAGGTGAACACAACAAGAAACGGGAAATCTAAATAGCCCTGTGTCTGGTAAAGAAATTGAATTCATAATTCAGCAATTTCCCATAAACAAAATTCTGGCCTAGATGGCCTCACTGGTAAATTTTATCAAAATTATAAGTAATAAATAATATCAATCCTGTTTAAATTCTTTCATCACATATGAGAGATGGGAACACTTCCCAACTCATTTTATGAGGCTCCTATAACCCTGATACAAAAATCAGACAAGAAAAGTAGAAGAAACTTATTGACTAATATTTCTATGAACATAGGTGTAAAAATCTTTAACAAAACAGTGGCAAATTAAATCCAAGATAGGAAATGGATATTATACTATCATCATGTGGAGTTTATCCCAGGAATGCAAGATTGGTTTAATATACAAAAATCCATCAATGTAATTCACCATATTAACAGATTAAAGGCAATAAATCATGATCATTTCAAGAAAGCACTTGACAAGGGGTTGGCCTATTGGCGTAGCAGTTAGGTTCCTGCAGTCCACTTTGGCAGCCGGGGTTTGCCAGTTCGGATCCTGGGCACAGACCTGTGCACTGCTTATCAGGCCATGCTATGGCAGGTGTCCCACATGTAAAGTAGAGGAAGATGGGCACAGGTGTTAGCTCAGGGCCAATCTTCTTCAGCAAAAAGAGGAGGATTGGCAGTGGATGTTAGCTCAGGGCTAATCTTCCTCAAGAAAAGAAAGCACTTGACAAAATACAATGCAAGTTTATGATAAACTCTCAGCTACCTTGGAAACTTTCTTACCTGAAAAATAGTATTTATGAAAGACTTACAAACCAACATCAATACTTAACGATGAAATACCTCAAGATCAAGAACAAGACAAGGATATCTACTGTCACTACTTCCTTTCAACATTGTATTGGTAGTCCGAAGAGATAAGAGAAAGAAATAAGAGATATATAGATTGGAAAGGAAGAAATAAAACTCTTTTTTTCCACACAGATAATATAGTTATATATATAGAAAATCATATGGAATCTAGAAAAAACTACTAGAACTAGTAAGTGAATTTAACAGTGTTGCCAGAAACAGAATCAATTATATTTCTACTTTATACATTTAAAAAATGAAATTAAAAATAATCTAGAAGAAAAAGCACATAATTCAGTGATATGAAGTTCAGGGCTAGCTTGAAAGGCTTATGGTGGCATCCGTGATCTAGACTTCTTTCTTTCTGTCTACCAGCCCAGACCTCAAGGTCACATCATAGTTTGTGATAACTGATGAAACTTCAGCTATTATAGTCACACTTCAGGCTGGAATATGGAGGAAGAGCAAATTGGAAAGAGAAAAAAATCTCTTTTCAGCTATGTCAGCTCTCTATAAAAGAGCCTTCCTGGAAGTCCTATACAGCATTTCCACTTACAGCTCATTAGCCATAGTTAAGTCACACAGCCACACTTTGAAATGTAATCTTTATCCAAGATAGTTGTCTGCCCAGGTAAATATCAAGTCTAATTTAAGAGAGAGAGAGAGAGACAGAGGGGGAGAGAAAGAGAGAATTGATTTGAGGCTAGACAACATTCTCAGATAAAACCTCCTTTACCCAGCCCTGTTAGACTGATTTGGTTTATATAAGAGAAAATCATACAACAGTGGCTTTAAAAAGGCCAAATTTTATTTCTGTCTCTTACTTAAAAATAGTCTTGGGAAATATATATTTTTTTAAAGTGGTATTAAGGAGTCTACTGTACTAGGATATTTTTCTATTTGACTGTAAAGTACTGAGGGGGTGTGGTATTTTGCTTTCCTTCAATATTTTATCTTACATGCAGCTGTATATGTCATATTAACATTCTTCCTTAGAGACAATGGACCCCAGATAGCCTATGTACGAGACTTCAAGGCAAAGGTTCAGTATTTCCGGTTCTGGTGTCAGGTTAGTATCAGGACTGTATTTCTGTACTCCCTTTCCTTTGTTTGTTGCTTATATTACACAGTCAGTGGTTGTGAAAATAACCCATAGAAAAACAGCTAAAATGGGAAGCATTGGAATCTCGCCTACTTTTAGGGCAAAGAAATAGATTTATCAGATAATTTGTGGCTTCAGTTGTCTAAAAGAATAATTTTCAAACCATTTGGATAAGAAAATATTGCTACTCTTTCTAATACCCATTACTTTCAAATTGCACAACTCTTCAAACAAATGAGTTAAAACATTTTCTGATGTATAAATTGTAACCAGCCTGTTTTATGTGGCATTTGATATAAATGACTTTGATAAATACATATATATATGTATCACTTTGATAGATACATACATATATATGATTATATTCAGAGTATTTTTCCCAGATGTGATCAAGTACTTTTGATGTATAAATATTTACTGAATTAATGATTTCTTTATGGGTAATAAATAAAATGAATGCACTAGTCACAGTGTTACTAAGATGAATATTTTTTAAATTTCAAACTCCTGTAATTAACTGGGCCTAGGCAGCAAAAAGAATTTGAATTAGCTTTTTGAAAATAAATTAAGTAAAGATTGAGTTGACTCATTAAGTAAGCACTGTGCATATAAAATCTTGTTTTCTTCTCTTTCTTATATTTCAAATTATCTATAATTGATCTTATATATCAAATGATCTATAATTATCATGAATGCTCACAAATGCATGGTTAAACATTATTGAATATAAATTCATATTCATAGTCTACTTGTTTCTGTAAGCAAAGATTAAAGTAAATAAAACTTTACTTTTTTGGTTTCTTGATAGGCCATTTTAATGGTGAGAGTTGACTTAAGTCATTCTTGTATTTCAGCAACTGACCATGCCACAGCACATAAAGATTACAGTGACAAGAAAAACATTGTTTGAGGATTCCTTTCAGCAGGTATTGTTTCATCCACTCAATAGTTTGCCTCCTGGCTGCCAATCTAAAACCACCTTTTGGTGCTGGCAGTTTAATCTAAATAGTTTGGAACTTTTTGAGTTGGAGTCCTTGAATTTTTAAGTCTAATCTCATGCCAGCTACCTTAGTACTTAAAATTTAGGAACATGGAGATAGTTTTGTATGTGTACTTTTGTATGTGTGTATTTTGTGCTTTTGAAGTGTCAGAGTAACTTAAAGTGATTAGTGAGTTTCAGGTTTCCATTTATAAGCTAAGTGTTTGATTTGAAATAGATATTTAAGTAAGAAAATATGCTTTTGGTAGACAAGAGTCTAGAAATATCCATATGAACGTTGGATGGGTAGAAGAGGAGAGGGGAAGACTTTTATACTTCTGTATTACTTACATTTTTACAATAAGTATATGTTACTCCTATAATTAAAAAAAATTTATGTAGGAAAGAACGTAATTGGTCATTGGTGACAATATCTAAAACAAGATATGTTTTCAGAAATAGTCAACCAGTTTTTCTAGTTGTCCTCAGAACCTGAGTTAATTTACTGCTTACCTTTGTTTTGCAACTTTATTTACCAATCAACTGCAACTAAATGTTAACTAATTTTGTTATAGGGAAGATTAAAATGACCAGTGAAAAAATGTCTTAAAATGAAAACATCCAGTTAGTCCTTGTTTTATTGTCTTTATTATAAAGTCCCTACAATAATTGTGGTAGCTACAGCTTCAAGAAGTGCCAAACTGAATGCAAAGGGAAAAGAGATTGTCTGAGATAGTTGACGTAGCTGGCTACTTGCTTTCAAAAACAGTTATGTTCGTTTCCTAATGGAACCTCAGTTATTAACATTGAAGGGAAAAGCCAGTTGGCATCCTGCTAAGTAGGAGCAGATAGCTTTTTAGCAGCAGAGCTTGACTAAGGCCATTTAGAGAATTATGAGTCATTCCCTTGATCTGATGTAAGTCTCCAAGGCCATTCCCCACCCTAGTCGTTAGCTATTTCTAATTTTCATATTCATAACCACTGTGTAGTCGCTGGTGGACCAGTTTCTTTGAACATAGCTTGCAAGTAGTAGTGCTGTGAAAAGATGCAAAACGTGATTAAATGTCCCTTTATCTTTTGACTTTGAAACCTAAAGGTTTTTGCAGAATGACAGACCAGATGGTACTAAAACAGTTGTTTAAAATTGTCATCTAGATTTGACATCCATCAAATAAGTGTGGAATAAAAACTTGAGAAAAATTTGATTGCTTTGAAGAGTGACAAATCTGATAGCAAAATTAGTATCAGATTTTCTTCATAACTGTTGGATAAAGTTGTTTTGGGTAGTAAGTGTTTTTGTTAACATAGCACAACTATTTATGGGAGAAATTGCAGGAGAAAAATTTGGTTCTTTTCCTTCATAGTAGACATTTGTTAAAGGATATTATTTAAAGATTTTTTTCCAGGGAACAGTGAATCCCCAGGTATCAGACACAGGGCAAAGGAACAACCAGAACTTCCTAAGGGAACAGTCTCAGTTTAGGGAGAACAGCAAGAGAGATCAGGGACGGCCTAGGGTTTCCAGAGCAAGCACAGCGACAAGGAATAGCCAGAGGGAACAAGAAACAAACAAACAAACAAAAATTTTTAACCTGTAACGTCTCTCGTTTGCATTGCTATATATCTAGCCTATAGTATTTGTAGAATATTTTGTTGTAAGCATTGAATTTTTTATTACATCTGGGATTTTCTTGTTTGAGTGGGATATGAATTCATGAAAGTGATATACATGTTTGGTGGGAACTAAGAGAACCCTGGCATAAGCAGGTTACTTACTGAGCCTCTCTGGATATTTAAATGTAAGAATTCAGTCTTACCATTTCATGAAATAGAGGCATTGTATGAACTTCTCTCTCATCAGGCCCTGTCGTTTTTTTCCTAAGAGTAATTAATATTTGTAATGTTCCACTGGCCCAATTTCAGGAAAGTAATTAAATAGTTTTACAAAGCAAGAACCCAAACGACCTATCCATTGTAGGTCAATAATGGTACTGTCCTTCAAATATGAAGATGATCTTATTAACCACTGTAGTAGGATGCAAAATTTGAGTAGTTTTTCCAGGTATTTATAGGTTTCAACTGAGAAATGAGTTTCCAAAGTTAAGTATATTCTCTCTGCAGCCACTGGTTTTCATTTCCAAGTTAGCCAAGTAGCTATTAAGTGTATCTTTTGGCTGTAAAACAAACACAGACCTACCCAAACAAAACCAAAACCAAAACCAAACAAAAAAAGGGGATATAACCTCTAACTATGCTCACAATTAACTCTGCTCTAAGCAAGTGAGAGAACCAACTTTATGTCAATAGTAGGATTGTTTAAAAGAAAATTATATATGTATAAAGTATATAGAAATATAGATACATATAATATATAAAATATTATGAAACTTTAATGTATTTTCTGTATGTTTGGTGTTGACTAGACAACAAACACCATTCTGTGTTATGGAGAATTTAAGTTACCTATAATGAAGGAGATTTCAAACCTGGAAGTGGTAGTTTGGTATTTCAACAACTGCTTTTACCAATTCTTTTACTTTATTGTTTTGTAGATAATGAGCTTCAGTCCCCAAGATCTGCGAAGACGTTTGTGGGTGATTTTTCCAGGAGAAGAAGGTTTAGATTATGGAGGTGTAGCAAGGTAGTGATAATATGAATACTCACAACTTAGTACCTTTCCTCCAAAGGTATCATTACACTTTGCTTGCAAGTATTATTTTCTCAATCTTATTATTTCAGGAAAATGAAATGTAGCAAATTATTGTACCTTTATTATGCTGCATCTACAGAATTTCAATAAACATTAATCCCGCACTTTTTCTCTAAGGTTCTGCTAATTGGACTTCACCCACATCACTCGTTTAATCCTTAGGATAAACCTGTGAGATAGAATTTTACAGGTAATAATGAGGTTAAGACACATAACTAATTTAAAGAGCCTGGTTGCAAGCTTTGCGTTATCAAACCAGAAGCCAGTATTTAATCCACCACCTAATGTCTGTTCCACAATACATATAAGGCCCTACAGTGATCAGGTCATTTTCCCCATCACAGATTACTGATACAGATAATAGTCATTCATTTCCCAACTGCGATTAATATGAGGATACAGAAGGCTGTATACAATAGGCGGTGAAATTTTTAATTCTGCTTTCTTAATATTGGAGCTTCTAATCAAACCCTAGAAGATAGACTCAAGCAAGAAATTGCTTTGCTTATTCCATAACAATATATCATATCAGGTTAAAAGTTTACATAGCAGTGGAAGTATGGAAAGGCAAGGACTTTGGAGTCAAGATGCATTTGAATCCTTTTTCTGCACTGAGTAGTACAAACTGGGGCAAATATCTTCATCTGTAAAATAAGAATAGTCATATCTGCTTTTCTAGGATTATTGTGAAGAGTCGAAATACTATTTATTCATGACTTAATTGAGACCCTGAGTCTTTGCATACTAATCAGTGGCTACGTTTTAGTAGGTTTTACTTATGTTGTATTTCAAAGTTCATATTTCAAAATGTATGAAGTAATCACAGGTAAATAATAAATATGTATAGAAACATTTAATTTTTTACAAGTTAAAGATAATTGAGGAAGAAGGAGTCATTCATTCTTAATTAGAAAATCAACTGGCAGTATTAAAGTATAAGCAGCATTACCACCAGAGGCCATGAACTAATAGGAAAAGAAATCACGGACACAGCTCAGATCACATGTACTGCTCCAGATGCTCTCTGCCTGCTGTTCTACTAGACCCACCCTTGTTACATAGTAACCATAATCTTATATTAATATTGGTTGGTGTTTTCACAGCATTTGAATTAGAGCTTCTCGGAGCATTTTTCTAATGAATGAGTAGCTTGAATTAAGTGTTATATTGCCTCTGTGAAATTGGAAGGTTTTTCATATTTATCTAAGATTTAGGAGCAGTGGCACTCGATCAGGATCACTGTGGGGCTTAGTAATAGATGTAATAATATTAGATTCGTTTCAGCTGCTCTAACCTCATGGGTTAATAGTGAATTTTAAGCTTGCCTATGTATAGTATTTCATTGATTCTAAGACTACCATTTTCTTATTTTAATATCTATGAAATTGGGATTGTATCATAATTGGAAAAAATTTTGTCAGTGGTTCATCAAAGTCAAGGATGTCTTAGATTCCTTGAAATATAATTATAAGCAGTGTGTAAATATCATCTCTATAAAATAGATATCAGTTTGAAAAGAAGCAGTAAAAATCCACATGGGATTAGAAAACTATCACCAGCTGAAGAGTGTAGATTCCTGAGAACTTTGTAGCACTGCTCTTTGATTTGTTGGCATGGTTACTTACAAGATTTTTTACCCTAAATTTTCTTTTGATTTCAGAGAATGGTTCTTTCTTTTGTCACATGAGGTGTTGAACCCAATGTATTGCCTGTTTGAATATGCAGGGAAGGATAACTACTGCTTGCAGATAAACCCAGCTTCTTACATCAATCCAGATCACCTGAAATATTTTCGTTTTATTGGCAGGTTTATTGCCATGGTAAGTGCAGGTGGGGAACTGTGTTTACTTCACTAATTCAGCAACACTAAAGCATTGTTTCTTTAACTTTCTCATTTGAAATTTTCTCATCACTGAGACATTTCTAAGATTGGGTTTGTTATATTTGCCCTTTTCCCAGAAACGTACCATAATAGATCATATGACCAGGGAGCCTTTTTTTAATGAAGAACTCATCTAACATTCTGAAATACGACTATTATAATAAAATTATCTTAAATGGTATTATTTTCTTCTTGCATAGGCTCTGTTCCATGGGAAATTCATTGACACAGGTTTTTCTTTGCCATTCTATAAGCGTATCTTGAACAAACCAGTTGGACTAAAGGATTTAGAATCTATTGATCCAGAATTTTACAATTCTCTCATCTGGGTTAAGTAAGTTTGTTTCCATTTAATTTATCAAAATATAGTCTATGTGCTTTCGTTATGGTATTGGTAACTTATCCAAACTGTAAGCATGTAATTGGTTTATTGAATTTAAATGGTCTATGTTAAACCTCTCTCATTATTCAGTATGATAAATCTTACAGAAATGCACCCAAGATCTTAGGCAAAAATATGACGACTTTGGAGCATAATCTTCCAGTTTTCTTATTATTTTGATTTTGTAGTTTAATAGTAATTAAGAACGTAGTCCTTCAGTTAAAAACTTTTATATGATTGAATTAGTGTAACCAATAGTGTTAATTTCATTTGTGCAGAGAAAACAATATTGAGGAATGTGGTTTGGAAATGTACTTCTCTGTTGATAAAGAAATTTTAGGTGAAATCAAGAGTCATGATTTGAAACCCAATGGCGGCAATATTCTTGTAACAGAAGAAAATAAAGAGGAATATATCAGGTGAGAGAGAATGCTCCTTTTGACATAGTTTAGCCTTTCTGTTGGACTACAGCATGTTGATAATCACCTAGTAATACTAGTGGATAGTATTTAAAAAAAAAAATTGCCTTCTTACTAATTACTATAAGAACTGATTATGTATTAATAAGGGCATGATTGATACTTTCTACCTTATAAGTGTGTTGAGGAACAGGGAAAATGCTTTGGGAAGTCAAAGGAGGGAGACATCGTTTCATCTAGTTGTAATCATGGAGTAAGTAGCTGATAATATTTAAGTTGAGCTTTGAAGGTTGGGGAGAATTCAGTTGTGCAGAAATGAGAGCAAGAGTTTTAAGCAGAAATATGGAGACTGGAAAACACAAGTCACAAATAGTAAATAGGGAAGAGTAGCCATGGTGTATGGTGCTGTGTTGTCAGGCAGCACAGAGTTGATATCCTGTTCTGCCGTGTCCTGCATTACAGAAGCCAAAGAACATGAGGAATCCTTAGAAGATGTGGAGGCTAATAAGTTATAATAACCCTTAAGAGAACAGTTAGAACTACAGTCAAGTGGTTGATGTAGAAGCCAGATTACAATAAATTAAGGACTAAATTCAGTAGACAGTCAATCTAAATTTCTCTTTCAACAAGTCTGGCAACAAAACAGTGAGAGGTGGGATAGATTCTTGTGGAGGCAGCAGGATGGAGGGACTATCCTACAGGTTATTTCAAACTAAATCTTACAAACAATTAGTCTAGTGGGTGCTAATGGGTTTTATACCCTCTTTCTGGTATGTTTTCAATTTTACCAGAATTTTAAAAGTTTATAAAGTGATGGAAAAAAATTTCTCTTATATGAAACTTTTACTTTCTATGCAAAAGTGGGAGTTTTAAGGGTAGAAGTAGTGCTAGATCACTCTTTTAAATACCAGTTCTATAACTACTATGCCATGTAACACCATGTCATTGAAAAGAAAAATTTATATGCAGATCTTTTTCATGGGGAATATTGTAAGATCAGGTAAAATATAAGTATTTTTTAATGTACTTTTTTAAAATGATGGTTTGTAGTGTACCTCTGTTATGTTTTGCATTGGTTCATACTTTTAGTCTCAGGAGTTAGTGGTTCATTCACATATTCTCAACACCAATTCTGTCAGATCAGGGTGAGATTTCACTATCTGCTGCTTCTTGAGTTCCAGTTTCTGGGTCTCTTGCCTGCTTTTCTATTTTTACCTCTGAGTAATATAGCTGCTCCAGCTTTCTTGTGATTAGTATTTCCATGGTATATCTTCCTCTATCCTTTACTTTCAGTCCTGTGTCTTTGTATTTAAAGTATGTTTCTTATAAGCAGCATAGTCTTGGATCTTATTATTTTTATCCAGTCTGATAATCTTTACTTTTTAATTGCAGTGTTTAGTACATTTACATTTAATATTATTACTGATATGGTAGGACCTAAGTCTGTCACCTTATTTGTTTCTTATTTTTCCCAATTTCCTTTGTTCCTCCTTTCCTGCATTCTTTTGAATTAAAAGAGTGATTTTTAGTCTTCTTTTTTTAATCTCTTCTGGGTTTTTTTAGCTATACCTCTTTAATTTCTTTAGTGACTGCTCTAATGATTATAATTGTATGCATCCTCAACTTATCGCTTATAGTTAATATATTAATGTTATATAATATAATATTCTACTACTTATACAATATAAGAAGCTCATAATAGCATAATTCCATTTATCTCTCTTCAGCCATTTCTGCTATTAATGTCATTTTATTTATCTTATAAGCCACATAATACCTTATTATTATTCTTGCTTCAAGCAATTGATAGATTTATAAAGAAATTAAGAAAAAGAAAAAATAGTCTTTAATATTTATTCGCATTACCATTTCTGGTTCTCTTCATTTCTTCCCACAGATCCATTTTTCCATCTGGGATCGTTTCCCTTCAGCTTTAAAAACTTCCTTTATCATTTCTCTTAGTGTGCACCTGCTGGCAGTAAATTCTCTCAGCTTTTACCTGAAAACATCTTTATGTCACCTTCAGTTTTGAAGGATATTTTCGCTAGATTTAGATTCTTTTTAGTGCTTTCTGTCAATAACATCATTCCATTGTTGGCCTCTATTGTTTTTGATGATGTGAGACATTGTTTCTGAATGAAATGTATGGTTTTTTTCTGTGACTTTTAAAAGATTTTCTCTTTAACTTTGGTTTTTAGCATTTTGACTCTGATGTACCTAATTGTAATTGCTTTTATATTTATCCTGCTTGGCATTTGCTGAGTTTCTTGTATCTGTGATTGATGCCATTTCAGCAATTGTGGAAAATTTGAGGGCTTTGTCTCTATGGATGTTCCTTCTGCTTCATTCCCTCTCTACATACTTCAGAGACTTCAGTTACATGTATATTTAACCTTTGATATCCCATGGTTCTCAGATGCTTTATATAGTTTTTATCTTTTTTTCTATCCTTCAGTTTGGATCATTTTGATTGATCTGCCTTTGAATTCACTACTGTTAAGCCTATCCAATGAAATTTTCATTTCGAATATTCTGTAATTTCCATTTGGTTCTTTTAAGAATTTGTCTGCTGAGAATCTCCATCTCTTTACCCAATTTGTCCATCTTGTCCTATAAATTCTTTAACACATTTTTAATAAGTTTTTTAAAGTCTTTGCTGACTTCAACATTGGGCCATCTGTGGCCCTTATTCTATAGACGTTTTTCTCTTGATTATAGGTCACATTTTCCTGCTTTTTTGCATATGTAGTCATTTTTTATTGTGGATGATACATGGTAGAGACTCTGGATTCTTTTTTCTTCCTCTGAAGAATATTGAGTTTTGTTTTGACAGGCGGTTAAATTAAGGACAGATCACACTGATCTGTGGAAGCTTGCCAGAGCTGGTCTATTTCCATTTTGCCTTTAATCCTAAACATAACCTTCATTCTTGGAACATGGTCCTTACTCCTTACAAATACCTTGGAAAGCCCAAGGTATTTACCACATCACTTTGTCAGATACAGATATAAACTCTTAAATTCTGTCTATCTGGCACTAGGTAGCTGCTGAAATTTCTTCTTAGATCTTTAGCTTTGCAGTTGTTGCTTTGCACGGGGTTCCTTGGAGTCTCATCATCCTGCACATGTGTTTTAGGGGTCAGCTAAGGCTTTGAAGTAAATTTCTGTGCATATTTTGGAGCCTCCCTCTCTTTGTCTTCTTTCTTTCTGGGACTTTTCCATAGCACTTTTGGCAGCTTCAGGCTCCTAACCTCATGTCTCATCAGCACAATAAGGCTGTTGCTTCCGTTTGAGCTCCATTCCCCTGTGCTCCGTGTAAACTGGGAAGTGCCCTCAAGGAAAAAGCCTGTTAAATGTGGATCTGCTCCAGCCAGCCTCCTTCAGGAAGCTCATCCCCACCAGTTTCTGCCTGCCTTGTTTTTTGTCTGATGCCTTCAAACATTTGTTTTTTATAATTTGCCCAGAGTTTATAATTCTAGTCAGCAGGAAGATTAGTCCAATACAACCTGTACTGCCATTTTCCAAAATTTCAGTTTTCAATAAACTTTAGGACTTTAGTTGTCTTAAGTTGTCATCAAGTAATCAGATGTCTAAAATACACATATTTGTTTGCTTGTTAAAATTGCTAAAAAGTAAAGATTCTGTAGTAAAATGGAAAAAACAGTTTATATTTGTGATTTTAACTGTTAATATGTACGTATATAGATAAAGATTAGAAGAAAGTCAAAGCTGAAATCTAGAATACTCAGTTGAGGAAAATTTTCATTAAAAGAAAATTGCAAGGGAGAAACCTGTAAGTTAAAAGAATTTTAAGAGACTTGCATCATATGAACCTTTTTTAGATTCTGATTCAAGCAATATGTTAAAAAAGATTGTGTGAATGAGTAGAGTTTGAGCACCAAATATTTGATATAAGGGAATTATTGTTCACTTTTTTTGTGTGATAAGAGAATTGTGGTTATGTTTTTAAAAAGAGACCTAATCTTGTAGAGATATATACTGAAATACTTATGTTTAAAATTAAATTATATGATTTCTAGGGGATGGGTTAGGGGCATAATGAAATAAGATTGGTGTTGGGTTGAAGCTGGGATGTCTGTACATGGGGTTCCTTATAGTCTACCTTTATATATATTTGAAGGTTTTCATAATAATAAATTTTTTAAAAATTATTTTTACACTCAGAATTTAAAGGTAAAATCTAAACTTCCTGATAGCTTTTTTATATTTATTTACCAGAATGGTAGCTGAATGGAGGTTGTCTCGAGGTGTTGAAGAACAGACACAAGCTTTTTTTGAGGGCTTTAATGAAATTCTTCCCCAGCAGTATTTGCAATACTTTGATGCAAAGGAATTAGAGGTAATGAGTTTTTCTTCTTTCCTCTGCAGCATGCTGGTAAATAATACCTTCAGGTGTCTGCTTGCAACTCACTTTCCCATTTTTCCAGTGGCAATAGTTTTTTTTAATGCTGGCAGGATCTTTTGAAGCATCCCAAATAGTTTAAAGAAAGTCCATAATTTATCCAAATATATAAAGATATTACCAAAAAAAAGTATTACTATCAGCACCTCTTTACAATGAGTGACTTATTTACTGGAATATGTATATATGACACCGTACATGGAAACTCAACCTTCACAAGTAATGTAGATATAATTCTTGATACATAGTTTATAAACAAAGCCTCTTGATTAATGTGTTTTTTGAAAGTTGTTTAATATTAGTCTTTTCTTACCCATGTCTAGCATTTTTATACAGCTTGTACTGTTACCTAAAGAAATCATTTGTCTTTTTCATCCCTAAAGGTCCTATTATGTGGAATGCAAGAGATTGATCTGAATGACTGGCAAAGACATGCAATCTACCGTCATTACACTAGGACAAGCAAGCAAATCATGTGGTTTTGGCAGGTTTGTCTCAATTTATTTCTATTGGCAGACTTACCATAACATTTCAGAAATTGCTTACCACATATGGAAATGAGTCACAGAACAAAATGTACCAGTGTGTTCAGGCTCCTCATTCTATCCTGTGCATTATGATGAATACAGATTGTAACAGCATTCTTTTAAGACTATTGCCAAGTAAGCAACACACACCTTATACCTTTGCCCAGAGTATGAGACAACTCCAGATGATTAAGATTCCCCTGCATTGGATCCAAATGCTTTTGGAATGTTATAGAACTATCTAAAGTATGGTTTTCATCATTCAGACTTCATTAGGAATTACATAATGTTCAGAAGGCAAAACTCAAGAGAGAGACGTGGATTGGAATCATAATGGTGTCTCTTCAAAAAATGTCTGCTAAAGAGCACGTGAAAACATGCTCAATATCACTAATCATTAGGGAAGTGGAAATCAAAACCACTATGAGATACCATTTCACACCCATTAGGGTGGCTATTATCAAAAAACAGAAAATAATTATTCTTGGTGAGCATGTGGAGAAATTGGAGCTCTCTTACATTGCTGGTGGGAATACGAAATGGTGCACCACTGTGGAAAACAGTTGGTGGTTCCTCAAAAAGTTAACCATAGAATTAACATATGACCCAGCAATTCAACTCCTAGGTATACCCAAAAGAACTGAAGGCAGGGGCTCAAACAGATACTTGTATACCTATGTTCATAATAGCATTATTCATAATAGCCAAAAGGTGAAAGCAACCTAAGTGTTCATCAGTAGATGAATGGATAAAAAAAATTGGTATATATATACAGTGGAATATTATCCAGCCTTAAAAAGGACATAGGCTATATAACATGGATGAACCTTGAGGATATTACTCTAAGTGAAATAAGCCAGTCACAAAAGGAGAGATATTGTGATTCCACTTAATGAGGTATCTAGAACAGGCAAATTCATAGAGACGGAAAGTAGAATAGAGGTGACCAGGGGCTGGGGAGAGGGAGAAGTAAGGAATAAGTTTAATGCATGCAGAGTATTTGTTTGGGATACTAAAAAAAACTCTGGAAATAGAGATAATGGTTACACAATACTGTGAATATACTTAATGCCATTGAATTATATACTTAAAATTTTTATGTTTTATATATTTTACCACAGCAAAAAAATAAAAAACTTGTTAAATGTCAGCTATTGAACTGAGCTTCTTGTAACAAATAGGATTAGCATTTAAAAATACTTAATAGTAGTACAATAGGATGAAAGTTATTCTTTACAAAAAAATATTTGGCTGAGGGCTGGCCTGGTGGCACAGCTGTTAAGTGTGCACATTCTGCTTCAGTGGCCCAGGGTTCGCCGGTTTGGATCCCGAGTGCAGTCATGGCACCGCTTGGCAAGCCATGCTGTGGCAGGCGTCCCACATATAAAGTAGAGGAAGATGGGCACGGATGTGAGCTCAGGGCCAGTCTTCCTCAGCAAAAAGAGGAGGATTGGCAGCAGACGTTAGCTCAGGGCTAATCTTCCTTTAAAAAAAAAAATTTTTTTTTTTTAAATTTGGCTGAGCCAAAATACTTGTGCTACAGGCTATAAAGCATACTCCAGAAACCTAATGTTTTGAGTCAGAGTTGGAGGAGTTAAAAGTCACATAATATTGGCAATGCAAAGCTACACCAAAACCTCAAGAACATCGAGAGGAGGAGGTTATCGAGATACATCTGGATCAGAATTCTGTGAGCTTGATTTCATTTGTTCATAAAACCAAAAAGTCTATACTGAGTCAAGCTGTGTGTCCTATGTAACCACAAGAATATCCTATAAGACAGGCAGATCTCGGGGGGAGAGAGGAGGGGCTGCCCTAGAAGTAGGGAGCTCTTAGGCCCAAGGCAACCTTCTTTTGCTATCTTCCTATAAGGATGTGGTCCTAAGATTTATATAGGAGAAGATTGGTGGGACTTTTTAACAAACATGGAGAAGCTCCTCCATCTACGGTGGTAAGCACATTCATTATCTAGTGCATCTGACACTAGGAGTTGGTTTCAGATTTGAAATGATTGTTTTTCTTTCTTGTTTAGTATGTTAAACATAACCTGTGATCTATATATCTCTTTAAATGTGCCTTTAACAGTTTGTTAAAGAAATCGATAATGAGAAGAGAATGAGACTTCTGCAGTTTGTTACTGGAACCTGCCGATTGCCCGTTGGAGGATTTGCTGACCTCATGGGTATGTATACAGGATCACTTTTCCTATACAGAAAATTGTTTATCACACTGCTATTACATCAGTGTATATACAACTTATCAGATATAACAAAGAAAAGTATAGGCATTTTTTTAACTAGTCACAGTTTACCTGGATTTGTGTAAACTTTGAAATCACTTTGGTAGTCCTTACGTCTAGAAATTTTTAACCCTTAGGATAGACCCCACATTTTTTTTTTTTTAAGGAAGATTAGCTCTGAGCTAACTACTGCCAGTCCTCCTCTTTTTTGCTGAGGAAGCCTGGCCCTGAGCTAACATCTGTGCCCATCTTCCTCTACTTTATATGTGGGATGCCTACCACAGCATGGCTTGCCAAGCGGTGCCATGTCCGCACCCAGGTTGTCCCCCGAACCGGCGAACTCTGGGCCACTGAGAAGCGGAACGTGCGAACTTAACCACTGTGCCACCAGGCTGGCCCCTAGACCCCACATTTTAACTCAGTAGGCTAACGGTCTTCTTAGTAAATCTGTTTATTCATTTAGTCATTTGGCAAACATTTTAGTGTCTCCTACAAGCCAGGCACTATTAGTTGTCTTATACTATATAGTCATGTCTGCATAATGACATTTTGGTCAACAAAGGCTGCATATATGACAGTGGTCCAGTAAGATTAGTACCATGTAGCCTAGGTGTGTAGTAGGCTGTACCATCTAGGCGTGTGTAAGTACGTCCTGTGAATGTTCACTCAACAACAAAATCGCCTAACGATGCTTTTCTCAGATCATATCCCTGTAGTTACGTGATGTGTGGCTGTATTTTAATATGTTTACCACTCTTCCCTATTATACCTGGAGCTCCTTGAGATATAGATCTGTATCTTCATCTTTTTATTTCTGGTGCCTAGCACAGTGCCTGTCACATAGTAGTTACTGATTAAATTTGTATTGTTTTGAAATGAATGACTATGAGAATATTTATTTTTTACTAAATAATAAATTAAGTAAATTCAAGTTTTACTTGAATAACCAACATAATGCCAAGTACCACAGGAAGATGGAAGAGATGTTGTGATCCCTAAGCCTGCTTCAGTTGAAGCAGAGTGTCAGAATTCAAGAACTAAGTAGGCAATTTTGAAAACAGTGTAAAACCAATTTAAAAGAGTTCAAGAGCCAGACCAAAAGAATTTGGACATTACTCTGAGGGTATTGGAAGCTATGGAAACTATTTGAAGGGAGGAAACGTTGCTGAAGCTGCATTTTAGGAAGAATTGATAGCAAGGTATAGCATGCATTAAAAGATAAGGAGAACCTGGAGATAGGAAGAAATTATTGGAGCAATGATGAGAACCTGATCTTAAGAGCTGTAAGTAGATATGGAAAAGAAGGGATAAATGCTAGACAAGGTAGAAATAAGTAGAAACAGGACTTTATTAGAAGATGAGATACAAAGGAAGAGTGTCAAAGATAATACCATGTTATGAAACATGGAGAAATAGAGAAGTTGTGAAGTGTAAAGAACATGGTTTGGAGATGTTGGGGGAGGATAATGAGTGGTTTAGAACTATTGAGTTTAAGGCGCCTGCCAGACAACTAAGTAGAAAATCTCAGGGGGTGGGGGCAGGGTGCAGTTTTACAGGTGTTATTAAAGTAGGAGTTTAGAGGTAAGAGAGGGAAGGTAGAGTCATCTGAGCAGTGACATTTGAAGCTGTGAGAATGGGTGGGCTTATGCAGAAATAAAACACAGAGAAGAGTTAGAGGGCTGATGGTTAGAAACATATGATTTAGAGATGAGACAGAAGTAGCCTAGAGGCAGACTTAAAGGAGAGGCCAGGGGCTGGCCCCATGGCCGAGTGGTTAAGTTAGCGCGCTCCGCTGCAGGCGGCCCAGTGTTTCGTCGGTTCGAATCCTGGTCGTGGACATGGCACTGCTCATCAAACCACGCTGAGGCAGCGTCCCACATGCCACAACTAGAAGGACCCACAACTAAGAATATACAACTATGTACCGGGGGGCTTTGGGGAGAAAAAGGAAAAATAAAATCTTTAAATAAATAAATAAATAAAGGAGAGGCCAGACAGAGGGTGAAGAGGAGAAATAAATATTCTACTCTCTCAGAAGCAATATAGAAGGGAGGTTTTTATCTAGTGAGCCAGAAAGGTCTCAGAGAAGGATGATTTCTAAGAAAGAAACTTTCTAAGTAAGTTACTAAGAAAACTTCTAAGTAAGGTTTTGGAGAGGGGAACTTGTAATAATACTCTCTAGTTTGAAAAGGAGAAACCATGTTACGGATTGGGGAGGTAAGGAGTAGTGACCAAAATGAGGAAAACGATACAAGCTTCTCAGTCTAAACTGGAAATTTGATCATTAAAGGAATGAGAACTAGGTCTGCTCTTGGGAATAATATTTAGGGGTGGGTGGGGCTGTCTAACAGTCCAACATGGATACCTGTGGGAGGCAGAGACAGCAAGATTGTGGCTTGTAGAATCTTAGAGGCCATCTGGTTTAACCTTCCACTCAGTATTGGAGTAGAAAGTTCTAAGAGTGATATACATAATAATTTAATGAGGTTCTAACATCCCATTTTTGTAATAAATATTTACAGTAGCCTCTTTAATATTCTGGAATGAAATTGGCAGATGTGAAATAACATATCTACAATCTCCAAAGAATACACACACATAGCATTAACTGTAATATGAAGGAGAAATTTTTAAAAAGTGATTTATAATGGAATAATATTTATTTTAATTCATGTATATTTGGGAACAACTATGTTAGAAGACACAAATAAGTAGTCAGATACTTGTTCCTATTTAAAAGAAAAGGTTTGGGTTTAAGAGATCAGAAGGGGGCTGGCCCGGTGGTACAGTGGTTAAGTGTGCACGTTCCTCTTTGGTGGCCTGGAGTTCACCGGTTCAGATCCCGGGTGTGGACATGGCACTGCTTGGCAAGCCATGCTGTGGCAGGCATCCCACATATAAAGTAGAGGAGGATGGGTACAGATGTTAGCTCAGGGCCAGGCTTCCTCAGCAAAAAGAGGAAGATTGGCAGCAGATGTTAGCTCAGGGCTAATCTTCTCAAAAAAAAAAGATCAGAAGCCCTTCTGTATAAGAAGCACTGGAATATGAAAGGATAGAAAAGGTAAGAAATAATAGACTTAAATAATTATGATAACAAAAAGAGGGAAATAACCTAAATGAAGTAGGGATAATACTGCCACAATAAATAATAGATGATCAAAGTGGAGAAAAATTAGGTAGATCTTAATTTAAAATGTAGTGTCTATCATGAAATTCCACTACAGGCCAAGGCTCTGACACGTAAAAAGGCCTCAGAGACCATATCATTTGAAAGTTGAAATAGGCTGAAAACAGGAACTTAGGTGTAAGACTCTACAAAGAAGTTGTGAGGTTTAGGAACAGTGTCAGAGTAAGATTAAACAACAGGCAACCTAAAAATAATTTCCTCATAAAATGTTTACAACTTGATGTCTCCCATTCCGTAAAATTTTCTAAAGCATTCAGGATGATAGTATGACATATTTGTAAAACAGTCTTTACTAATGAAACTCACTAAGATCCCTTCGTTTCATATTTCTCTGCTATTTTAATATTTGATTCTGTCTATTAAAAACAATCAGGCTCTTGTTACATGTTAATTAGCAGTATTAAACAAAACTTTCCATCTATATGGTTAGAAATGCTGTAATGTAATGAGTAGAGAGAACATGCAGAGAGTAAACTGTTTAATAATTTCAAGCTTAATTATTTAATAATTTTAAATATTCTTTTTCATAGTGACCATTTCCGGTATTACTGAGCTTTTTCACATAACTATTGTGAAAACACTTCAATGTTATTAGATACAAAAGTACTACCAATTTATATTTGTACTGGGTTGTCAGGTGGGACATGAGGAAATTCTTTGGGTATGACTGTCCCACACATTGCAGAACATTTAGTGTGCCTGGCCCCATCTAATTAAAAAGTCCACTAGCGTTACCAATATTGTGACCACTGGTAAATGCTTCCTAAGGAGCAGCAGTGACCTTTTAGAAAACCAGTGCTTTAAGATCACCATTCAGAGCTATCTCCAACAGAAGGTAAATGAGAGGCAAAAATTGGGTGTGTGTGAAGTGTGTAAGGGTATGCCCTACAGGACCTATAAGCACAAGCATTGTTAATACTGAATTCACTAGGATGTTTACATTTTATAAAGTTTTAACCATTTTATATTTAAATCATTTTATTGTATAAGACAGTGGATTGTAGTTTCCCTATTGTGTTTAAAACTAAAATTAACCTTTTTATGTTTCTGTTCTTATGTAAGGTATTATTAATCACAATATTCTGTTATTCTGGCTAAGGAACGCTAGATAAAACTGCATTTTCTCCTCATGGACACATGTTAACAAAATGATTCTCAAACTTTAGCAGCCATCAGAATCGCCTAGAAGCTTGTTAACAAAAAACAGATTGCTGAGCCTCACTCCCAGAGTTTCTGATTCAATCAGTAGTAGGCTTGGGAGAGGGGCTGTAGATTTGTGATTCTAACAAGTTCCCTCATGATACTTCCCTGATGATGGTAATATTGCTAGACTGGGGATCACAATTTGAGAATCACTGCGCTATCAAACTGTTGATGATTTCAATATGTTTTAGGGAGCAATGGACCACAGAAATTCTGCATTGAAAAAGTTGGGAAAGAAAATTGGTTACCCAGAAGTCATACCTGGTAAGTAAAATCAGAAAGATTAGAGAACATAGCCTTTTCCCAGTTATCCTGTAGATCTTAAAGCCTATTAGAAATTAGAAGTGAAATATTTTCCCCATGGTACTGAATTATTTTTAATAGCTTTTTCAAGGCATAATGTACATACCATAAAACTTACCCATTTGGGGGCTGGCCCCATGGCCGAGTGGTTAAGTTTGCACTCTCCGCTTCGGCAGCCAAAGGTTTCACTTGTTCAGATCCTGGGTGTGGACATGGCACCGCTCGTCAGGCCACGTTGAGGCAGCGTCCCACATGCCACAACTAGAAGGACCCATGACTAAAATATACAACTATGTACTGGGGAGATTTGGGGAGAAAAAGCAGGAAAAAAAAAGATTGGCAACAGTTGTTAGCTTAGGTGCCAATCTTTAAAAACTTACCATTTTAATTAAATGATATATAGTAGATTTACAGAGTAGTAACTTTCACTACAATCCAGTTTTAGAGTATTTTCATCACCCCAAAATGATCCTTTATGCCCATTTGCAGTGAATCCCTTTTTTCCCCACCTATGAAGCTTTTTTAATGAGATATTTAGAAAACTTTTAAAGTTTTCTCTGAAGGTAGAGGAAGAAATCAAGTCTAGATAGCTTTTGGGAGAGCTAATTTCTAACATGATGAACAGAAATATTTTCTCATCATAAATGAGGTTTAACCACATTTCCAAAAATGTATAAAACTAAAAACTAACCCTAATCTTAACTTAAATACAGTATGTTGGAATTTGACCTAACATCAACAATATCTGAACTTTATTTTGTGAGATGTTTCAGTGGTCATACCTGGACCTTACTGGATATTCCTATATTTTCCCCATCTGCCCTTTTTACTTGGTTCATTGTCTGTTCCTTTGTATTTCCATACATATACATATATGTGGGGTTTTTTTAATAACAACTTGGCACCTTTGTTGAAAATCTGTTGACCATAAATGCACGGTTTTATTTCTGGATTCTCAATTCTGTTCCATTGGTCTATATATCTATCTTTAATGGCAGTACCACATTGTCTTGATTACTATAGCTTTGAGTAAGTTTTGAAATTAGGAGGTATGCATTCTCAAACTTTTTTAAGATTGTTTCAGCTATTCTGGGTCCTTTGGATTTCCATGTGAAGTTTAGGATCAGCTTGTCCATTTCTGCAAAGAGGTCAGCTGAGATTTTCATGCAAATTGTTCTGAATCTATAGATCAATTTGGGGAAGCATTGCCATCTTAACAGTATTAAGTCTTCCAATCTGTGAACATGGGATGTCTTTCCATTTATTTGGGTCTTCTTTAATTTATTTCAACAACGTTTTGTAGGTTTCATTATATAAGCTTTGCATTTCTTCTGTTAAATTTAAGTATATTATTCTTTTTAAAGCTATTATAAATGGAATCTTTTAAATTTCATTTCAGATTGCTAGTGTGTAGAAATACAATTGATTTTTGTACATTCATATTGTGTACATGTATTTTGATTTGACCTCTTGTCCCTTGCTTCTTTCAAACTTGGAACAGACTCTGCCATTACACTGTTGTGAACAGCTTATCTCAGTCACACATGAAAACCAGCCTCATTACTCTGTCAAGTTCCATGTTTCTATTTGCAAGGATGAACAAAAGCAATAATTGTAAATTTATTTTCCCTTTCTGGATAGCGTTATTTCTTTTATTTTCAAACATTTGCCTAGGCCTTATCCTAAAAATACAGCAGAGGGACAAGGCTTTAGGGCAAATTCACTACATGTTACCTTGTGAAGGTGATATTAATATGACCCAAAATTAGAAGATGCCCTTTAAAAACTCACAGCTAAGAATAGAGCAGAGAAATTTAGTAGGAGCAGAATATTAGATATTAGAGCAGAAAATTGTTTCTTACTATTAAAGTGGTATACTTAAAACCTTTTGATAAGAGACCTATGGCCCACAAAGTCTAAAATATTTATTATCTAGCCCTTTACAGAAAAAGTTTGCTGACCACTGATGCAAATTAGGGTGGATGGGAGAGCATGAGAGGACTAAAATTTTACTGAGTACCTGCTGAGCATCAGGCCCTGTGCTATATATGTGCTTGTTTTTTCTTTTCTCTACTCTGAGAGTTAAGTATGGTTATTCCCATTTTACCAAAGAAGAAAGCAAGAGTCAGAACGGTAAAAGTGCTTGCCCAAAGGCTCAGTGACAGAGCTGAGATGTCAACTCAATTTTGCATGACTTTCAAACCAGTGTTGTTATGTACTACACTGCCTATATGATTCCTTGTGTATTTCCTTTTCTCAAGCTAACAATTCTTACTTTTAGTTTTAACCGCCTGGACCTGCCACCCTACAAGAGCTATGAGCAACTGAAGGAAAAGCTGTTATTTGCCATTGAAGAAACTGAAGGATTTGGACAAGAGTAACTTCTGAGAACTTACACCACTGAAGGACAAGAACTTATTTGCAATGTTTGTCCTTTTCCTTCTCTGCCTATTGCACATCTTGTTGTAAACTTGGACTGTGACTGTTTAGAGAGTTATCTGAGTGTAAGTAAATTAATGTTATCATTGAGATTTATCTTCCAGTGATTTGGGATTTCTACTCAGTGTTTCCAGAAATCAGATCTGCAAATGACTAGTCAAAACCTTACTTAACATGAGATTTAACAGCAGTGAAATCTGCCTTGTCTTACTCCACTAGATTCTTTCCTTAACAACAGTTTTGTATATGTGTGTCAAAAGTCTCACCTGGGAGTAAGTTTTTTTCTTTCAGAGATTCTGCAGATATGCAGGGAAGTCCCATGGTAACTGAAATATGCAAGATCTTCCTATTAAGCCTCTTGGTAAGAGGTATTTGTTAAAAGTACAAGCTTAGCAAAGCTTCGGGGGATGTGAGCGAATTTCTGGTTTGTGCTCTCCCTCTCATTTCAGTCTGGCCTGTCGTTTTTCCTTTCCGGAGCATGAATCCGTGCATCATTTTGATGTTATCCCTGCAAAGTGATGGCAAGACTCTTGTATCTCTCTACAGAGTAGTTTTATTAATTTGAATTCAGGGAGAAGTTGGTCCCAGCCTGCAAGTGACTTCATAAGTCTCTTCATTTGGAAGTTTGATTGTTTTAATTGCCTTGCAAATACTAAACTTTATAAATAATATTAACACTATGATTCCTTCACTGACGTTTATAAAAGTTAACCTAGAATTGGAATGAATTTAGCTGAATTCATCGAAGGCCATCATTGACAATTTCTGTATGTTCCTATATACAAGTTTCATCTTTATAATTTTAGCATAATCCAACAAGTTCAGTTATATTATTGTTAAGGAGTTCAAGTTTTAACTAGATGCTTTCTAGTCCCAATAGAGGTCAATGAAACATCCTCTAAAATTATATTTCCATTAGGGAGGGAGAGCTATGGTACTGGCTAAAAACAAAGGAGTAAAACATTTACTAGCCATTCATTTCTAGTAACCACAGAAATGTATTCTTTCTGTGAATTAAAAGTCTTCAAATTTATCATTTCTCAGAAACATACTGGAGTAGTCACTTCCATTCTTTACATTGTGCTGAATTGGATGTTCTCTTCACCTCTAAAAATTTTAACAGACTTTTCCCATAACGATTTAATTTTAGGCTGCTCTGTTAGTAACCAATTAATGCACTTTGAACTTCTATATAGTTAATTCTTTTAACTTGGCCTAGCCTAGACTCTGTCAAGATGGCTGATGTCAGAGGTTTGACTTTATGGACAGTGGGATGAAGCCTAAGCCATTGGAGTCCTATCATAGCTGAACCCTGAGGACAGCCTCATAACTCGTGAAGCAGGGACTCTGGCAGGTTTCAGTAGCATAGAATGAACAGTAGCATTGAGCCAAAAATAAGCAGAGAGTAGCAAACCCCTGTTCCATATGGAAAGAAAATGTTTTTTTTGTCCCTAACTACTCTTCCTTTTACACCCTGGAACAACAATAAAAACATTTTTAAACTTGTGTATCTGTATTCTAAAACACTGCCATCATAAAGTAGACTTATGTGAGTGAAAGGGTTGCCTCATGTCAGTGTAAAGGGGGAGATTAGACTCTCCCCAACCCTATATATTTTTTTTATTCCACATACTCCAGGAAAATGTTGTATGGTCTCTAAATGCCCTAGTTTTCAAAGTAGGGACTCTCTGCCTTTTTGTTGGTAGGGGAAAAAAGCGCTATTGCTTTGTCTTACAGAGCGAATGTCTGCTAACTACCCATTCATTATATGTCTGAACTTTGGTAATGGCTATGGAGATTAAGCCTTCTGTAAAGACTTCCTATTGAGGTGAATTCTCATATTGAAATGTAGTTACCTACAATATTTACTAGAGATTTATGAGATTAAATTAAGAGATAATGTAAGAAAGTAGACTTTTTTTGTTCTACATAATGCTTGATGATTCATTTAGGGACCTAGAAATATTGTGTGAAAATGTATAAATATCACCCAAAAGGCTTTCTGCCCTATATTTTTAAAATACAGAATAGTTATATTTGAAGTAGCCCTGGCCCTAGTTCTATAGGGCTTGGCTATTTAATATTTTTATGGAAGAAACTTTAGTTCTGGGAAAGGTAAATGCTTGTATATATTTTTGCAGCCTGGGATCTCCCTTACTCCATTTCTTCCTTTAATTTAAGTGGCCACATGTATATGTCTTCCCTGCTGTGTTAGGAAAATGGGGGCTGGATATCCCAAGAATCAGAGGTTATATAAAAATACTGCAAATAGACAGCAGACATAAATATCTACCAAATGCTATCTTAAATTTTGGTCCAAACTGAACATTTGGAAATAGATTTATTGTAAGTGTTTAATTAGAGTGATTTCTTAAATCTGAACTAAATTGCTTTTAGAATCCTTTTTCTTTGTAAGCATTGTAAATGCTAATAAATCCTGTTAATTTTTTTACTGCATGTTATGTTGAAATAAAAACAAAGTAAAATGAGCAATTGCCTTATTCTTCTGCTCTTTTGGGAGGTTGGGGAAGTCAGCATTTCACAGCCTGGGTCAGGAGGGAAGGGCCTCACTTGTTTCATCAGATAGAGTGGTTTAAAACTGATCCAGCAGCTTCTAATAAAGAATTCCTGCTCTTGCCTTTTATGATCTTATATCAGAGTGCAGAAGAATCTAATTTCATAAGACTTACAATAACTCTATTTAAAATTCAGATACTAATTTTTCATCAAGAGATTGACATACCAATGTCAATTCATCAAATTTTAGTGAAACATGACTCACCTGTCCACAGAGGTCTCATCCTAAATGAACTATTTCAGTTAAACCCATTCCGCCACTTCTTACTTATCTGGTTAATAATCTGAATTGTTAGCAGGGATGACTCATGGAATTAGACTTCTCTTTTTATATCCCTCCTTATTTTGAATGTAATTCCATCCTTCTAAACTCCTTTAGGTTAACTACTTCTATTTAATATTGTTGGTATCTCCAGCCCCCCTCATTTTCTTGTTTTTCTTTTGGAAGTATTGACAGAATTATTTGTATATATGCTATGCTTTCATTAACTAAAAATGGAATGGCAGCACTGGATTGTATATTACTGTATTGGAGTTCCTTTGTTTTCTTGAACTGTAATTTCAAATACTCAGGTAACTCTACAAGTACCACAGGGAGTCAAGTGCCCTTATAAAAGTCCTTCAGGGGGCTGCCTCAGTTGCATTTCCTTAAAAGATGTAATGGAAGACTGTTCATAATTAAACTTTTTTGGTCCTTCATTTGCACACTTTTCTGTTAGTCTTGAGTAAGAAGGTTTGCCCTGCCTGCAGAAAAGCCGTCTATATGACCGGGGTGCATAGATTTCTGCGTCTCTGCTTTTGTAAGTGGGCAAGTTACAGCCTCTCTGTAGTGATGAGTAGAAAAAAACTAGGAACACCCACTGAGGTGAGATTGGATTTGGCACCTATGTTGAAGAGAACTGAGATGAAGACATCTGCTTTTCTGAGACAACTAAAGATGCTCTAAGACAGGACCCCAGCCATGGGTGCTAAGTAGAGAACCACCAGCTAGCTGCCAAGACTTACTGTTCTCAATAAGCTGTCCTGCTCACTAGCTTCAGTAGACTTTTATTAGGAAACCAATGATCACGCTCTCATTTAAAATAGGACCAGTGAAGAGAGGCTGAGAAGTGGGATTTTTTCTAATATGCCAATCTAACAGTGACTGGAGGACAAAAACTGCAGGTCCTTCCCAGGTCTTAAAAATAGACCCTGTCCTATTTAATCTATCCCATATAAGCAGCTAGAAAGCTCTAGCTTCAATGTGGCTAAGAAAAAGGGGGAAGATATGTCCCTGTCAGCATGAGGAAATCTTTCATGGGAAAATCAGTAGTAATTCTTACTGACCGTTTGACTCTCTGGCCCCAAACCCTACAAAGCATCAAACTGGGACTCAGCTGTGGCTGGCTGACTGCTATTCTCCACACTTTTAGGAAGAGTGTCTCACATGTTCTGAAACTCCAGAACAGAAACTTCTGTCACCCCTAGCCCATTTCAGTTGTCAATTCCTATGTGTCTGTAGGGTTCCATTGTGGTCTGGACATTTCGGGGGAGGATCTAGGGAAATCTTCCTGGTTGGCAAGGAGAGGAGGGTCTTAAGTGGAGACCACAGGAAGACAATATTGGTCAATGAACAAGCAAAGATGCTGTGGGCAAGAGGGTTTCCTCAAAGCCCCCCAAAGGGAAGGCCCTTAAGAATTTGCAGTCACACCTGCAGATAACTGAAGATCCATACCGTTATTTTTCCTCATTTCTAATTCAGACCTGCTTTTCTATTTGTCTTCCCTATTCTAGCAACCACCGCCACACCTATATTCACTTAGTCCTAGGACAACTGTCAACATTTATTACTATGTCCCAAACACTGTTAGATATGGTACATGCACTGTCATTTAGTCTTCCTGGCCACTCTTACAGAAGGATGATTATCTCTATTTTACAGATAAGAAAATAGAGGCTCAAAGTGATGGAGTAACTTGAAGTGTCCACAGGTATTGTGGCAAGAGTGCAAATAGGAATTCAGGACTGTCTGACTCTAAAACCTGTGTTCTTAAACATTGTGCTGTACTGCTACTCACCACAACCCTGCGAGTCTTCCATGGTCAATTCAGGTGTTCTATCTAATTGGTCTCCAAATCGTGTCAAATCCATCTTCAAAACTTCTTTTGAATCACTTCTCTCACAGCTGTCCCCATTGCCACAGCCCACATCCTTCATCCCTACTCAGGTTGACTAGCAGCCTCTTGTCATTGCTTCCATTCTTCTCCCTCCAGTCCATCTGTGCTGCCTCAGAATGATCTGTGAGACCTCAGTCTCATGCTTCTCCCCTCCTTAAAATCTTACAGTGCTTCCTCCCTTACCACAGAATAAACTCCAAAACTCATAAGCCTGCCATTCAAGGCCCTAACTGTCTCCAACTCCTTCTTCCCCATCATTCTGGCTCCAGTCATTTGAACTATTGGCCATTCTCTTTTTTGCTTCTGTGATTGTGATCATGTTAAATCCTTTCACCTCTCTCAGTTTGGTTCTCCATACGTAAGATGGTGGTGAAGATCCCTCAGGTGCTTATCTTCCAGGATTTCTTGAGGTACAGTCACTGCAGCCCTTCTTCATCTTGCTAAATGCTTTCCTAATGTTTCCAGTATTCAATACTCATTTCTTTGTAGCCAATCCTTTTTTATTTATTTATTTAATTTTTTTTTTAAGGAAGATTAGCCCTGAGCTAACTACCGCCAATCCTCCTCTTTTTGCTGAGGAAGACTGGCCCTGAGCTAACATCCATGCCTATCTTCCTCTACATTATATGTGGGATGCCTGCCACAGCATGGCATTTACCAAGTGGTGCCATGTCCACACCCGGGATCCGAACAGGCGAACCCCAGGCCACCGAGAAGTGGAACGTGCGAACTTAACCGCTGCACCACTGGGCAGGCCCCTCCAATCCTTTTTTAAAAACTTTACTTTGAAATAATTTTAGACTTATGGAGGTGTTGCAAAGATAGTACAGAGAACTCCTGCATACCCTTCACCAAGCTTTCCCCAGTGTTAACATCCCATATAACTTGATACAAAACTAATAACTTGACATTAGTAAAATAACACTAAACTACAGCCCTTATTCAGATTTCTCCAGTTTTTCCAATGTCGTTTTTCTGTCTCCTCTAGTCTGCGACAGGTCTTCATTCATTCCTTGTCTTTCATGACCTTGATATATTTTGAAGAATCCGGGTCAAGTACCTTGTAGAATGTCTCTCAAATTTGGTTTAATGTTTTCTCGTGGTTAAGGCCATATATTTTTGTGGAAAAATACCACAGTGGTGATGTGCCCTTAGTGCAAGGTATCACTGAGCACACATCAGTATATCCTATTACCAGTATTGTTAACCTTGATCCTGTTGTTAAGGTGGTATCTGCCAGGTTTCCTCACTGTAAAGTCACTATCCAACCCTTGTAACATGCAGACATTCCTGGAAGGAGCACCAAATCCTTCCCCAATTAAAAGAGGCTACAGTGGAATGAAAATTTGGAGTTTGATCACCTGCGTTGAATTCAACAAGCTCCAGAGTCTCGAAGAAACAGCACTTGTAAAGGAATGCTGTGGCTACTGGAGATAGTGCGTGCGAGTGTTCAGCCAGTAATGTGGCACAAGGTTTGCTAAATGGCAGTGTATTTTAACAAGTTGTTTCTTGCTAAAGAACCCAAAATTTTCTGTGGCTTGCGGGAGTATAAGGCTAAAGGGCAGAAAATGGGACAACAAAAAAGGAAGAAGGGTCCCCCTTTTATTTTAATTATTTTGGTGAGGAAGATTGGCCCTGAGCTAACATCTTTGCCAATCTTCCTGGTTTTGCTTGAGGCAGACTGTCGCTGAGCTAACATCTGCCAATCTTCCTCTATTTTGTATGTGGCATGCCACTACGACGTGGCTTGATAAGCAGTGTGTAGGTCCGCTCCGGAACCCGGGCTGCTGAAGCAAAGGGTGCAGACTTAACCACTATGCCACCAGCCGACCCTAGGGAGAAAATGAGGGAGAACAGAGATGTTAAGTTGCTTCTCCAAGGTAACACAAGGGATGGGGCTGAGCACTCGGAGTCCTAAATCTGCAGACTCCCAGGCTAGCCCTGACCACTCTATCTCAGAGCCTTCATGGAATATTCCCAAGAGGGCCGCTCTGGAGACCCCAGAGACGCTTGACTCCAGCCCCAACTCGGACTTTCCCGTCTTCGGCGTCTTTTGGCTCCGCGCCTCACTTTGCCTCGATCTGGGCACAAAGAGGGTCTCAGCAAATTCCCCTCAGCGCCTTCATACTCTCCCATCACCCTCCACCCAGGGCTTCCAGAGCCAGCTCAGACCTCGATGGAGAGTTGAAAGCCTCTTCTAACACCTCGAACCAGCGTCTTTTTCGGCACAGAGGGAGTTTGGAATTTTCCGTAGCTTAAGTGCTCCTTTCGGACAACGCAGGGCAAATTCCCCACGAGCCCTGGAGGGGGGAAGCACCGCCCGGCCGCCTGCCCCACCCTGGCTCCTGATAGGCTACCGAAGCTGTCCGTTTTGACAGGGTGCTCTGCGCAGGCGCGGAAAGGCACCGGGACTGGGTTCAGTGCCTGCGTCGAGGAGCTACCGGTTCGGCTCGAGATGGTGAGTGCCCGCCCGGGGCTTGTGGTTGGTGGTCCCCCGCAAGCACGGCCCCCCACTGCCCTGCGCTTAGCCTTCCATTCTCCGGGGGCGTCTCAGAGCGCCGGGCTGGGAATCCGCAGGGCTGGGCGGGGCCGGGCCCGAGCTGACTGAAGGGCGGAACCGGGGCAGCGCGGGTCTCCAGACCCGGACCGAGGAACTCAGGCGGGGCCACCGGATCCTGCTGCCACTTGACCGGAAGCAGGAGAGCTCTGGCCTCGGGGAGGGGCTGACGGAGATAAGGAGGCCGGCCCACAGCCCCTGCATCCTGGCATCCTGGGCTTTGTTGCACGATAACAATAATGATACCGTGTCCTGGAAGCGTATGTGTGTCAGGTACTGCTAAGCGCTTCCGTGTCTTGGTTTTCCTCCTCACGACAGCTCTGTGAGGTAGGTGCAGCCATTATCCCCGTTTGACAGACTTGGCATCTAGAGCCCCGTCAACCTAAGTGCCTTCCTTGCCCCAGGAAATGGCGGAGGTGGATTTGAACCTTAGGAGCGTGACTGCCGCCTTTCTGTCCGTGTGGTTCTTTCGAGCTGCCGGGACTTGGTGCTTGAGTCAGAAACGGGCGGGGACCCCGTTGGGGAGCCCAGGGCCTCCTGCCAAGCTGGCTGGAGCTGTGGGCTCTTTACACCTTTCCAAATTTATTTTCTCGTGGTTTTAATCAAACTTGTAAAAAAAACCTTGAAAAGACCTTTTGTATGGTAAACCATGTGACTGTACTACCTTTTCAAAAATCTTACTTAAAAACTTACAGCCTATAAGAAAAATTGAAAAGGAAAAAGAAATAGTACTATGACCTAGAGGCAGGCACATAATTAGGCATATTACTTCTAGTCTTTTTCTGTTCAGTTTTTGCTTTATATAGTTTAGGTCCTTCTGTATGTACAATTGTGGAGTCTGCTTTTTTCACTTATTCACCGCAAAGAATGTCTTCACATCACTGAAATCTTGCAATAATGCATCAAACGTGTAACTTCATCATTCACGTCATTTTTTTAAACTAAAAAAAAGTTAATTTTTAACAGGTAATACTTATACACTCTAAAAACATAATCTGCAAGGATCTAAGTGAAAAAGAAATCTACCCAACTCTGACCTCCAGCCTCAGTCCCCTTCAGAAACGAACATTGTTACTTTCTTGTATATCTGTACAAGCACGTATATGCCCCCTCTTTTTCTTACACAAATTGTAGCTTACTGCAACCTGTACCATGCTACCATGTGTTTATACTCATAAAAGCAAAACATATTTGGATGCACGTTTTAACAAATTGAAGCAGTACCAAAGTCTATCATGTAGAAAGTGCCAGTTGTCACTATCTCACTGCCCTATGGTAAGGACTGTTGGCAGTTGGGTCTCTTTCCTTCCAGATTTGTTTAGTGCATAAGCACATTTATATATAACCTGTTTGTTACATGAAACTGGAACACACATGTTTATACACATTAAGTTTGCTTTAGGCTATATGTATAGGTATCTTGTTCTGCAACTTTATTCCCTTAAAAATATCATTTTTCCGTGTCAGTGTATACAAATCTTCATTCTTTTTAAGAACTGAAGCATTTAGGTGGTTTACAGTTTTTCACTCCAGACAATGCTTCAGTAACTGTTCTTATCTTTTTTTTTTTTTTGCACTCATGCTAGTGTTTATGTAGGAGAGATTCCTAGAACTGGTACTTCTGGCATGAATATTTTACATTTTGGTAGAAATTGCCAAATTACCCTTTAGCACAATGATGTAAACATCATCCGTAATTCTCATCTGGTTTTACTCCACCAGCAACTGTTTTCATCTTTGTATGTCCTCCTTCCTCTTTGTTCACATACCCGTATTTTTCAAGATGTACATGCTAGTTTTTCTTTTTTGTTTGCTTTAATGTCCAGAGATGTTTAACCTTGTTGCTACATCACTTTTGTGATGAATTGTTTTTGGTGACTACATAATAGTCAGTGAAATAGTTGTACCACAATTTGCCAAACCATTCCCCTGGTGTACATTTGAGTTGCTTCTAGTTCTTCGTTATTAGAGATAACATTGTGATTAATGCCTCTGTAGATGTAAAGTTTGTTTTCTTTTTTGTTTGGTTTTTTTTTTTTTAGATTTTTTAAAAAATTTTTCCTTTTTCTCCCATAGACCCCTGGTACATAGTTGTGTATTTTTAGTTTTGGGTCCTTCTAGTTGTGGCATGTGGGATGCCATCTCAGCATGGCCTGATGAGCGGTGCCGTGTCAGTGCCCAGGATTCGAACTGGCGAAGCCCCGGGCCACCAGAGCACACGAACTTAACCATTCGGCAACAGGGCCAGCCACGGTTTTCTTTTTAAAAAATTTCTTAGATTATTTCCTTAGGAGAAACTCTCAGGAAAAGAACTTTTTTTTTTTTTAAAGATTTTATTTTTTTCCTTTTTCTCCCCAAAGCCCCCCTGGTACATAGTTGTATATTCTTCACTGTGGGTCCTTCTAGTTGTGGCACGTGGGACGCTGCCTCAGCGTGGTTTGATGAGCAGTGCCATGTCCGCGCCCAGGATTCGAACAACGAAACACTGGGCCGCCTGCAGCGGAGCGTGCGAACTTAACCACTTGGCCACGGGGCCAGCCCCAGGAAAAGAACTTTTGAGGCAAAGGGACCAAGGCTTTTATGGTTCTTGCAGTAGTAGTTTCCTGTGGCTTTCCCGGTAGCATTTAAAAAGATACCTCAGTATTGCTGTAATTTTTCATTTCTTTATTTACAGGGAGCAGTGAACATTTTTCTGTGTGTTTGTAATTTCTCTTAGGTGTATTTTCTACTATTATCTTTTTTTACCTTTTAGAGATATGCTATTTTTGTTAATCATTTTGTATAATGTTTTGGAATTACTCTTTTGTTATATTTGATGCAGATGTTTTTCTATTCTTTTGATTCATTTTTATTTTATAGAATTAACATTTTTGTGCTTAGAAGTCAAATCGGTCACAGTTCTTTTGTGAATCATTTGCTTCACATGCTTATCCCTCCTATGCTGAACCGATAAATAATCCTGGAGTTTCACTGCTACTTGTTTTTCCATCTGTCAGCAACATGCACCTGGAAACTAGAGAACTCGGGAGCTTTGTCCCTTCCCTGGTGCAGACACCCATGTTAATAGTAATAAACCCAGGATGGTGAGGATACCAGTCGGGCTCTCTCTAGGAGCAGGACAGGAAATTGGAGATGTGAGCTGACCCTGGGGGCTGCATATGCACTCAGATATTTCTGGTGCCAGTTGACCGGCACTGCAGGGATGACAAACTTTGAAGCAGAGCTGCCATGATTTGGCTGCCTGACTGTTGAATGTCCCTGTTGCTGCTTGTGACTTTTTGGCAACATTTGTTTTCTTTCTTGGCTCTTTAGGGCTGAACTTGAGGTTTGTTTTAAGCAGTTTCTCCTGAACCCAGACACGTAGCTGGTGCCCTGCACCTCCTAGAGACCCCTCTAGAGCTCATGGCCCCCACTCACCAAGCCTAGCCCCACCCTAGTGGTGGGGGCCAGGTTGGAGAAGCTATTCTCGAGTCTCACAAGAAAAAAATTTTATTAAATTTGACTACTTAAAAATTTTAAACTTCCGATTATTGAAAACAAACCATAAGATTAAATGAAAAAGTGGGAGAAGTGTAATTTATATGATGGATAACAGTCTAATATTTCTAACACGGAAGAGTTTTTGAAAATCACTAAGATTTGTAGAAAAATCAAAAGACTCAAAAAAGGAGAGATGCAAACAGTAAATTCTGTTTTAACTTCATTGATAACTCTTAAAAATTAAAGAAAAAGTGTCTTTCTTTTATTTGGTTTCTGCGTATCAGTTAGCAAAGAATCAAAAAACTTGGCAATACTGGTCATCTCTCTATTCCTTAAATATGCCACACTTGTTCCCACTTCCCTGCCTTTGCTTTCGTCCGTTGCCTGGAGTGTTTTTCTTTCTCATCATTTAGTTCTTGGCGTAAAGATTACATCCTCAGGTGTTCCTGACCACACTAGCGAAAGTAGCATCCCCATCCCCCCCAGTCTTGTCCCTGTACCCTGCAAGAATCTTGGTCACTTGTTTTTTCAAGGTCTCTTCCACCAGAATGTGAGCTCTCTGAGGGCAGGGACTTCATCAGTTGTGGTTGATGGTATATTCAGCTCTTCTCTTGACTTACTATGTGTCCTTGGGCAAAACTCTTCTCCTTTCTGAATCTCAGTTTCCTCGTAAAATGGAGATTGTACTAACCATGAAAGGTTCGAATGAGAGATGTGTCTGAAAACACTCAACCCAATATCTGAGTAGGTACTTAGTAGGTCAATGTATGCTTGTATGTCCTCCCTTTCTGGTGTGTGTGTGTGTCTATTTGTTAAGCAGCAAGATCTTAGTGGCTGGTTCTTATTAAACATAGGATTACCTAAACCCTAGCTCTTTTTCACACTGGGTACTATAAGGCCGTGTCCCCCTCCTATACTTAAAAGGATTGATTTTTGTAAAACATAGTTGCAGAAATGCTTTTTATTTGTTCCTTAAGTATTTATTGAGCCTATACTGTACCAGGTACTAGAGCTACAAAGTCTAGGTGCCTGCTCCCAGGGTGCTCCCAGGAAGGTCTGGAGGAGGAGACAGATAGGAAACAGACAGTTACACTCCATTAAGTAAGTGCTATGAAGGCAGGGTGCTGTGAGTACCCAGAAGAGGGGCAGGTATCAGAGAAGGCCTCCCACAGGAGGCTCATGTGCTGGGTCCAGAGAGTTGGGAGTTAGTTACATCAAGTAGTGAGGAAGAGAAGGGTGCTTTCTTCAGAGAGAGTGGCACATGCCAAGGGCCCCAGGCTCAGGCAGGCTGTGCTTGTTCCTGAAGTCCATTCTCCACACAGCAGCCAGAGCTGTCCTTTTGAAACGTCGGATCTTGTGACTCCTCATTCAGAACCTGATGGTAGCTCCCCAGATAATCCCCATTAAAACTCAAAAGTCAGGGGGCTGGCCCCGTGGCCAAGTGGTTAAGTTCACATGCTCCGCTTCAGCGGCCCAGGGTTTCACCGGTTCGGATCTTGGATGCGAACATGGCTCTGCTCATCAAGCCATGCTGAGGCAGTGTCCCACATGCCACAACTAGAAGGACCCACAACTAAAAATATACAACTATGTACCAAGGGGCTTTGGGGAGAAAACGGAAAAATAATAAAATCTTTAAAAAAAAAAAAAAAAAGCCATTAGTGTGGTTTACCAGGCCACAGAAATCTAGTCGGATCCTGGCTGCCTCTCATCTGGCCGCCTGCCACTCACTGCACTTCAGCTATACTGGCTCCTTTACTTTTCCTGGAACATGCTGCTTTTCCACCTCAAATGTCAGCTTCATGAGGGCAGGGATTCTTGTTATATTTTGTTCACTACAGCATCCGCAGGCCTAAAACAATGTCTGGCATATAGAAGGTACCCCTATAGTTACTGAATGCATAGCAGTCTTACGGAGTTTCATCTCTTTCATTTCAGCCTCACTCCAACCTCCAGGGGACGTTTTGGACCTCAATTCTGACATCTTTGGTTTTAGCTTTCTTTCCCTTTCCCTGCATTGATTGCAGATTGATTGAGCTGTCCTAAATTGTCATCCAACTTAATCTTATGTATTCTTATTCCTATAATGTTGAGCATGTCAGAAGCCTGTGGTCCCCATAATAGAGAACTCTCTCGGCTACACAGAGAGAAGGGTTAAAAAATGTTTTTTAATAGAATAAAAAGAGGCTCTTTTGAGAAAAAGAAAATAAAACCTTATCTATAATTCCCTGTTCTCAATGTGGCTTTTTATGTTTTTCATAATCCCTCTAGTTCTCTTGTTTTCATGTGGTTGCAGTTACCAAGCACTTTATTTTTGCATTTAGCTGTTTTCGCTTAATGTTATATATCATTAACCTTGTGCTGTGGTATAAATATTCTGATCACTGTTGTTAATGTGTGTGTTATGTTCCATGAATGGACATTCCATAATTTATTGGCCTTTACCCTATTTATTGGGCATTTTTGGCTCTTTCTGGTTTTTGCTATTGCACATGTCACTCAGCAAACATCTTGCTGTGTTCTTGTTTTAGTTCTTTTGGATTACTTCCTTAGGATGAACTTCCAGGAGGGTTCCCAGGTCAGACTGAGTACTGGGTGGTATTGACCACTACCATGCTTTGCCCCTCTTCTCCAGAATAACACACAGTAGGAGCTCGGTGAAAGTCTGTTGAATGAATTATGATCTCGTACATGTGTGACCCACTCTACTCTCATGTCCACAGAGCTAACCCTGTCCTTTTACCCAGGTTCCAGATTTTAGTGGCGTCAGGCTGTTTGCCATTTTGTAGGAGGAACTTGTTTGCCCTTCTCTTCAGCATTTGAGAGTATTCTTACATCATTAGGGAGTGGGTGGTGGTGACTGGATTGTCAGCCTTGTGCCTACTAGAAAAACAAGAATTCTTTGTGCTATCTCCGTCCACAGTTTAGAAGCTCCTCCTCCCAGGCCAAACTCATTAGCCCCTGGGGGTGGGGAACCACTTTCTTTTGGTGAATTGAGCCTCTGTTTTCAACATAGTCCAGCTCTCAGCCTTTGAGGAGCTTCTGACTGGATTCTGGACCAGTGTGGAAGGGGCCTGCTGTGAACAAGCACACTTCAAGGCCAGTTTCCATCCACAGGAAGAGTTAGGCCTAGTTCACTTAAGCAGCTGTTTATTGGGCCACAACTCTGCAGACCATTGTAGAGGCTCTCTAAGTAAAACGGTATCGAATGCATCCCCAGAGAGGTACAGTCATGAGTTTGGGGAGTCAGAAGTGGGCACAGACTCCATTGAATTGGGGATCAGTAAAGGTTTCATGGAAGAGATGATGTCTTAGATGGCCTGGAAGAATTTATTGGATTTCAGCAGAGAAGAGGCCTTGTTAGGGTAAAAAGATGTGGAGACAGGGAGGTATAGGCATGTAGATGGAGAGTCGAAGGAAGGGTAAGAGATGGGAGTGATAATATAGAAGGCCTTGCATGGCAGGGTAAGGACCCACTGTCTGATTGTCCTCTCTTTACAAATGCTGTTGCCAGAGTATCCCACCCTGAATAGTTTCTGGAGAATCAGGTTTTACGAGCCCCTTCCCCAGACACATTTCCTGTGGCTCTATGCCATGTGTCACACTATCTCAGATGCCAGCTTATTAAGTCACTGAGTCTGTCCTTAAGGGGGCATTTTACTTCCTTTGGAATGTTTTCAGTTGTGCTATTTGGGCCACAAATGACAACGTGTCTCCTTCCTGTTAGACACCACTGTTTGGGTTTTTTCAAATTATCAAGAGTCCTGTCCCCTAGGTATACCAAATAAGAGTCATCAGTGTGTCTGTACTCCCAGGAATGGTATTTCTATTCTGCTCCCAAATAGCTGAGAGGGGAGGGATAATAGTGCCTGGTGGGCAAAGGGCCAGGAACAACCCTGTGGGAGCAGATGATTTAGGTCCTGGTAATGATCTAGGGACCACTCCAAACAGGCCTGGGGAGCTTTAAGGAGGGGCCCAAACATTACTTGTTTATTGTTGGAAGACAATGTGTGATTCATCTGCCAGGAGTGTTGAGGGAGTTGATCCAGCCGGCCTGGCCCCTCCTGACTTTTGTCTTATTCTCTGGCAGGCAGAGGTGGAGGAGACACTGAAGCGACTTCAGAGCCAAAAGGGAGTACAGGGAATCATCGTGGTGAACACAGAAGGTACGTCCTCCCTGCCACTATCACCTGTATATGGTCAGGCCCCCAGAAAACAGCCCAAACATACCAGAACACTTGCTATTTACTAAGCCCCTTCATGTATGTGATCTATTTTCATCTTTTTTTTTTTAAGATTTTATTTTTTTCCTTTTTCTCCCCAAAGCCCCCCTGGCACATAGTTGTATATTCTTCGTTGTGGGTCCTTCTAGTTGTGGCACGTGGGACGCTGCCTCAGCGTGGTTTGATCAGCAGTGCCATGTCCGTGCCCAGGTTTCGAACCAATGAAACACTGGGCCACCTGCAGCGGAGCGCGCGAACTTAACCACTCGGCCACGGGACCAGCCCCTTCATCTTTTTTTTTTTAATGCCTCCGGTGTCCTATCACTATTATTGGGATTCTGAATTTAAAGGAAGTAAAAATTCACTTAATTCCACTGCCCTGACCAATCGTACTTTTCAGTATGCCATGCTTTTTCAGTACTTATCCAGGCGCATTTTCTCTTGGTCATAATTATAGTTGTTACATTTTTGCATATGTTTACTCATGAGGGTTTTTTTCCCTTCATGGTTTACATAAACAAATTTTTTTAACTGTCAATATGATGTTTTATTAACCATTCTCCATTTATGTTTCTACTTTTATGCTAGATAATACTCTGGTCAACTTTGTACCTATAGCTTTTCCCTCCTCTTCTGGGGTGTTATTTCAACAACTAGAAGAGTACAGATAGTAATTTTCCCAAACTTCAGAGACATGGTGAAGAAGGGAACTAACATTTATCACATATCTCGCTGGGCCAGGCTATGGGCTGGCACTTTACAAAGATATTATTTCACTGATCCTTAAAGCACCCTTATTGTCTTCATTTTGCAGTGGAGAAAACTGAGTCTAGAAATTTAATTGATTCATTCTGCCATTACAGAGCCAAGATTTCATTCCAAGTCTGTCTGAATGCACTTGTGCTCTTTCTCCCACACTGTGCTGTGAAGGACCAGAGAATGGCTGCTGGCCTGGCTTGTGGCCCAGGCCATGTCCAGGGTCACCTAGCTGGGCTTCCCTGGTTCTCTAGCCCAGTGCATTCAGTCAGTTCTAATTTGTTCAAGGCTCCTTGAGAGCCCCTGTGTGTATATGTTGGCATTCTAGGCCTTGTTTTGGAAAGGCAGAATTCTCAACAGTGCCTACTTAGAGCAGAATGAAAGTCACCAAGGGTGGAAAAGTGCAGATAGCATATCCTCAGACAGAATGTTGTTTTCCAAATCGTCAGATCCTGGCCAGTCCAGAGCTAGGCAGAGCATGCTCCCCAGCTTTGTCAAACTCTAATCAAACCATGTGGTCATTGCATTCAAAGGAGGCAGCAGGTTGGGAGCCGTAGAACAGTGTGGGACGCAGGAGCAGTTCCCAGCTCAGGTCTGCTGCTGATCAGCTGGGTGGCCTGGGGCTTCCCCTTCCTGAACTGTTCAGACCTCAGCTGCCCCGAGTGGAGTGGTTGGTCTAGGTAATCTCTTTTGGGTGCTTCTTGCTTCAAGACTCAAAGACTTTTTTTATCAGTCCGAGAGAGACCAGCTCCTGAGACTGGACATTTTTGACCTCCCAAGCTGGGACCTGTAGGCCTCCACCAGTGTTCACAAACCACAAGCCTTCATTCTTGCCCTAAAACTGCCCCAAAAGTAGAGCTTTTTCATTGGGAAAATACAGCCCCAACTGCTTACCTTTTGGATACTAATGAGCACTTCTTTTTCGTATGCTAATGTGGCAACATTGCACTTTAGCTAAGAATATGGAATGTGGTACCAGACTGCCTGCGTTTGAATCCTGACTCTACTTACTTATCAGCTCTGTGGTCTTGGACAAGACATTTAACTGCTCTGTTCCGGTTTTCTCATCTGTAAAATGTGGATAATCATACCACCTTCCTCCAAGGGAAGATCTTAGAACAGTGCCTGATGTATAGTAACTGCCATCTAAATGTTAAAATTATTGCATGTGCACTTTGATTTATTTTTAATTTGTGTCCCATTCGCAGAGCTCCCACTTCAGTCTCTCGTTTGCATTTCACACAGTGACCCTGCAAGGCAGTTTGCCCCGAAGCGGAGAGAAGTGAGGTGACCTACACAAGGTCACCTAGCTGTGCATAGAGTAGTCAAAACTCACTGCTCAATGGGGCCTTTAAGCCCTCTGGAAGCTTCCATTAAGGATGATTAGTTAGGGATCCCTATTTTCCTCTCTAGGGCTTTCCCACCCCAATGATTCAGCTCAACTGCCCCTTCCTGCAGGATGCCTTCCAGGATCACCCCAGCCCAGAGTGATTGTTCTTGCCCCTGAACCATTGTCCCAGTCACTAACCAACCCCCTGCCACTGCCTTTTGACATCCCTGCCTTGGCCAAATTCAAATGATGTTTCATAGTAAAAGTGTGAATTTAAGCAGACTTACCAAGAATTTAAGGAACGTTCCATTCCATTTGTACCTCTCCAACCCCCCTGCCATCCTCTGCTGCTACCACATAGGGCAAAATAAAAGACTCAGATGCGAAAGGTCCACAAGGGCAGGGATTTGTCTCTTGTGTTCGCTGCTGTATCCTCAGCACCTAGAATAATGCTAACACAGAGTTGGTGCTTAATAGCTGTTAAGTTTTGTTAATATTTTTTATTGTTGATTGATGGAGCTGCGTTTGGTGGAGGACCTGGCTATACAATCTGAGAGATCTGAGCCTCAGCTTAAAATCATGCCTCCCCAGTGACCACCCACTTCTGCAGGCTGCACAGTCCCCATTTCTGAAGGCAGGGGCTTGGAGTAGGCAGCCTAATCATTAGGCCGTCTTTGAGTTGTCCCCAGCTCTGGCATCCTGTGAATCTGGGATTGATCTCTTGTCTTTATTTGAAATTCTCCCCAGTTTTGGTCCCTGTCCACCCACACCCCCCCACCACCTCCATGTTTTCTTTTGTTTTTAAAGTGAGCCAACAAGTAGTTAATTTCTTGTCTCAAAGGAGACACACCCTCTCACTTGGTAGAAATGTGATCAAACTCATGACAGTATTTCTCTGAACTACTGAAAGTACCCCTTGTGACCACTTATTTATCAACAGCAATAAAAGCTTAATGCAGGCTTTCTAAGGACACTGTTGAGCAGATCAGACCTGGTCCTGGCCCTCAGGGAGCTTACAGTCTGCCAGAGGACAAACATAATGATCACTTCCATAAAGGTGTGATGGCAAACTTGAGTAACTGCTCCAAAGGAAATTGCGTGGTGCTAGGACATTAGAATGGAGGCACTGACCACATCTAGGGGTGAGTAGAGCCACCAGAAGATGGAGACCTGAGGGACCAGTGGGAGTCTTGAGAAAATAGCAGAAGGAGGGAAAGTTCCAGGCAGAGGGACCTGAGAGGTTGCCTTGTGGTATATGAAAAGAGAAGGTCAGGAAGTTTAATCATCCAAAGTTTGCCAGGCCTTGAGACTGACCCCTCAAGTTACCTGGGGGATGGGATTTATTGTGTGGGTGATGTTCATAACAAACCAACATTGATTACATGCATATTCTTGCTAAACATTCTTAAATGAATTAAGCCATATTTAATCCTTACAGCAGCCCTGGTGACTTGGTGGTCTTGTCCCTTAAAGGCAAGTGATCACTACAACCTGTTCTCATGGCTTCATTTGGCTCAAAACAGCCTCTCTGACGCAGCTGCTTCTTTTGACACTGTATCCTCCTCTGCCCACTCTCATGTTCCTATCCCCTAAGAAGATAAGGTTGAGGCGGTTTCTTGCCATCCATTGGTAGGCCTGAGGGTGACTGCCTTTGGCTGATCCCTAGGCTGGTCAGTTGTGGGCCAGATTAGCAGAATCCTGACCCAAAATCCAGCCATTTATTTGTGAGGAGCCACTTGTGCCACAGTCATCAGCCCAAAATCCAGACACTTATATGTGAGGAGCCACTGAAGTGCCTGTCAGCTGTGGGCGCTTGGGGCCTCATCGATGGAGCCTTCTGTTGACATGCCACGGTGATTCATAGACACCTGATGATCCAGTTGTGACCTGAGGTACCTGAAATTGAGCCCCATTTCTCACCTCCATGACGATAGGCATCGTCCAGTGAGGGAGGTCCATTTCATAGTTCTTGGCAAGGAAGCAATCCTCACAACAGAAAAGGCTTGATGCACAGTGGTGTTCACTGCAGAGTAACTAAGTCAAAAATCAAGCCTAAGTACCCACTAATAGAGGAATGATCAACTCTGTGGAATGGCCACTGTGAGCTCTTTGAAAGCAGTAGCAATGCTGTTTACAAGGGTGATGCAGACAGAGAAATGGGCTTTAACTTGGGAGGCACGATCATGTATAGAGGCAGTGTGTTTACAACTGGACCCTAAGCCTCCCTTGGGAACTGGAGCAAAACACTAGTGATGGTTATGTCTTGGCACAAGCTGACCTTTTTTCTTCCTACTTTTCAGTATTTAAAGATTTGTAAGAGTTGTCCTCCTTGTTCAGGTTCTAAGTGTTCTGAATGATAGTCTCTCCTGTTATTGCTGGAAACCAGTCAAGACAGTGTGGCACTGTGAAGGGAGCCCAGCAGTGGAGCCACCAGGCCTTAGTTTGAATCCTGGTCCCACTGCTTATCTGCTGTGTGACTGTAAACAGGTCACCTCACCACTCAGAGCTTCTGTTGCCTCATTGGCGAGTGAAGATGGTGACACCATGCTCAGAGTAGATCTGGGCACTGGCGCTGACATACTTGAAGTGTTCAGCACTGTGCCTGTCAAGCCCTTAGTAAATAGTGGCATTGATTGTTAACTGCCAGTCCAGTACTATAGAATTGAAGGTATAGGGTTGGGAGCTGGGCAGAAAGGGGCTCCAACATCCTGCTCAGTCTCTGTCTGCTCTCCCTTCAGGTATTCCCATCAAGAGTACCATGGACAATCCTACCACCACACAGTATGCCAACCTCATGCACAACTTCATCCTGAAAGCCCGGAGCACCGTGCGTGAAATTGACCCCCAGAATGACCTTACCTTCCTTCGAATTCGCTCCAAGAAAAATGAAATTATGGTTGCACCAGGTAAGAGGTCTTCCACATCCCCACTTAGGAGCAGACCCTTACAGCACATGTTCTGTAGCTTATCAGGAAGGCTTAGCACATTGGTGTCTCTACAGGTTCCACAGAAAGGGCTAAAGAGTTGAGGGTACAGAGTTGATTGCCTCAGAGCCTTGCCAGTCTCTGGCTGGCATCCCCAACAAATATGCAATCCCAGTGCCTCTAGGTCAGACCCCTTCTTGGGTTCTAGTCCGCAGATCGTGGTCTCCTGGGGAAAGATAGATACATAAGCATGATACAGTGTAACCCTCACCTTGATGTTGGGAAATTCAAGGAACACTTGGGAACATTAGAGGAGGGTGTGATTAGGCCTGCTTGGGGCAGTCAGCAAAGGCTTCCTAGAAGAGAGGACATTTGAGCTGAACCTTGAGGGCACAGGAAAGTGTAAGCAAGGTGGAAGGGCAGGAAAGCTATGTTTGAAGGAAAGAGAATTCAGTGATTATAAACCAAAGCATAAGGCAAAAATACTGTATATTCATTTTATCCTTGAAGAAATGTTAAGTTGCCCACTTCTAAAGTACAGTCTCCCTGGGCCCCATACAGCCAGCTTTTCCTCCAGCAGTGGAACATACTGCTGCTTTTGTTTCACGTGAAGCACTTGGCTTGCGTTTGGGGGCTGGCTGGTACAAACAATACTTGTCTTTGGGTCTTAGGATCCTTCTCAAGGTAATGAGATGCTCATCCTGGAAGGAGCCCATAATAACTGGGATCACAGGAGGGAATAGCAGGGCCACCTGTCCTGCCCTGCCTCACCTCATTCACATTCAGACCGGAGTGGTGGACAGATTCTCCAGGACTGTTTTTGCATTGCTATTTCTCTCTCCCTCTCTTTTTTGGCTGAGCCACATAGTTGAGTGAGCATGAGTAAAATGTGCACATGATGATATAGGTAGGCTGCAGTGCAGCTTGTCTAGGGCATCAGAATATGTGTAGAAAGGAGTGGGAGGTGAGAGTTTGGTCCAGTTTAGAAGAGGCCTCAAACACCAAATTCGGCTGTGTGAACTTGACCCTGTGAGCAGAGGTTTTTAAGGCAGGAGGTGATATGATTGTTATTAGGGCCTGGATAAAGGAGGGTGTTGGGAAGGGTGGGGACATTTACTGCTCCTGGGTTTAGGAGCACTGATAGCAAGGAGGCTGGCTGCAGAATTATGAGATATGAGGTAATCTGAAGGAGGTGGTCAGCCACTCCCAGCAGCAGAGCAGTATTGGTTCTGTTCCCACACCTGTTCTGGCTGCTTGGAAGGTGAGAACCATAGAGCCTGTCACAGGGGTCCACAGTCTCTCTGGGGTAGTCCCTGGAGGGTAGGGACAGAGCAGGTCAGTCACAGAGAAGAACATAACTTGAGAGTCATTTAATCCAGAAACGTGTTGTACACTGTTTATCAGTTTAATCACTGATGCATCACATGCCAGCTGATGATGAGGTCTCTGATTCTGTCAGGGAAATAGGTAATAGCAGGGAGAGTCTGTTTTCCCAGCTTTACCTCTTATGAATGTGACCTTAAGAAGTCGCAGAAGCCTCCAAACCTCTTATTTCCACATCTCTAAAGATTCAAGTAGGGGACTGTACTATTCTGGTCTTCTGAGACACCCCACCCCATCTGGTTAAGTGCATTGGTGTGGGGTGGGGCAGAAAGTCTCAGAAACAGATTTGAACTCAGATCCCTCCCAAGACTTCACGCTGTGAGACTACAGACAAACCTCCACGTCCTAAAAGTTAGGCTAGGAATGGTCCCTTTACTGACCCTGAGTGTCAGAGCAGACCTTGTGCCCACATGGGAACTCATGGTATGAAGCAAGGACAAATTATGCATCTCCAAATCAGATGGACTCTCCATGGACAGTGTCTCTTGATTTAAAGCTTCTGAGAATGTTTCCTCTGGAATGGCAGAGTCGTCTGCAAGCTCCTGGCAATCTGTGTCTCAGCTCAGTAGCAAAGGCATCTCCAACTTGCCCTGGGGACCTGCAGGCATTCAGAGCTCGTGGGTGTGCTTGGTGCTTGAGTCCTGGATTGGCAACTTCCAAGTTTGAGGTTCTCCTTGGTGGGTTGCAGGCCCAGAAGCCCCTCAGCTTTGTAGTGGAGGCGAGGATGAAGTGGTCAGATTCTTGCCTGGGTGACACACAGAGGCCTGCAGGGAGGGTGTGCATACTCTCTCTTGCTTGTTCACTTACTCTCTGTCTCACATTCACCCAGGGGACCCACTCACACACATCTTGTTATGCTGGAAGGGTGTGTGACTTAAAGATTACCTTAAACACAGTGAGTGTTCCTTCTGAACACCCTCATCACTTCTCCAGCCACCCTGCTGCCTTTCAGAGCCTCAAGAGACTTCAGCTCCTCTCCCTGGGCTCTCACACTTGCTGTCCTGCTGCTAGCAATGCTCCCATCCTCCCTTTTCACTTGGCTAACCAGCCTGCTTATCTGAATTTTTAAGTCTATCTCCCCCACTAGACAATTCCAAGAGGACAGAGTCTTGTAAGCATATAGTAAGCATTCAACAAATATTTGTTGAATAAATAAATGAATGACTCCCTAAACCTCCCTCCCTTGCTGACACCCCACTGTGGGTATCAGAGGTACAGTCAGTAGTGGGGATAGGGGTCAGGGATGTCTGTGGAGCATGGTATTGTGATTTGACATCTTGACACACCCACTTCGATATGGCAAAAAAAAATTCTGGGTTTTGATGCCAGAACTCCTGTGGGCAAGAGTCACTGACCAGAGCCTCTAATGTGACCAGCCACATTAGGGCTGGGTCAACTTAGGATTTCCATAGAGCACCGGCCCCACAGGAGCAGTCCCCAGCATAGAACAGTCCTAGCTGCTGTGTGTTTGAGGTGGGCCCTTCTGGGACTATAATTAGCACCCCACACAGTGATATTATTGAATTTAGAGCTTAATTATTTGGAAGAAAAGACATTAGTATTGCTAATTTTGTCTGTTTTTATCAGTGGCTTGTTAATTGTTTCTGTTTTTATTAGTAAATGATTTTTTACTTAGATTGCTTAGCCACAGAACTGTTAGTCATTTAAGATCTGATTCTTCCCAGTTGTAACAGCCCATTGTCATGGAAGAAGCCAGCTTTAGGCTTGAATCAGTGGACCCAAAGCAGAGGTCCTGCATGTCTGTCCTGTTCAGCAGGGGGCAGACCAGAGGCATTCAGAGCATCTGGGTCAAACCCAGCTTACCTGACCCTGTTTTTGCCTTGGCTTGGGCAAGTCATTTAACTCTCTGAGCCTCTGTGTTCTCATTAGTAAAATGAGGAAACACTAGTGCCTGCCTCATAGAGTGATTCAAGGATTCACTGAGGTGCCATAGGAGAATTGGTTGGCTCAGGGCCAGGCACATGGAAGCCTTGGTAAGTGTTTTTGATTTGATTATTAACTGGGCAAAATTGAAACACCCTGCGTCTCCAGTTTTCTCTTCTGTAAAATGAGGGCCAATCAGGCTCACCTCTGAGGACTTGGACTTAAATGATTTCATGATGGACATTCCACCTACTGGGCTAGATCCTGGAGCTGGGATCCAGGTAGTTTTGGCCCCTTTCGACCTGGTGCCTTTGAAATTTTCTCATCCAGAATGCTCTGGAAGGCCAGCAGCTGAGCTTGTGACAGAACTGACACTAACCCAAGACTAGTGGGGGTGAGGTTGGAATTCCATCTTTGACACTGACTAGCTGGGTAGCCTTAAACAGCGGTTCTCCCAGAACCTGCATTATCAGCATCACCTGGGGACTTGTTAAAAATTCAAATTCTCAGGCTGCACCCCAGACCTACTGAATCCAAAGGGCTGGGGCACAGGGGCGGGGGGAGCAGTGTTTGCTTTGAACCCAGCCCCTCAGGTGATTCACATGCCCTCTAGTTTGAGAACCACTTCCATGGGCAATTCATTTAAACCCTCTGAACCTGAGTTTCCCTACCCAGAAAGCAGGTGATAATCCTGCCTCCCTGTTGGTACCGGGCAGATGAGAAAAGAGGATGCACTACAGAGCACCACTGCCGGCTAGAGTGAGGGACTTGGCACTCCAGCAGCCGCATTTGCAGAAGCCCCCATGGGAAACTTTCAGGTTTATCTTCCATTTTCCCAGCAATTGGATGTAGCCTGAGCACTGATGCTTTTTTATTGCCCTACTCCCATTTTATGGTTGGTGATTTAATGATTTATTTCCTTTCCAGTGTGTTTCTCTCTCATTTTACATTTAGTGATTTGTTTTTTCATTTTTCTCTTTTGCAGATAAAGACTATTTCCTGATTGTGATTCAGAATCCAACTGAATAAGCCACTCTCTTGTCCTCCCCGTGTTATTACTTAATTTGATGCCCCCCAAGAATAATAGTGTTAATCATGTCAACCGATTGGCTGGTGGAAATCACCGTCGAGTCCACTCAGAGCAGTCCAGTGACCAAGGGTGGGTTGCAGCTTTGCCCACCCCACCAAAGCCATCCCTCTGCTCGCCGGTTGCCCCTGAGTTCCCAGGGGGGCCCTCTTTCCTCAAGTCCTGGTTTTGAAGCAAGAGCTTGTGAGAAACCCACATCCTGCTTCCTTCTGACCTTCAGTTCACTTTGTTACCCTTGGAAAAGGCTGTTTTTCTTTAACTAAAAATAACTGAAATGCTTATCCTGCTGTGTGTCTTTCACACTAGGTTGAAAAGGCCTCTCTCGTCCCGTCTAATCACATGGTCTGAAGACTGAGCCCAGTGCTGCGTCCAGCCTCCACGCCAGATTGTGTTCATGGCTCTGAGAGGCCTGCTTCTTACTGCACCTGTGGCCACACTTGCAGAGCTGAGCCTGGTTTATAATTGGTACCCTGGTTCCTGGGCTTCTTATCCCTGGCCACCCCCACCAATGTTTTGAAAGATTTTCTAATACACTGCACTGGGGAAAGGAAAGGAGTGATATTTGTTAAGTACCCAGAATGCAGTAAGCGTATATTATATCATCCTCACAGTACCCTGCAGACTGGCTGTTAAAGCCATCTTAAACATGAGGAAATTGGGATCTAGAGAATCACTTGCCTGAGGTCTTATGGCTGGGACACAGGTCTCAGAATCCAAAAGCTTTGCTGTTTCTGCAATGCCTTCCCCAGAAATCAGGATGGTCCTGAACACCTGAGTGAGCTCATCCTGGGTAAACATCTGCCTTCCCTTAGAGTCATGCCTGGGGGTCCCCGAACATGCCTGCTAGTCTCTAAGACTGTAGCCACCCATCACCCGACAGCACTCTGGGATTTTTCCCACAGAAACCACGCGTATTTATTCTTTATTAGGTTTTTCTTTTTGTGTTTTATTTCTTGTTTTGGAGGGAAAAGATGCAAAACTGTGTAGTGCAAACCTTGAAATCCCCCTTCATTGTCCTCCCTTCCCCAAAAGTAACCTCTGTCTAGAGCGTGAGTTCTTCCATCTAGCAAAATACTTCTCTAAATTTTCCAGTGAAGTTTCCTTAACAGTATCAGGGGAGTAAAACATGTACCCTTGGAAGCCTAGGGGTGTTGTTTATAAGGGCTCAGAAAAATTTTTTCAAAATCTCCTATTTTAGTGAAAGATCATAGGAATTTTCCACTTCATAATATATCCGTGTTTGTCTTAGTATAGATATAATCCTTTCAAATAATTTTCCCTGAATCTTCAAGTAAAACTGATTCTCTGGGAAACCACTGCCTGTTTGCCTTGTCCTGTGGACTCAGGAATCAGACCCTGAGGTGAGGGTGATTGATTGCAGGACTGGAGCAAAATGACTCTGAATTGTAATTATCTCAGAGATTGCGTTTTAAAAGAAAGGGAGGTGTGGCCACCAGTATCTTCTCTTTGTTCTCAGAGGCTTTTGGAGGCTGACATTCAAGTCTGAGGTTCTCCTGTCCTGGCTTGAGTTTCTCCAAGCAGGATAGTGGACGAGGGTCTGATTAGCTTAAATTATCCCTGGTAGGGAGGGCAGGTTTCTAGACAGGGGAGGGCCTCTGTCCCTGGGGGAGGAGGTCTGGCTGCAGAGCAAGAATTGAGGACCTGGCCTTAGTCCCTCTACCACACCCTCTTGTTTGCCTTAAAGTTCCCCATCCTAAAACTCTCCCTCTAGGTCCTGAGGAAAGTTTACGCTCAGTCTGGCTTTGGAGGAAACCAGATGATTCGTGAATATAAAGACGCTCCGCCTCCCACTCCCCTGAGCAATGAGATTTCACACTTGGGAAGCCTTGGATGCATTCCAGTTTGTGATGCAGCAGACAGAATTCCCTGGATTCATCTTAAGATGGAAAAATGCAGATTTTAAAAAGTCTTAAGTAATGCCATCACACATGCAAATACCCTAGTGTTTCTGTACTTAAAAGTAGCAAATGTACGGGAATACAACACCTACTAAGGTTAGAAACCAACATCTGTCCTGGGCATGAAGGGAGGGCCAAGGCTTCTGGGTTTCAGAAGTACATTTGCCAGTGTAACAAGGGTGTGCCCACTCAGCATTATGAAAAATTTCAAACATACAGAGAAGCTGAAATAATTGTGTAACCTCCATTTAATTCAACAATTAACATTCTGCTATATTTATCACATAACTATCCATATCTCCATCCATCCATTGTATTTTCTGATGCATTTCAAAGGACAGTTGTAGACAATACATATTCCTAAACACATCAACATGCATATCAATAGCTAGTTTACCTTTTTTGGAGGGTGAGACTCAGTGAAATGCACAAATCTTAAGTGAACCACTTACGTGACAAATGCTTACACCTGTCAACCCAACCTCCTTTTCAAGATCACATTACCCCAAAACGCTCCCCTGCTGCTTCCCAGCCAGTTTCCACCCCTCTTTCCAGAGGCACCCTCTGCTCTGATTCCCTTCAGGTATGATCTTCATCCCCCAAGATACTGCTCTTGGGTGCGGTCTCTGAACAGGGGCCTGCAGTTCAGGGAACTTGCCTCTTAGGGAAAATGCAGCAGCTGCCTTCTCCATTCATCCCTCCACTTGAGCACTTGCCACGGTTCCTTGGAATTCTGATATTCCTCCATGAGCTAGTATGCCTTTTCTCCAAAATCGTGTTTTTAAAACACTCCAGGAATTATGTGCTTTCTCCCCTTTCATATGTTTGACTCCCAAACCAACTGCACTTTTGTAGATTTTTTTCATTGAGAATCCTAAACCATCTTTCCACACCAAATTCAGGTTGTGGTGGATTGCCAGAAAAAAAAAAAGGGGGGCCAGTCCGGTGGCGCAGCGGTTAAGTGCGCATGTTCCAGCCTGGTGGCCCGGGGTTCGCTGGTTCAGATCCCGGGTGTGGACATGGCACCGCTTGGCAAGCTATGCTGTGGCAGGCGTCCCACATATAAAGTAGAGGAAGATGGGCACGGATGTTAGCTCGGGGCCGGTCTTCCTCCAAAAAGAGGAGGATTGGCAGCAGTTAGCTCAGGGCTAATCTTCCTCAAAAAAAGAAAAAAAGAAATGGCAATCTCATAAATTTGATCACTGCAAGTAGAAAGTATTAAGTTGCCGAACACATCAAATTAGTAGACAACAATCCGATGTCAGTTAAGTTGATCAATCATATCATTCAAATCGAAAAGGATCATGCCACAGAACACATTCAAAGTGCTAGTCCAACCATTATGTTAAACAAGCTCAACTGGATCAAAAAGCAACTTTATTTTGGCCTCCCACTGTCTTTCAGTTTACTCTTAGGGGCCCATTCTTCCCCTGCCCCTAGATGGAACATAGGGCAAGTCCAGGGGCTTCTCCCACCACTTTCAGGTACTGAAGGCCCTCCCATCGATAGATGATGTGTGCAGTCCAGTGTAAAAACAAAACCTTTGAACTGCATTTTGAGAGAGAGGCCGCCCCTTCCCCAGCTCAGGCCCACTGCCAGCCTCGCCCTCTGCAGTGAGGGAGCAGTAAGTGCTTGGCCTTGGCCTTGTTTCCTGCCTTGTGCTGTCACCCGTTTTGACCCAAGTTGCTAAGAGCGGGGTGAGTTGGAGAGAGGAAAGTTCATGCTTTACCAGTACTGTTGTGAACTGGCCTCTGGCTGTCTGAGCTTGGTGTGTGTAGAAAGCTGAAACTTGTGCTTCTGGTACACCTTGCATGAGTTTTCAAAGACCTGCCCCTTGTCTGCCAATCCCATCCCCTTCTGTTTTCCTTCTCCCACACGGATTCCCTTACTTTGAATGATGCACTCTCTGGCTGGCCCCTTAGAACTTGCCTATTGGCCCCTGGTTCTCAGGGTCCCCCTCTACTCACTCTCGCTCTGTTGATGCAAGGTGAAGCAGAATCACTCCATGTCCCCTTACGGTGGGTGAGATTCACAGTACATCAACAGCTTCTAAAAACTGTCCTCTAACTTCCAGTTCTTGTAAGATAAAGGTCAGGCAGAAGTCTGAACTCACTTTGGGGCACCTTGTTTTGCAGCCTGCATTGGTCCTGCTCCTCTCCTTTGCCGGTGGCAACTACTGCCTCGGGGTTTCAGTAGAAACTGAGCAAAAATAATTACACTTTAACTTTGTAGTTCATAAGAAATATGTTGTTAAAGGCAAGATAAAATAGAGAATTTCATGATTTTTTTAAACTTTTAAATACTTTTTTGACATGCAAGATTGTTTGACTTTCAGGTATTAGGTTTTCATATATATTTAGGGAAAACATGAACAAAAGTAGCAGATTGCATGTAACTTGTCCTTATTTTACAATCTTCCTTTACAAAATAGTGTTTTAGTCATTTATTCATTCAACAGTTATTTAGTGTATGCCTACTATGCACCAGGCCCCAGTCTAGACATAAAGGAGATGGTGACAAGAGCTTGTTTCTAGTGAAAATGAGACAGCCAATTAAAAAAACAAGAACAAAACTATGTTTGGGCCCCACCCTAGACAAATTAAATCATAATCCCTGATAGTAAGCTCTGACATCATTAGTTTGTAAAAGCTCCCCAGGTTTTTGTGACATGTGCTAGGGTCAAGAACCACTGGCGTAGTGCCTTATATGCCATGGTTAAGACTACAGGAGGCTATAACAAAAATATCATTGAGAGAGAAGGAAGAACTCGTGTGTGTGTGAGGAAGATTGTCACTGCGCTAACATTGGTGCCAATCTTCCTCTCTTTTATATGGGGCACTGCCACAGCAGGGCTTGACAAGCAGTGCTGGGTCTGCACCTGGGATCTGAACATGTGAACCCTGGGCTGCTGAAGTGGAGTGTGTGAACTTAACCACAATGCCACTGGGCCAGCTGCAAGGAAGAACTCTTGAAAGATTGAAAATAAGAGGAGAATAAATTCAACAGGAGAGTTGCAAGATAAAGTTGAGAAAAATCTCCTAAAAAGTGGGAAAAAAAGAAAATGAAAGAGAAAAGTTAAAACTAAAGGATCAGTCTGGGATATGCAACATCTGATTAAGAGGATTTCCAGAAAGAGAAAACAGAAGGTGGAAAATTGTCAATGAGTGACTATAAGAAAATCTCCCAGAACTAAGGACGTACATTTCCAAATTGAAAGATCTGAGTCTCCAGAGCAATTAATTTTTAAAAGGCACACATTGGGGCCAGCCTGGTGGCGCAGCAGTTAAGTTCACATGTTTCGCTTTGGCAGCCCAGGGTTTGGCCACCCAGGGTTCTCCAGTTCAGATCCTGGGTGTGGACCT